GCAATATTTGTTCTTACATCAGGTGTAGACACTTACGGTTTCTTTCCCGAACGCAAATTATAATCTCAGACGATAACTAAACTGTAATTAGGAATATACCGATGCGGGTTGAGAATGCATTTACAAAACTGATTCACATGTACTCATAAAACATACGCATAATATTTCCAATTGAGAATTATTCGTAACGTACTACTGGTTAACACATGTGAACACATCTCAATGTTAAAGTTCGTGAACTGTTAGTATTTGTACTTACATCTGAGGTACCACTTAGGGACCAGGTTTTCGTACCTATATGCACATGTACATCTTTTTTTGCAAGAAAAACACTTCCGGCACCCGAACTTGAGTTGATAACATTAATGTTTGGTTTCACAGTTCAAGCATCGTCTCACAATGCGCTAATTTGATTATTCGATTATACTGGAGAAACGTTTTTGCCTTACTTCAAGTCTTGTGTCTCATCGATCCTTCTCATTGCACGTTAAGTGTGGAATTAATCCAAATTACACCTGTACCCAGCTTGCTTAATTGCCCCTTGCTTAATTGCAATCAAGTAGGTGTTGCGTAATCAATCAACCATTTGCCCTTAATTAGCTGTCTTGAGCTGTAGTTAATAGCAGACCGTTTCATTGATAACTTATGCATTTGGTGAGGCTAATTAACAAAACCCATTTATTTTCTTTTGAACTTACGTTAACATGTTTTTCCTAAAATGCTTCCAGAATACTTTTGTAAGCTATGATAGTGTCGTGTCCCTTGCAAGTACGAAATGAAGTTATAACATATCACCATATTGGTATGAAAGATACTATTCCATAAAACATACTATCACTGGCCACTGACAAACATTAGCAGTATTAGAATAAGTTAGTGAGTGAGTGAATACGGTTTTACGCCGCTTTCAGCAATATTCCAGCAATATCACGGCGGGGGACACCAGAAATGGGCTTCACACATTGTACCAATGTTGGGAATCGAACCCGGGTCTTCGGCGTGACGAGCGTGACGAGCGAACGCTTTAACCATTAGGCGACCCGACCGCCCTATTAGAATAAGAAACATAATTAAATACAGTATGACGTATAAGCATACAGAAAACTAAGAGAGCCCAAATTACTTCAGTTTCTGTACTGTACTTGGGTTTACCTCCTTTGCATCCTGCGTATCATTCTACCCGTCGGATCGACTTGACCCGGGTGGTTAATCATCTTAAACATCACGACTGTAAAGACTTACTTACTTACTTTGGAGATTTAACGTGCGCTTTCCGACTGATGCGTATTTCGCACACGGGCCCGGCCAGGCCATTTAATGTGTTTCCGAAAGGGGCGAAGGTGGTCTGTGCAACCCAAGAGGGGGGTTTTAGGGGTTGCTTATATAGAATTTGGGAATTTTGAGATTTGGAATAGATGCCGATGGGATTGGGGAGGAGAACTAAGGGAGCTGGGTATGGTGGATGTTTGTTTGTTTATGTGATTTTGATTTGGTGATCATGAGTTATTGTGTTTTTAGATGCGTTTTATTAGTTCCGTTTTGATTAAGAATACGCCTAAGGCCTTGAAGTTTTCTAGTTTATTTTGTGGGTTTAGTATTGTTTCTAGAGTTAGAGCCTTGTTTAGATTGAGGGTGGTTTGTAATGCGGTTCGATGTGTTAGGTAGTGTGTGCAGTGGATGAGTGCGTGTTCTGGGGTTTCTGGTTGTTTGCAGTGTGGGCAGTTACCTGTAGTGTGTTTTTTAAATTTTTTTAGGTGGTTATTTAGGTTGGTGTGTCCTGTTTGGAGTTTAGTGATTACTCTGTCGATTTTTTTGGATGGATGGAGAATTTTTGGTTTGGTTAGTGGTTTGCTGAGCACTTTTTTGATTTGGCTATTTGAGTTTAGATATAGGTTATGCCATTTTTTGGTGATTTTTTGCTTGTTTACACTTTTAATTTCTGATTTTGAGATGGGTAAGTTTAAGCTTATTTCTGGGATTTTGAGGGATAGTTTAGCTGCTTTATCGGCGTTTTCATTACCGTATATTCCTACGTGGGCGGGTATCCACAAGAAGGTTATTTGTTTGCCTGCCTTAGTTAGGTCGTTGGAGCTTTTAAGTATTTGATTTATTAATTTAGGTCGGTTTTTGGTATTTTTGTTTTGGAGGGCTTGCAGTCCACTTAGGGAGTCGGTAAGTATTAGGATTTTTTTGTGGTTTTTGGATTCTTGATTATGGAGGGCTGAGGCCATGCCCATTAGTTCTGCCGTGAATATTGATTGGTTGTTTGGGAGTCGGAAGGATTGTGTGGTTTTAGTTGGTTGTGTGGTATGGACTCCGAAACCTGTGTGTTTGGAGGTCGGATCTGAGGATCCGTCCGTGTAAATGTGACACCAATTTGGCCAATTTTCGTGTATGTATGCTAGTGTGGTAGTTTTAGCTATGTTTGGGTCGGTTTGTTTATTTATTTGGCTAGCTAGTGTTGTGTCTATTTTGGGTATTTTAAGTTTAGGGGTGAAGATATTTGATTGTTTGCAGTTTTGTTTAAGATTTTTAATTTGGTGTTCATTTAGGTAGTTTGTTATTCTTTGGGATATTGGGGTAAGTAAGGGGTGTTTACGAGCTAGAGCTTGGTTTTTGGGGCTGATGTTTTGGTTTATTAAGTTTTGGATGAGAGGGTTTGATTGGGACGCGGCCCAGAAATTTAAGCTTAGCTGTTCCCTGCGTAGACTTAGTGGCATTTCTCCTGTTAAGGCCTGAAGTGAGGTGTAGGAGGTGCCATGTTGGGTGCGTGTAATTAGTTTGAGAGCCTGATATTGTATTGAGTCAACTTTTTTAGATAGAGAGTTGTTTAGGGTGTTGTATATGGCGCAGCCGTAGTCTAGTTTTGATCTAATTAGTGATATGTAGAGAGAGAGGAGGGTATCTTTGGATGCTCCCCAGTTAGAACCAGTTAGGCATCTTAGGGTGTTTAGGTCTTTACTGCATTTAGTTGTTAGGTTTTGGATGTGAGCATCCCAGGTGAGATGTTCATCGAAAATAAGTCCTAAGAATTTGGTTTGTTTTTGAAATTTGATTGTTTGATTGTTTAGCTGGATGATTGGGGAGGCGGGTTTCATGTTTTTATGTTTGAATACTATTCCTGTTGTTTTTTCTGAGTTAACTGTAAAGACAAAGTTCCTAGATATATATAGAACTTTAATTTACGGCGTCTTTTAACCATCACGGCCATAATACTGAGTGGTCCAAGTCAGGTTCAGGAGAAGTGTGTTTTCACAGTACGAGCTTTGTCGGAAATGGCTGCTCGGAGACGCAGCATGTATTCTCGCGGTATGGCAGATTACAACTGTCTCAGATAATCCTGTTTTCCTAAACACACAGATAATAGAAGCATTAAGCAGGGTTGAGGGAGGTTGTTGGGAAGGAGGATTTTTTTACATTCTAAATTCTGGGACTTTAATGAAAAACGTCTTTCATTGATCCATGGGGCTTTGTTACAAAACACTGTGACCATAGATACAGTTACATATCTGTCCTCAGAGGCTGTGGACAATTTGTCAATAATGAGTGAGTGAGTTGGGGTTAACGCCGCTTTTAACGGTAATCCAGTTATATCACGACGTGTCAGCTTAATGTGGGAGGAAAGCCCGAAGTGATGTAGGTCTCAGACGTTTACCACTTCGGTGAAACCCACGAGCACGGGTATGGTGCTGACAAACCTAGAAACATAATCGGGGCGAACCGGGATTCGAACCCACAATCATAGGTTTCTGGCGTGCCCAAGGGACGCAACTCTGCAATAGCGAATTGCGGCGCCTTAGACGACTGGGCCACCCGTGCCCCCTGTCAATAATGAAAGTAAACAGCATCTAAAATATACCGAGAAAACATGTGAATATCTGGACTTGGTCTTTGATAACGCCTATATAAAATTTGGGGGTAAGCCGTTTAGGTAAGAAGTAGGCATCCCCATGGTCCCCAACTGAGCTCCCCCTCTTGCTGATGTGTTTCCTTATGCATATAAATCGGAATTTCTGCTCGAATTGGGAAAGGCAAAATAAGATAATTTGGTCAAGACGTTTTAGCTTCAGGTGTATCTGATATCGTCCAGTGACAGGAACTAGCCAAACCTCTTTTACTGATTTACCCACCTGAACCAGGACTAGGAGGAAGAGTGAGTGAGTGAATATGGTTTTACGCCGCTTTTAGCAATATTCCAGCAATATCACGGCGGGGGACACCAGAAATGGGCTTAACACATTGTACCCATGTCGGGAACCGAACCCGGGTCTTCGGCGTGACGAGCGAACGCTTTAACCACTAGGCTACCCGACCGCCCCCACTAGGAGGACGAAAGGAGACCAGTGAGGCTTCACACATTGTACCCATGTCGGGAATCGAACCCGGGTCTTCGGCGTGACGAGCGAACGCTTTAACCACTAGGCTACCCGACCGCCCCGACTAGGAGGACGAAAGGAGACCAGTGAGGCGCCTCATCTGTTTCATATTTAGATCTGTGCATAAAGATTCAGAGTGAACCAAAACTCTCCACAAGACTGTATGACAAGAGGGATGACAGTTTAACTTTCAAGTGGTCCACTTTACCTTTATGTCCAGAGCGCCATAAGACTCTTGCTCAAAAGTTGTTTGATCAAGGCTTTAACATTCAAGGCCTCAAAAAAGCTTTCAAAACGTTGCATGGTAGACATGTCGAGGGGGGGGGGGGGGGGGGGGGTGAAGGACACATTCAGTTCGCCGTGCGGACGTACGTCTCTCAGTCCTTCCTGGATCCTAGTGTGTGTGTGAGTGAGGATGGTTTTACGCCGCTTTTAAGCAATATTCCAGCAATATCACGACAGGGGACACCAAAAGTGGGCCTCACACATCGTACCCAAGTGGGGATCAAACCCGGATCTTCAGCGTGACGAGCGAACACTTGACCCACTCAGTTACCCCATCGCCAACGGATACATTATATAATCGTTTAGTGCCTCAGTGGCTTCCCACAACAACAAAAGTCATTTTTAAAGAATATATTTAATAAAACGTTACAAGAAGCAAAACAACTTTATCACAGTTACAGTCATGGCAATCAAACAGAGACTTATTAAAAGGACGGAATTGCGATAAAGAGACAAGCAATAATAAATGACAGCATATGTCATCATCTAAAAAACAGCATCTAAAAAACATGTGCTACACAAAGATAGGTTTGCGTTGAATATAGGGAAGAGTGACATTTACTCGCTATACATCTACTGGTTAAAAAACTTTAAAATTCATGTTCCTGAAACAAACTACTTTGACCTTTAGTTGCAAAATTGTTTCATTCCTTGTAAATGTTTGATGATTGAGAGTAATATCTGATAAAACATTCATGGCATATATGGTCACATCCTCCTATTATTTAATTGATCTGTTAAAATATTAATGGTTTTACTCGCAATTAGATAAAACACGTGTGCAATTTACAAGCGAAAGTCTCATTGAAAAACATGTGCATACTCTATCAACAGGAAACAACTAGTATAAAACGAAGTATTCATGAAAATGAATTTGTAAATATATACTTTGCCAATTTAAACACATTTGACATTTTCTTCATAAAGCTTGTTTTCTTCGATTGTCTATTTTTGTATCATGTTTAAAAATTTCCTGTTATATCTTGACAATAAATGGCAAGAGAGTGGTTTAATAAAATGTATTCATGAAAAGAAAATCCCTCGTTTGACTGTAAAATGTAATGTTAGATTGATAATGCTGGCATGCCGGTTCGTATGTAGAAAGGACGTTACCGTGGTTTATTTGTTGATAATGCTGTATCAATAAAAACAATAACATCATCATACATTTATATACATTTCACAGCAAAAAAAACAGCAGGTTAGGACCATGTGATGCTCTGGAAAGGGATGAAACTATTTGAAGAAAATAATTTTGTTTCAGGTTTTATAGACAAAAAAATGCTGAATATAGACCAAAATGTGTTGTGAATAAATTGAAACACTGCCCGAGTCCTCTTTATAGAGAAACTAATGACATACCTCGAAGCAGTGACCAGAGGAATATTCTGTCTTTAAGAAATATCACAGGTCCTACCCCCATCCAAAGAATATTAAATGGCCGGCCCTTAACGTATATAAGTAGATAACAAAATACAGTCGAATTCTGCATTAGAAACGAATATATAGCTCCCTCAGGGTTGTGTCAAAGGTTGCGTAAATCGTTCTTTTTCCTGTTCACTTTTGTAAATGAATTTTTTAAAAGTCACTTTCAAGAAATCCATCTGTCGTAATTCGAAAATTAAATGTTTTTTAAAATAATTTCTTAAATGAGTGAGAGAATAGGTTTAGCTTTTTAGCAACACAACATCAAAATCACAGGGACAAAAGGGTTTACGATTTGTACGCAAATGGGAAATCGAATGGGGGTCTTCAGCGTGACGAGCAAACACTTTATCCACAGGCCGAAAAGGGAGATAACAGGAATGTATGCACATTTGGTAACCGTGCAGGAAATCGAACGCGGGTCTCAGGCGTGACGAGCGGGCACCTTTTCCACAGGCCCAAAGGTCAGATAAAGGGAATGTAGTCATATTTCTTACCCATTCTGGGATCGAAAGCGGGTCTAATTATATAAGGGGTGACAAGCTATAACGTTTGAACCAAAAGTTGGTAACGCGATTCAGCAGTATAAGGTTCCATTAAATGTTCTCGCAATGAGTTTTGACACTCATTACACGTTATCAACGGTTATATATATATAACAACAACAACAACATATAAATTTGAACAATATTAAGGCTAATATAAACGACTTTACGTATAACAGTCTTATTTCGGTAGAAAAGACAAAATGCAAGGCACCTTCTAGGGTAAGGCTCAAAATACACTAATCAGGGACCATGGGACGGTTTTACATGAAGTTAACATTGAGTGTACGTTGTGGTGTTTCAATCTGAATAAATATTATCGTAAAATATATAGATCGAGAATTTCGTTAAATGACTATTGTTTTTGAAAATGGTTTCAGATAAATTGTTCAATTATACAAAGTACAAATCACGTGCATTACTCTGGGAGATGTATTTACAAAACACCCAGTGATTACAATGTTAGTTTCATAATAAATACACACATGGTAAAATACAAACAATAGATTTAATATACAGTGTGAATTTTTACCGCAACCTTGCAAATTTGTATTTGTACAGGTACGTAGCAAATAAAACACCATATATTTCTCAGGTGACGATTTCAAAAAAATAACTGAACTAAAAGGCAATTTTAAATTACTTAAGAATATGCAATTTCATATAACGAAATATGCATTCAAATTTTACAACTTGGTTTTATGTATTTTATTTTATTGTATCCCTTTACACTTATGTAAAATGCATAATAAGTAAATAATCTGTTAATTTATGTGAATGTTTTCGTCACTTTTCTATAAAATGTCCAGAACATTAGGAAAGTGCCGTTCCAATTCTAGTCGCTGCAGTGGTCAGTTGCGGCCTAGTCGGATGGAAGCGGCATCTTCTGGGGAAGTGACCGGGCACTTACACTGGACGTTGGTCGGTCGTCGTACATGTCCATACGACTGTCCACGCTGAGGCTGAATGCCGTACCTGCTGTGGCCGCGGGGGCGTTGGGCACGGGCACCTGGTTTCTAATGTTGCTGGAGGTTTTGTCACGGAACAGATAGTCTTCGATGCTGTAACCGGTTTTGCCCCTGCCAAGTGCCCGGATGTCTGCGTTCGAATCTGATAAGTAGAATGAAAAAATGACCCACGGGTAAACATTCTTGGAGGATTCCTGCGAATTTTGTTCGGGGTAGAATATCTTTTCGTTAACTGCTTCCAAACACACATGTTTGGTTTGGTTTGTTTTATAAAAGGGGGAGCCAAACATATTTTATCAGGAAATATAGAATGTCGAGCAAACAATTATTTATTTTTTGTGAAACCTGAGGGAAATTGTGTTATTTGCTCAAAAAGAGTTTCTTTCAAACATATTATGACCACAACATGGACTTGAAACGGTTGGTCTCTATATCGCTGTCCAGGCACTTCAATTGCTTTGTTGAATGAGGAGTGATTTCAATGTATATTTATTCCAATATATTGTCTGTTTGCTTTCTTGTCTAACACCGCACTCAGCAATATTCCAGCTATATGACGGCGGTCTGTAAGTTATCGAGTCTGGATCCGCTAATCCAGTGATTGATATCATGAGCATCGATCCACGCATTTTGGATACGATGAAGTGATCAATCTAGTTAGCGAGCCTGACCACCCGATCTCGTTAGCCGCCTCTTACGACAAACATAGTCGCCTTTTACGGCAAGCATGGGTTGCTGAAGACCTATTCCAACCTTCACGGGTCCCAATATATGGTACATTAGTTTATAGTTAAAAGATTGTGTAACTGAAAAAAATCACTTCAGCCAGATGTATTGATATATAATATAAGTCGAGATATGTTGATTGAGTATTGCCAGGTACGAGTATTTCCCCGCTAATTCAAGGCACAGAAACAACAGCTGTCACACATGATTACAGAAAACGCCACACAAATTTGAAACGTAATGCTATGTCCTGCGCTGCATACCGAATACCCAGATGTTTACAAGCAGGAATAAGTACAGGCAGCAACGACAGAACAGTTCTGAACATGGCAAATATGCGGACGCTTGCTTCCCAAGTACCAAGTTGTCCGACACCCCATTGTTCTTGGTGCCTTAGGTTTGGTATCTCCAAATATGTTGACTGACAGTGGGAGAGTACCCGGGTTTGCTGCCAGGAATGCAGCCCTTCTGACAATCTGGGTAGTTCAGAAGGTTGCAGTGATGGGGAGTCTTCACATTCTCCGAAAAGTTCTGAATGGGTTTGACCAGGCAGCGCTCTCTGGGAGAAGTCCCATTCGCTGTCTGGGCGTGTAGAGGGGGCAAGGGCCCTGAGCTGATGATGAGCCTGACCAGCCTGACTGTGCCAGGATCACCCAAACCCTCTTTGCTGCATTTTTTAAATTTTAATCTATGATAATAATAATAATAATAATAATAATAATAATAAAAAGTTACCGACACCCACTGCATCAGAAACGTGCAAAAAGTGAGTATGTAGAAAAACTACCAACCGCTACTAAACATTACCCACACCAGGACCCCGTTCCACAATACGTCGATCAACATTGAAGCATGAGAGTAACGATAGTCACAGCGCTAAGAAAGCAGTGAGTGAGTATGGTTTTACGCCGCTTTTAGCAATATTCCAGCAATATCACGGCGGGGGATACCAGAAATGGGGAATCGAACCCGGGTCGTCGGCGTGATGAGCGAACCCTTTAACCACTAGGCTACCCGACGTTCGCTAGGATAGTATCTGAGCAGGGCCGAGGGTAATAGTTTCTAATAGCGATCACAGCGCTAAGAGTATCGCGAATAAGATTTTCGACAATCGTTATAATAATACGCCAAGTTTGTAGAGCCATGTGTCCCGATGAAAAACAGTCGTAACTCTCATTCGCTCCACACCCCGCTCCTTATTCTGGCATTCAATTCGTTCGCAGTTAGCGTTCGTTAGCTTAACACCATGTTAGTAAAATTGATCCCAGATAACTAACAAGACAATGATTAGTCACATTTTAACAACAACAACAAAGCGTCTTAAACCAACCAAAACAGAAAATTAATAAATATCTGTATCATGAGGATATCTTACCGCACACTATATTCCGGACGTCTGGCGAAACAATATTTAAAACAATAACAACAAGACGAGAAACATTTGTATCTAAACTTCCTTTGAATGTAAACAAACTACAAAATGGGCCACACAGATAGTTGACAAAATTAAACACTTGTAAATTAATGTATGCGTGTATACATATTGTTTGTTTGTTTGTTGTTTAGCGCCGCACTCAGCAATATGCCGTCTATATGACGGCGGTATGTATACATGTAGGGTAATGCAGATATTATTATCGTATCATCAATTTAGGTGAGGTGAAATTGGGTTTAACGTCGCGTCCAAGATTATTGCACTTATATAGCGACGTGCATGCACGTGTGTGTGTGTGTGGCTGCTTGCACTAGTCCGGACTGATGCCGATTTATAGTGTTAGCTCACTGAGATACCATGCCGCAGTTTAACATGAATACCCCACTCAGACACAGTATACTGACTCCGAGCCGACCAGTCCTTGTTTTAGCACCTTAATGCCGAGCGCCAGACAGGGTAACAACAAGTACCATCTTTTAACGTCTTTTTGGTATGACGCGGCCGGGGATCGAACCCCGGACCTTCCGCTCTCCGGGCGGACGCTCTACCACTAGACCACGGAGGCGGTCTTGATCAATTTAGTCGCTACAATTGGAAATGCTGCGTGTTTTTAATGTCGTTGACGACTGCCGAAGATGGTTATCTAGTTGTTGATTCCCCAAACAAACCTCAATAAATAAGCATTATTCTTGACGCTATATTTTCACATTCAGGAAGGGACCTTTTTTCCATGTAAATAAGTGACTGTTTTAATAATTATTTTTTTAATGACGACAGACTATTCAAAATAATTCAATTCAAGTACCAAACGCCTAAACGCAATCTATATTTAGGATGAGGAAGAGAGAATTAGTGTTCAAGAAGACCTGAACCTATTATTATTATCATTTTTATTATTCTGAGCAATGAGGAATCTGAATAGAAGATACGAAAGTTTTTCTAATACCCGAATTTCACTGTTTAAGGGTCCAGCTGGAACACCTGGTCATATGCAACCCTTGTTCTACTGGCGCACAAACGAAACCCAACTAAACTAAAGATAACAGTAGACGAAGTTCTGATGTTAACAGTTATGAACCCATGGTGCGGGTTATGTTATGTTTGAAATAATGGTTAATCTACAGTTTGGAGAACGTTCCTTCGTTTGTCGTAGACGTTGATCATAACGGGATCATAACATATGACCTGTCCGTTTGCGAGTCACCATGCCCCGAGGGTGTGATTCGCTCATGCTTTCAGCCACTGGTTTGTTTCAAGAATCCGCTCCCCTGGGGATTCCGGGTATGGATAAGAATATGTTTCTTTTCTACTTATATATCACATAAATATTTAAACTGATATCTGCCATATTCTTATTCCTGATTCTGAAGGTACCACATGCAAATTACAATTTGTTTCACCCTGTGGGCTACACATGCACGCATTATGACAGTATAGGTAGGTATACACAATCTGGTCATGTTTATCTTCTGGATCAAGTGATGATGCACGTACCCAGGTACGATTTCAGTCTTCAATGTCTTTCTGTCATCGCTCAGTTTACGGTCGAAGGTCGAAATTGTGAAAACAAGTCGGTTGTTATGGTAACGAAATGATAAAATAGTTTTTAACGAAACATTATTTAAGGGTGATTAAATGACCTTCCTATATTAACCCATTTTTTGCTTGTTTTTATTATGGAGTCAATGTTCTCTGTGAGAAAATGTCTGTTCTCACTTTTTCTAAAAAGATATCCCACATCTGTGAAATTTTATTTCGGTAGAAACGTAAGGGCGTAGAGAACGCTTGAGGTTATACATGCGTTATATGCCTACCGTAAGTCTTTGTCTTGGGAACGATGATGAACTTCCAAACAAGGAAGCCGACGATGATGATGATAAGGAGGAGAATGACCAGGACAATGGCGGCGATGATTCCAGGGCTCAGGCCTTTGTCTGCGTTCTGTTTAAAAACACAAATATTAACGTTATCTTTTATAATACCGAGGCTGATATACAAGCCAAGACCATGGGTGACTCGGCCACCTAGGGCGATTCAGTTCGCCGTGCGGACGTACGTCTCTTAGCCCTTCCTCGACACTAGTGAGTGTGAGTGAGGATGGTTTTACGCCGCTTTATAAGCAATATTCCAGCAATATCACGACGGGGGACACCAAAAATGGGCTTCACACATTGTATCCATGTGGGGAATCGAACCTGGGGCTTTGGCGTGACGAGCGAACGCTTTAACCACTAGGCTAGCCAACCGCCCTCCTTGATCCTGGATCAACAGAGATGGTTGACACAGAGTGCACACCGTACGATTATACCTTCATAAACGCAAAAAATACCATCTGAACTCAATTGTGAAGCATAGGTCTCAAGATGTGCACTGTGTGCTGAACTCACCGTTGGCCCGCATGAGACACCGTACACATTCTTGCCATCGACCATCATGAAGGGCATAAGTTTTATACTTTGTCCGTTGAAGCTGTACATCTCGCCTTCCTCCACCTCCTTGCACATGTCATCCATGGCCTGACTGACACCAACGTTGCTGCCCTCCAACACGAGTGTGGCGAGGACACTGCCTGTAACAGTGAGTGAGTGAGTTATGTTTTATGCCAATTTTAACAATATTCAAGCCAAATCATTTCACACTGGAAAACAAATCTGTTGTCGTGAGGATAGATGGTCTGCCAAGATAGCGGAAGGTCGGTGTTCGATCACCGGCCGCGTCATACCAAAGATCTTAAAAGAAGGTACTTCTTGTTACCCTGCCTGGCGCTCTGCATTAAGGGGTTAAACAAGGAGTCAGTACAATGCGCCTGAGCTGGTTGTCCATGTTAAACTGTCGCATGGTATCTCAGTGGATTAGCACTGTAAAACCTGCATCAGTCAAGATTATATTACATTCAAATATGTTCGGAATGTTGGAATTAAAATAAATACATATATCAGCGGATATAAGAGACGCAACGCTGCACATCGACTTGCAGCGCTTCAGACCACCAGGTCTTATGGATAACCGTCCTGAGCCAATCAATGATCAAATATAACTCTATAAATGCCGAAAAGCATCTTTTCATCATATTTGGACAAAAAAATGAAAGTGTCATTTTTCGTTAAATCCCAAAGCCATCAATTTCGCAAATGGGAGCTCCAGACAAACTTACCTTGCGCTGCTGTGACGTCCTTTAGCTTGATTCCCTTATCCTTTTTAGCGATGGCCCATTTCCTGGCGAACCTGGCCACATCCTTTGGAGACTGCAGAGGATCAAAATTGGTGTCAAACTTGAACTGACACGTAGATGTCTTGTCCTTGGGCGTTGCCTCCAGGACAGAGTTGCTGATATCAATGTAGCCCTCGTAGATGAAGTCGTAATCAGCTGGAGTTGACGTCACATGGAACTTGAGGTAGTAGCGTCCAATTTCGTCAATTTGCAGGTCACTGAAAGTGGCCATGCCGGTGGAAGGGTCGAAACTTACCGTCTTCGTTCCGGTCAACGTACCCTCTGTCATGGAAGCCGTTACCGACCAGGTGTGTCCCTGAATGAGAAAAGTGCGAAAGTGAGTGAATATATATATATATTCCAGACGCTATTCCAAATACATCGGGACTTACGGTATTACATAGCAGGGATGAACACATTTAAGTGTATGTTGGGTATATTTTTAGATGCAAGACACATAAACTCAAAGCTTATTCCTGAGGGATTCCGTGACCAAAGTCCTTGAAGTCATACGCACAGTCTGATTGTTTGTCATATTTTTCGCACATAACATTCAACGAAAGGGGTAGTCTTCTTGCAGGTTACGGGTTGGGTGGGACATGCGAACAACTGAAGTCAACACCGATTTTCAGTGATCCATTCATATACTGTTCACTGCTATTTTGCCTTCTACGGCCAATGTAATCTGTGTCGGTGGATAATCATTACCAGAATAGTTGTTCTCTGGCGTTGACGTTTTAAATTTTGTTAATATGTTTTAACTGTCTTTGAACATTATTAAGTTATAGCACGACGTGGCAGCTCAATAATATGCAGGTTTTAACGTTTACTACGCTGGTGAAACACCATCTTCCCGAGGCAAGCGTGTCCACTGGACTGTATCAAGGCCTAGTTTGATTAATAAATATGAAAAGGCCAGTGGACGCTCTTGCCTTGGGAAGATGGTGAAACCCACGATCTGAACGAACCTAAAATCTCAATCATGGCGGACCGGGCATTCAATAACTGTGAAAATGGATATTAATATTATGATTCAGGGTTCGTTCAAATAAGGCGCAACAAAAATAAATTATAATTCATTTTGATGCTGTGTAACTTTACGACATTGAAATCTTACCCTCCACGCTATGTCCGACAGAGGCATATTGGTTCCTTTGTCTTTCAACTTGAGTTCGAGAGACATGGGCCTGTCCTCCAAGGGTGTTGGAGTCCTCCCTGCCACGTAAGCGCTTAGTTCCCTCTTCAAGATATTCAGAGCAGGGGAGACTTCTGTGAAGTTGGACTCTGGAGAGATGACCTTGAACTCTACGGTATAATCTGACCCCCTGTGAGAAATGTAAAGGTCAGTAAAGTTGGCCCATCCGTTGGTCATGTTCACAACAGTCATTCCTCCCAACATGGCGGATGCGTGACTCCCAGCTCCTTTCTTCAACGTGGCTTCGATCTGCCAGGGGTTGAGATCTGTTCCCAGTTTCCCAATGGCAGCCCCCTGGAATTGAAACGGCGAGTGAGTGAGTTGGGGTTAAGGGAACTTATTTGTTGGTTGGTTGGTTTGTTGTTCCAAGCCGCTCTCAGCAATATTCCAGCTATATGACGGCGGTCTGTTAATAATCGAGTGATTGATATTCAGTGATTGATATCACGAGCATCGATCCACGCAATTGGGATACGATGACATGCATCAACGAAGTCAGCGAGCCTGACCACCCGATCCCGTTAGTCGCCTTTTACGGCAAGCATGTTATATAAGGACGTGTCAGGTTATTGTCAGGAAAAAGTGACCCAGGTCTTAGACGATGTTAGGTAGGAGAGGTTAAATGGGGTTTAACCTCGCGATCAAGATTATGGCACTAACATAGATGCTTGAATGTACATACGTTTATCGAGTCATATACCACAAAATAACTCATATCTGAGGCACTGCATCTTCGAAACAATTGAACGCCACAGTTCAAAACATTCAACGCATACTTAAAAAAGGCAAAACTAACTTTTATAAAATATAATTCATAACTTTAACCAAAAATAAATAATAATTTTGACGACATGAACAATATAACTGAAGATTTATCAATTGTCTGTGAAGAAAGCCAATAACTTATAAAAACAGACCAGGGGAGCTCCATGCCGTGTTATATCGTATTCTGAAATTGTCTGTACATTTATACTTTCTGAATGGAAATAACACTATAATTGTAAGGAAGAGAATTTATGTGTGTCAGCTTCTTTATTGTGAAGAGTATATGCCCTGAAACGTTGTGTTCCTCATAATAAAGAAGTTGACATCCACAGTTCTCTTCCTTATGTGTATCACTTCTAAATGCCTTGCAAAGACTACAATTGCAGGCATAATTTGACGTTTGAATTATTTATTTAAATCTCGATTCAAGAAAAAGAATTCAGTGTTCAGAAAATTTCTGGTTTCAGCCTACGTAAACACTACACTGTAGATCTTGTGTTGTGTTGTCAAGTATTATATGCAAAAAAAAAAATAATGAAAAAAAAAAAAAAAATAAAAAAAAAAATAAAAAAAAATAATTATATGGCAAGCAGGACACCAACAACTAACCAATGAATCTAAATCGACGCAGTATGGTCTCAATATTGCCAATGCGATCTTGTATCTCAACTCACTCACTCACTCATCTGCCAAAACAGCTATCTGTTTGACTTACGGTATCATCATATAATCTCAGCCTCATCGGTGTGAGGAAGGGCTGGCCCTCTCTGCCTTCAACAGCTGGTTCATAGAAGCTCATGCGTCCAGCCTTGGAAAGGGTGATGGGCTTCGTGTCGGACTCCACGTGTTTCCAGGCCTCACTGGCTACTGGGGGGACGGGTTCGGTCAGGGTCACGTGCGTGGGGATTGAGCCACTGGGCCCAATGGTCAAGCTGCCCAGGGCAACCGCATTTGTCACAGCTGCTGCTGCACTGTCCAAAGCTTCATGAGATGTCACGCTTCCAGCAGGGGTACCCGGGGGGTCACCGTACTCCACGACCACTGTCGTCTCCGTGACAGCACGTCGTCGTCGGGCTCCGGAAGCTCGAACGATGCTCACAACCCTCACCATGCTTGGTTTAACATTTAGGAACACGGCTAAATTCTGGACAATGTCTTCGCCAAAGAATTCCAACTCCGTCTTGAAGGTCAGCCCCACCATTACCTGCGCGGTGGTCCGGATCTCCACGTATTCCGATCCACGGACAATGACGTACATCATACCTTCATCTTGCAGCATGCAGTTGTCCCCGTGTTTGGCTGTAGCAGGGTCAGGGAGGCACTGGGTCCTGGTGACGCCGCTCTTGTAGGAGAACTTGCCACCCTTCATTTCGGCATTGTTGGGAACGATGTAGGTGCTACCGACGTACACGTCGAGTCTGTACCGTCTGGCGTACCACACCCCCACCCTGACGGACTTGGTGTTGTCGGCGTTAAGTAGCTGGAGTCGAATAACCTGGGGGGTGGTGCTGGTGAAGAAGACGTCACTGGAGTCATCTGGAACAGCGAGCAAGTCGGGTTCAAAACCTTTTACGATATTACGGTGATATTATTCTACGTCTGCTGAGTGTATGGGGAAAGCCCGAATTGACACATGTCCTTCACGTTCACCATTAAAAAAAAAACGGAGACAAAGTAGGGATCATAAGCAAGGAATTCGAACCATCGACCTGCGGGTTCTGGCACGACCAAGGGATGCAAATCTCCATAACCAAGACAGTGTGTCCTCCGGTTCATATCTGGGATAACAATGGCGATGCCGAAATCTGATTGCTTATGGAAGGTTGTAAAAGGGATTCGACGACAGACAATCCGATCGGGACTTTTTCCATCTCAAGTTCCAATTTGACATGGGTGGTATTCAGAATGGTTGCATGATTATCCGACTCTTAAAATGTTCAGTTTAAAACTGGGCTTTATGATAAAAAATAACTTCGTTTCATCTGATATAAATCTGTATTTCTGCAAAAAAATTACCGATAGTGTATACACTATCGAAAAACATTTTGTTCCTTTAGACTGGGCAAGGATGTGACACTGATATATTTATGATGGGGAAGGGACATGACACTTATCTTCTACTGAATGGACAGGGACGTGACACTGATCTACTGACTACGCACGGACGTGACACTGATCTTCTACTGACTGGACAGTGACGTGACACTGATCTTCTACTGACTGGACAGTGACGTGACACCAGTCTTCTAATGAATGGACAGTGACGTAACGCTGATCTTCTACTGACTGGGCAGGGACGTGACACTGATCTACTGACTACGCTTTGTTGTTTGTTTGTTGTTTAACACCGCACTCAGCAATATTCCAGCTATATGACAGCGGTCTGTAAATAATCGAGTCTAGACCAGACAATGCAGTGATTGATATTATGAGCATCGATCCACGCAATTTGGATCGATGAAATGCATCAACCAGGTCAGCGAGCCTGACCACCCGATCCCGTTAGTCGCCTTTTAAGACAAGCATTGGTTGCTGAAGACCTATTCTAGCCCGGAATCTTCACGGCTCCGCACTGATCTTGTGAACACGGATGGAACACTGATATCCTACTGACTGCGCGGGGACGTGACATTGATCTTCCACTGACTGAACACGGACGTGACAATGATCTTCTACTGACTTGACAGCAGCGTAGCACATAGCTTCTACTGACTGAACATGCATGTAGAGCAGTACGTGACACTGATCTTCAACTGACTGAATAGGTATGTGACACTGATGTTCTACTGACTGGACATGTATGTGACACTGATGTTCTACTGACTGGACAGGTATGTGAGAATGATGTTCTACTGACTGGACAGGTATGTGACAGTGATCTTCTACTGACTGGACATGTATGTGACACTGATGTTCTACTGACTGGACATGTATGTGACACTGATCTTCTACTGACTGGACAGGTATGTGAGACTAATCTTCTACTGACTGGACAGGTATGTGACACTGATCTTCTACTGACTGAAAAGGTATGTGAGACTGATGTTCTACTGACTGGACAGGTATGTGACACTGATGTTCTACTGACTGGACAGGTATGTGACACTGATCTTCTACTGACTGGACAGGTATGTGACAGTGATCTTCTACTGACTGAACAGGTATGTGACACTGATCTTCTACTGACTGAACAGGTATGTGACACTGATGTTCTACTGACTGGACAGGTATGTGACACTGATGTTCTACTGACTGGACAGGTATGTGACACTGATCTTCTACTGACTGGACAGGTATGTGAGACTGATCTTCTACTGACTGGACAGGTATGTGGCACTGATCTTCTACTGACTGGACACGTATGTGAGACTGATCGTCTACTGACTGGACAGGTATGTGAGACTGATGTTCTACTGACTGGACAGGTATGTGACACTGATCTTCTACTGACTGAACAGGTATGTGACACTGATGTTCTACTGACTGGACAGGTATGTGACACTGATGTTCTACTGACTGGACAGGTATGTGACACTGATGTTCTACTGACTGGACAGGTATGTGACACTGATGTTCTACTGACTGGACAGGTATGTGACAGTGATCTTCTACTGACTGAACAGGTATGTGACACTGATGTTCTACTGACTGAACACGGACGTGACACTGATCTTCTACTGACTGAAAAGGTATGTGACACTGATCTTCTACTGACTGGACAGGTATGTGACATTGATCTTCTACTGACTGAACAGGTATGTGACACTGATCTTCTACTGAATGGACAGGTATGTGACACTGATCTTCTACTGACTGAACAGGTATGTGACAGTGATCTTCTACTGACTGAACAGGTATGTGACACTGATCTTCTACTGACTGAACAGGTATGTGCCAGTGATCTTCTACTGACTGAACAGGTATGTGACACTGATGTTCTACTGACTGGACAGGTATGTGACACTGATGTTCTACTGACTGGACAGGTATGTGACACTGATGTTCTACTGACTGGACAGGTATGTGACACTGATGTTCTACTGACTGGACAGGTATGTGACACTGATCTTCTACTGACTGAACAGGTATGTGCCACTGATCTTCTACTGAACGCACGGGGACGTGACACTGATCTTCTACTGACCTAACAGGTATGTGACACTGATCTTCTACTGACTGAACAGGTATGTGCCAGTGATCTTCTACTGACTGGACAGGTATGTGACACTGATCTTCTACTGACTGGACAGGTATGTGACATTGATCTTCTACTGACTGAACAGGTATGTGACACTGATCTTCTACTGAATGGACAGGTATGTGACACTGATCTTCTACTGACTGAACAGGTATGTGACAGTGATCTTCTACTGACTGAACAGGTATGTGACACTGATCTTCTACTGACTGAACAGGTATGTGCCAGTGATCTTCTACTGACTGAACAGGTATGTGACACTGATGTTCTACTGACTGGACAGGTATGTGACACTGATGTTCTACTGACTGGACAGGTATGTGACACTGATGTTCTACTGACTGGACAGGTATGTGACACTGATGTTCTACTGACTGGACAGGTATGTGACACTGATGTTCTACTGACTGGACAGGTATGTGACACTGATGTTCTACTGAATGGACAGGTATGTGACACTGATCTTCTACTGACTGGACACGTATGTGAGACTGATCTTCTACTGACTGGACAGGTATGTGAGACTGATGTTCTACTGAATGGACAGGTATGTGACACTGATCTTCTACTGACTGAACAGGTATGTGACACTGATGTTCTACTGACTGGACAGGTATGTGACACTGATCTTCTACTGAATGGACAGGTATGTGACACTGATCTTCTACTGACTGGACAGGTATGTGAGACTGATCTTCTACTGACTGGACAGGTATGTGACACTGATCTTCTACTGACTGGACACGTATGTGAGACTGATCGTCTACTGACTGGACAGGTATGTGAGACTGATGTTCTACTGAATGGACAGGTATGTGACACTGATCTTCTACTGACTGAACAGGTATGTGACACTGATGTTCTACTGACTGGACAGGTATGTGACACTGATGTTCTACTGACTGGACAGGTATGTGACACTGATGTTCTACTGAATGGACAGGTATGTGACACTGATCTTCTACTGACTGAACGGGTATGTGACACTGATGTTCTACTGACTGGACAGGTATGTGACACTGATGTTCTACTGACTGAACAGGTATGTGACACTGATGTTCTACTGACTGAACAGGTATGTGACACTGATCTTCTACTGAATGGACAGGTATGTGACACTGATCTTCTACTGAATGGACAGGTATGTGACACTGATCTTCTACTGACTGGACAGGTATGTGAGACTGATCTTCTACTGACTGGACAGGTATGTGACACTGATCTTCTACTGACTGGACACGTATGTGAGACTGATCGTCTACTGACTGGACAGGTATGTGAGACTGATGTTCTACTGAATGGACAGGTATGTGACACTGATCTTCTACTGACTGAACAGGTATGTGACATTGATGTTCTACTGACTGGACAGGTATGTGACACTGATGTTCTACTGACTGGACAGGTATGTGACACTGATGTTCTACTGAATGGACAGGTATGTGACACTGATCTTCTACTGACTGAACGGGTATGTGACACTGATGTTCTACTGACTGGACAGGTATGTGACACTGATGTTCTACTGACTGAACAGGTATGTGACACTGATGTTCTACTGACTGAACAGGTATGTGACACTGATCTTCTACTGAATGGACAGGTATGTGACACTGATCTTCTACTGACTGAACAGGTATGTGACAGTGATCTTCTACTGACTGAACAGGTATGTGACACTGATCTTCTACTGACTGAACAGGTATGTGCCAGTGATCTTCTACTGACTGAACAGGTATGTGACACTGATGTTCTACTGACTGGACAGGTATGTGACACTGATGTTCTACTGACTGGACAGGTATGTGACACTGATGTTCTACTGACTGGACAGGTATGTGACACTGATGTTCTACTGACTGGACAGGTATGTGACACTGATGTTCTACTGACTGGACAGGTATGTGACACTGATGTTCTACTGAATGGACAGGTATGTGACACTGATCTTCTACTGACTGGACACGTATGTGAGACTGATCTTCTACTGACTGGACAGGTATGTGAGACTGATGTTCTACTGAATGGACAGGTATGTGACACTGATCTTCTACTGACTGAACAGGTATGTGACACTGATGTTCTACTGACTGGACAGGTATGTGACACTGATCTTCTACTGAATGGACAGGTATGTGACACTGATCTTCTACTGACTGGACAGGTATGTGAGACTGATCTTCTACTGACTGGACAGGTATGTGACACTGATCTTCTACTGACTGGACACGTATGTGAGACTGATCGTCTACTGACTGGACAGGTATGTGAGACTGATGTTCTACTGAATGGACAGGTATGTGACACTGATCTTCTACTGACTGAACAGGTATGTGACACTGATGTTCTACTGACTGGACAGGTATGTGACACTGATGTTCTACTGACTGGACAGGTATGTGACACTGATGTTCTACTGAATGGACAGGTATGTGACACTGATCTTCTACTGACTGAACGGGTATGTGACACTGATGTTCTACTGACTGGACAGGTATGTGACACTGATGTTCTACTGACTGAACAGGTATGTGACACTGATGTTCTACTGACTGGACAGGTATGTGACACTGATCTTCTACTGACTGGACAGGTATGTGAGACTGATCTTCTACTGACTGGACAGGTATGTGAGACTGATGTTCTACTGAATGGACAGGTATGTGAGACTGATCTTCTACTGACTGGACAGGTATGTGACACTGATCTTCTACTGACTGAACAGGTATGTGCCACTGATCTTCTACTGAACGCACGGGGACGTGACACTGATCTTCTACTGACCTAACAGGTATGTGACACTGATCTTCTACTGACTGAACAGGTATGTGCCAGTGATCTTCTACTGACTGGACAGGTACGTGACATTGATCTTCTACTGACTGAACACGGACCTGACACTGATCTTCTACTGACTGGACAGGAATGTGACACTGATCTTCTACTGACTGAACAGGTATGTGCCAGTGATCTTCTACTGAATGGACAGGTATGTGACACTGATGTTCTACTGAATGGACAGGTATGTGACACTGATGTTCTACTGACTGGACAGGTATGTGACACTGATCTTCTACTGAATGGACAGGTATGTGACACTGATCTTCTACTGACTGGACAGGTATGTGACACTGATCTTCTACTGAATGGACAGGTATGTGACACTGATCTTCTACTGACTGGACAGGTATGTGAGACTGATGTTCTACTGACTGGACAGGTATGTGAGAATGATGTTCTACTGAATGGACAAGTATGTGACACTGATCTTCTACTGACTGGACAGGTATGTGACACTGATCTTCTACTGACTGAACAGGTATGTGCCACTGATCTTCTACTGACTGCACGGGGACGTGACACTGATCTTCTACTGACTGAACAGGTATGTGACACTGATCTTCTACTGACTGAACAGGTATGTGCCAGTGATCTTCTACTGACTGGACAGGTACGTGACATTGATCTTCTACTGACTGAACACGGACCTGACACTGATCTTCTACTGACTGGACAGGAATGTGACACTGATCTTCTACTGACTGAACAGGTATGTGCCAGTGATCTTCTACTGAATGGACAGGTATGTGACACTGATGTTCTACTGAATGGACAGGTATGTGCCAGTGATCTTCTACTGACTGGACAGGTACGTGACACTGATTTTCTACTGAATGGACACGGACGTGACACTGATCCTTATACTTACTGGAAGGGATGTGAAATTAATTGTATAATCTGTAACTGACCGTTCGGGACAAGGACGTGGAAGGTAGACAGCCTCTTTTGACAGGTGTAGCCTGCACACCAGCCGTGGTCCTGGGGGCCGTTGACGAGGTCGACATACTGGTTGCTGAGGACGGCGACAGGTGACAGCCGCCTCAACTCTGTATCCTCATCCATGTTTTCAATAACCAGCATCACGTGATCAATATTGTGACATTCATACGCATTCCACTTCACGTTGAAGGTACACTGTTCATTTCGTACAATTCCTGGAAACACAAAGCCATGGTTGTGAGTGAGCGAGAGAGTTCCCTTAAAGCCGCATGGGAAATTAATTCAGTTACATCATGTGTTTACCAATCTGGGGTTCGAACTGAGGATCACAGGATTCTGGCACGGGTATGGTACGTAACTCTGTACAGCGATATTATCAGTAGCGTTTGCCCTCAAGGTTTTGATTTTATTCGATTGTTGAGTTGGATCCCAACCAAGTAAATTGTCATATGAGTGAGTGAGTGAGTATGATTTTACGCCGCTTTTAGCAATATTCCAGCAATATCACGGCGGGGGACACCAGAAATGGGCTTCAAACATTGTACCCATGTCGGGAATCGAACCCGGGTCTTCGGCGTGACGAGCGAACGCTTAAACCACGAGGCTACCAGACCGCCCCAAATTGTCATATGAGAACTATTGTGATGATATTACTGAGATCCCCTGCTTACTTCTGCAAATGTTCCCTACCTTTGTTTGGCGCAATTGCTGAGACATTGATTTTGTTTCCAGCCAGGTCAGTAAGCATCTGTTTAGGAAGCCTGTAATCTCCCAGACCTCTCCGTCTATCCCCGTCCCACTCCCACTCCGACCGGGAGAGGATGGAGCCAGGGGAGCCGAGCATGGAACCATCCTTGTCTCTGAGCAACAGCTTCTTCATGGCATCACAATCCATGTCCACGCAATCAGAGGGGTTGATTTTACTGAAGTGGGTAAGTGGGTGAGTTGGGTGAGTTGGGTGAGTTATTGAGGTTTTCCAGAACACGCAAATTAATGCTCACCGTAGTGAGTGAGTGAGTTGGGTTAAACGTCTTTCAACACTCTATAATTATTAGAGTGAATCTGGGATTCGAACTAACGATTTTAGGTTCCTGGCATATCTAAGGGACGCAACTTAGCCCGCTTTTGCTGAAGTGAGTGATCGGGTGAAAATGAATTGGGTTTAACGCCAAAGGTTTGCAGTGTTATCTCGGCATTGCGAGCAATACCCAGGAACACCATAAGTCATTGTTGTGAGTCATCATTCAGGTTGCAGTGCATTTCCATTTGGATGAAACTCACTACAATATAATGACGTTGAGAAATACAGGGCGAGTCAGAAAGCCTACCGCTTTGATCATTTCAGATAAGTAACAATGTGTCGGCTGAATGCGGCATAAAATTACAAAAAGTGACGCAGGCCGTAGCTGTTTTCGACACTGGTGCTGACAGACCATGGATTAGCGACAGGTCGCAACTAGGATTCGAACACACGAGCTAATGCAATGCGGACTGACTGACTGTTTCTTGTTTAACGCCGCACTAAGCAATATTCCAGCTACATAACGGCGGTCTGTAAATAATCGAGCCAGACAATCCAGTGATTGACATCATGAACATCGATCCACACAACCGGGATACGATGACATGCTTCTACCAAGTCAGCGAGCCTGACCACCTGATCCCGTAGTCGCCTCTAACTTCGGTCTTCAACCACTTATCACAGAAAGTCATATTATTAGACAATTACAAGGAATAAAAGCTAAGCACAGTTTATAACACATGTCCATCAAGATTACTGCACTTATATAGCGACGTTCATGCATGTGCGCTTGTGTGTGTGTGTGTGTGTGTGTGGGTGGGTGGGGTAGAGTTGGTGTTTATCTTAGGTGTTCACATTAGGCGATGAGGTGTGTATTTGTGTGTGTGTGTGCGTGCGTGCGTGCGTGCGTGCGCGTGCGTGTGTGTGTGTGTGTGTGTGTGTGTGTGTGTGTGTGTGTGTGTGTGTGTGTGTGCTTGTACTAGTCCGGACTCATGTCGGTTTTTTTTATAGTGATTGCCTTATGAGATACATGTACCATGCCGCAGTTTAAACATGGATACTCACTCAGACACAGCATACGGACCCCGGCCGACCATTCCTTGTTTTAGCCCCTTAATGCCGAGCGCCAGACAGGGTAACAAGTATAATATTTTACGTCTTTTGGTATGACTAGGCCGGGGATACAATTCAAAGAAACATAGTGTTCATGTTGCAAATTTCAGAAGGTATCGCTGGTATCTTAAACTTTTTTTTACATTAATTTTATAAAAACGAGGTCAAGCTCATGTACACACACATCTAAAAGATACATGGAAAGTAGAAAGAAGGTTGTTTACCTTAGGTGTTCACATGAGGCGATTAGGTGTGTGTGTGTGTATTTGTATGTGTGTGTGTGTGTGTGTGTGTGTGTGTGTGTGTGTGTGTGTGTGTGTGTGTGTGTGTGTGTGTGTGTGTGTGTGTGTGTGTGTGTGTGTGTGTGTGTGTGGCTGCCCACTAAGATACAAGGCCGCAGTTTAACATGAATACCCCACTCAGAAAGTATACTGACTCCTTGTTTTGTCCCCTTAATGCCGAGCGCCAGGCAGGGTAACAACAAGTGCCATCTTTTGGTATGACGCGGCCGGGGATCGAACACATGAAGAAACATACCCGAGGTTGGGATGATGGTAGAACACCCGGTTGTTTTTAGGCGTAAAATAAAATGTCAGATCTTCCGCATTCATAGGGTGCTGGAGGTCGTCGTTGCCCTTGTTGGACGTTATGGCGAAGTTCTGACTCGTCCCACACGACGCGTCGTAACGAGCAAAGACGTTATCTAAAAAAACATATTCAGACAATCATGGCATGTAACTGATGGCGAAATGGTACGGATGCTGACTGAGCACATTGTGGCTACTATCTGTTGTAACACATCTTAAAAAGGGGCATGTTTGATAAACTTCTTAATTACAATTGGTTCATACAATCGTGTCAACAGTTACAATCCGGCCACTTAGATATCCATGAAGGTTTCCTGTTTCAAGTTTTCTGTATGATCACAAGGTCGACAGAAGTATCTCTAAAGGCGTGTTTTTGAACCGACAAAGTTGGATGAGGGTCCTTCTTTGCCCTCTGGAAACGTCACATTTCAAACTTGGGGGTAACGTTGATATATTGGCATAAACATTGTCAGACAAGATGAAATGGCTGATAACTAGCGTTTCTTTTCCCGTTGACTTGCAAAACCTACCAAATTTCCAGTCCAATTGTGACTAAATCCGTGACCCAAGATAATTATTGGTCTACAACCCCAACGAAAGTGAAAAGTAAAAATTACTCGTGTTCAAATATTTTTAGATCACCATCCTTGTTTAACAATACGCCCAAGCTTAGTGAAAAATATGTTTGTTATTTGAACGTTTTACAAAGTATTTGAAACATCAATACGTTCATTTCCCGCCATGTATGTTCTCCAATGGTTGGTTGGTTGGTTTGTTGTTTAACGCCGCACTCAGCAATATTCCAGCTATATGACGGTGGTCTGTAAATAATCGAGTCTGGACAAGACAATCCAGGGATTAATATCATGATCATCGATCCACGCAATTGGGATCGATGACATGCATCAACAAAGTCAGCGAGCCTGACCACCCGATCCTGTTAGTCGCCTTTTACGACAAACATAGTCACCTTTTACGGCAAGCATGGGTTGCTGAAGACCTATTCTGCCCCGGAATCTTCACGGGTTGTTCCCCAATTGTCATTTCATAGGAACGCATATACAATGACATACGTTTGATGTTAAATTTGTAATAAAGCTACTAAACTACAGAGTTTAACAGAAATGTTCTTTGTGGAACAAACACAGACATCTATTTGGATTGTAATGGCTTGTTTTTGGATTGAGTTTGATTTTTAATGACTGCAAGAGTGGGTTTTGATTGTTTAGTATTGAATAGTTTGAATTAACCAACTTTAATTTTTTTTACGTAACTTCGCGAGCCAATACCATTTGATGTCAATGATGTGTGAGCTCTATGTGTACAAACCTTTTATATTCATGATCCCACTGATGGCATTGTAAGACATGACAGAAATAAATGGCTTCTCGGGGGCATTGTTACTGCCCTGAGTGAACTGTGGGAACAGGAGACCAACCATTGATGTATCTGCACCATGGGCAAAGCTTCGTGCTTGGGAGCTCAACTTGAAATTATCATCGCTTGAGTCGAACTTGTGTACATCACAGTCGAAGGACGAGGTCTGCCCAACGAACATGGAATTCGTCACTTCCACAAATTTGTCTGACGTCTGATGACTAAGAGCACTTGGTCCAACCACCATCGGGAATATACCGATGCCATTCTCGATGGAGATGATGAACTTTGCCTTAAGACTCGCCGCCTGGTTGTAGTAGATCCCGTAGTCATAATTTCTCCACAGCAAAAGGTTGGCAAGGTATATACACGTGGTGCTGACGACATCTTCATCAGTAGGAAACATGGACACACCGATCATGCTTGCATGAACCTCGTTCCCAGTCCAGCTGGATTCGCTCGTGCAGTCCTCGCCTCTGACTCTGATTCCTGTCCTTTCTGAACCAGCGATGACGTTGTTCTTGAAGACAAGGCTGGTGGCTTTCATGACGTCAATGCTGCCATCGAATTGGATATTGGTCGCCTCTGCTCTGCTTCGATACGATCCTGGCCATAACGTCAAAGTGACCAGGTTGCTCAGGATTTGTGTATTTACCGAATCAGATATCATAGCTGAAATGAAAAGTACTTCTGGTGAACGCTGCTTTGAACACAATTTCGGTGATGTCAGCATGACGTGGGAGGAAAGCCCGAAACGATGAAGTCTAAATACTGGTAATTATAGTCTTAATAAGAAATAGATACCAAGGTTCACAATCAGGACGAATCTGGTTTTCGATCCCATTATTAATGGGACCTGCTACACCTACCTGCAAAGCCTACTGATTGGGCCACCCTTGAAGCCATCAAAGGAGACTTAACAGAATATGACTACAATAGCCTATGCACATTAACCATCATACCATTAAATCCCAGCCTTGATAGAAACTGGCAGTTTTAGTCCGTATAATGATAGCATTTCTACTTGTTCTTATGATGACTTAACTATTAGGCAGTTTGGCAAGGACCATAGGGCGAGTGCTAATGTCTGACACTGGCCACTACCATCGCGCCGGAGGATACATTATGCACATGACAGGCCAAATGTCTTACTAGGCTCGATCACCTTATTATAAAGATATATAAATTGTCAATGCAAGGGAATAACCAGCCAAGATATTCTGCCTAAATAGATTCCACTTGGATTAAAGGGCAAATAACTTCTTCCTTAAGCCCAACAACAAACCTACCAGATCCGACTGTATGATGTATGACGTTGTTGTCGATCTGAAGGCCGGTTACGCCGAAGACGCCGATGGCGGGGGAGAAGCCGTGGTGGAAGGAGCAGCAGGATACATAGGAGAGACGTTTGTCGTCGTTGCGGATGCCGATGAAGGATACGGAGAAGCGAGGGTCGTAAGAGCTGGTGTATCCCTCCTGGCCCGTGAGGTAGAACTCCACATTCTTAATCTTAGCAACGCCTAAAAACAAGCAATAAAAACAATATACAAGCGCCAGTCGCTGGTGACAGCATTCAAGCACTACAACTGTAATTATGAAACTACTGCTACTACTACTACTACTACTACTATCTACAGCTGCTGCTGCTACTCCTCTATGTAATACTACTGCTACTACTTTGACTACAGACCCGTGAAGATCAGGGGTAGAATATGTCTTCACTATGGACAATACCTCCAGGTTTAAGAGTATTTCACTAAGGACAATACCGCCCGGTTTACGAGTATATCAGGATGGACAATACCTCCCGGTTTAAGAGTATTTCACCAAGGACAATACCGCCAGGTTAAAGGGTATTTACCTACAATCTCATTAAAATCATATCTTAGTTCTCGCTACCACTAAACAAAGATTTGAGGACATCTCATTAGGGGTCACGTCAGAACGACCTTTCATCCGACCAATCAGAGCGTCGCTTACCAGATCATGAAAGTGAGAATGTGTTTTCTAAACATGCAACCTCGAAAACGTTAACACGGGGTATTCCACACAACAGTTACGGCCCGTACGACTGATTCCGTCAAAATTATCGTCTGTCTCTCGCTTCCGTTGGAGAAACATTTGAACGGAGGAGGTATTGTACAGTACGTGGAAGCACTGCCATACAACCGCAACCATATATTAGAAATTCCGGAATGTTTGTTTGTTCAGTTTTTCAAATTTTAATCGAGAACTGTGTCAACATACTTTTCAAGCGTAGTCTGAAATGGAAGTCGCCAGATTGAAACGAGTGCCGTAAAGCTCGAGAAAGCGGCTTTCTAGTTGTCTGATGTCGACTCCTGATGAGTCGTTTCAGTGGGAGGTCAAGGTTCGCGAAAGGTCGTTCTGACGTGACCCGTAATGGGATGTCCTCAGATCTTTGTTTAACGACAGCGAGAACTTAGATCTGATTTTAATGAGATTGATTTACCTAAGGACAATACCTCCCGGTTTTTAACCGAATTATGAGATTCAAACCGCCCGTCCATTAACTGCTGGCTGTGAAAACATCATACAAAGTTACTAAGCAGACAAAAATGAGAGTTTTAATTAACTGAATTAATTATCCATAGTTGCCGATTGACCCAAGCCTCGTCACCCTTCCACGTAATGCTTTACTAACCGCTGTACGATTCTGTTCCATTGTTCCTCGTGCTTGTTGCTACCATAATCCGAGCGCCGAAACTCTCCGTGTAGAGTCCCGAGTACGTTTCTCCGATGACCCTGATGTTCCTGGTGAAACGTCCCACCTTGGCTGACACGCTGTAGTTGTGTCCCGTTCCTAGCGTCTCCGACATCACTGGGGAGAAGAGTGAGTGAGTGAATACCTAGCGCGACATCACCGGTACACTCTGTTGTGTGTGAAGTGAGTGATAAAGGTCGCATAGACAGCTTTATCAATGTAAGGCAGCCATATGCGGGAGTAATACTATTGTTTACTAGTTTAGGGTACGGGGTCTTGATGACAAAACTTAAACTCGGCCCAATGTCCGTCAAGCGTTTATCTCATACATAACACCATGACGTGCATGTAGAACACACACAAGGTCATGCTTATACTAGTATAACATACATACCATCATGTGTATACATCATACATACCATCATGTGTGTACATCATACATACCATCAGGTGTGTACATCCTACTTATCATCAGGTGTGTACATCCTACATACCATCATGTGTGTACATCGTACATACCATCATGTGTGTACATCCTACATACCATCATGTGTGTACATCCTACATACCATCATGTGTGTACATCCTACATACCATCATGTGTGTACATCATACATACCATCATGTGTGTACATCCTACATACCATCATGTGTGTACATACTACATACCATCATGTGTGTACATACTACATACCATCATGTGTCTACATCCTACATACATCATGTGTGTACATCATACATACCATCATGTGTGTACATCATACATACCATCATGTGTGTACATCCTACATACCATCATGTGTGTACATCATACATACCATCATGTGTGTACATCCTACATACCATCATGTGTATACATCATACATACCATCAGTGTGTACATCCTACATATCATCAGGTGTGTACATCCTACATACCATCATGTGTGTACATCCTACATACCATCATGTGTGTACATCATACATACAATCATGTGTGTACATCATACATACCATCATGTGTGTACATCCTACATACCATCATGTGTACATCCTACATACCATCATGTGTGTACATCATACATACCATCATGTGTACATCCTACATACCATCATGTGTACATCCTACATACCATCAGGTGTGTACATCATACATACCATCAGTGTGTACATCATACATACAATCATGTGTGTACATCCAACATACCATCATGTGTGTATATCCTACATACCATCATGTGTGTATATCCTACATACCATCATGTGTGTATATCCTACATACCATCATGTGTGTATATCCTACATACAATCATGTGTGTACATCATACATACCATCATGTGTGTATATCCTACATACCATCATGTGTGTATATCCTACATACCATCATGTGTGAACATCCTACATACCATCAGGTGTGTATATCCTACATACCATCATGTGTGTACATCATACATACAATCATGTGTGTACATCATACATACCATCAGGTGTGTGCATCCTACATATCATCAGGTGTGTACATCCTACATATCATCAGGTGTGTACATCCTACATACAATCATATGTGTACATCCTACATACCATCATGTGTGTACATCCTACATACCATCATGTGTGTACATCATACATACCATCATGTGTGTACATCCTACATACCATCAGGTGTGTACATCCTACATACCATCATGTGTGTACATCATACATACCATCATGTGTGTACATCCTACATACAATCATGTGTGTACATCCTACATACCATCATTTGTGTACATCATACATATTATCAGGTGTGTACATCTTACATATCATCAGGTGTGTACGTCCTACATATCATCAGGTGTGTACATCCTACTTATCATCATGTGTGTACATCCTACATATCATCAGGTGTGTACATCCTACATATCATCATGTGTGTATATCCTACATACCATCATGTGTGTACATCATACATACAATCATGTGTGTACATCCTACATACAATCATGTGTGTACATCCTACATACCATCATGTGTGTACATCCTACATACCATCAGGTGTGTACATCCTACATACAATCATGTGTGTACATCCTACATACCATCATGTGTGTACATCCTACATACCATCATGTGTGTACATCCTACATACCATCATTTGTGTACATCATACATATTATCAGGTGTGTACATCTTACATATCATCAGGTGTGTACATCCTACATATCATCAGGTGTGTACATCCTACTTATCATCAGGTGTGTACATCATACATACCATCATGTGTGTACATCCTACATATCATCATGTGTGTACATCCTACATACCATCATGTGTGTACATCCTACACAACCATCATGTGTGTACATCATACATACCATCATTTGTGTACATCATACATATTATCAGGTGTGTACATCCTACATATCATCAGGTGTGTACATCCTACTTATCATCAGGTGTGTACATCATACATACCATCATGTGTGTACATCATACATACCATCATGTGTGTACATCATACATACAATCATGTGTGTACATCCTACATACCATCATGTGTGTACATCCTACATACAATCATGTGTGTACATCCTACATACCATCATGTGTGTACATCCTACATACCATCAGGTGTGTACATCCTACATACAATCATGTGTGTACATCCTACATACCATCATGTGTGTACATCCTACATACCATCATTTGTGTACATCATACATATTATCAGGTGTGTACATCTTACATATCATCATGTGTGTACATCCTACTTATCATCAGGTGTGTACATCCTAAATATCATCAGGTGTGTACATCCTACTTATCATCAGGTGTGTACATCCTAAATATCATCAGGTGTGTACATCCTACATATCATCAGGTGTGTACATCCTACATATCATCAGGTGTGTACATCCTACATACCATCATGTGTGTACATCCTACTTATCATCAGGTGTGTACATCCTAAATATCATCAGGTGTGTACATCCTACATATCATCAGGTGTGTACATCCTAAATATCATCAGGTGTGTACATCCTAAATATCATCAGGTGTGTACATCCTAAATATCATCAGGTGTGTACATCCTACATATCATCAGGTGTGTACATCCTACATACCATCATGTGTGTACATCCTACATATCATCAGGTGTGTACATCCTACATACCATCATGTGTGTACATCCTACATACCATCATGTGTGTACATCCTACATACCATCATGTGTGTACATCCTACATACCATCATGTGTGTACATCCTACATACCATCATGTGTGTACATCCTACATACCATCATTTGTGTACATCATACATATTATCAGGTGTGTACATCTTACATATCATCAGGTGTGTACATCCTACATATCATCAGGTGTGTACATCCTACTTATCATCAGGTGTGTACATCATACATACCATCATGTGTGTACATCATACATACCATCATGTGTGTACATCATACATACCATCATGTGTGTACATCCTACATACAATCATGTGTGTACATCCTACATACCATCATGTGTGTACATCCTACATACCATCAGGTGTGTACATCCTACATACAATCATGTGTGTACATCCTACATACCATCATGTGTGTACATCCTACATACCATCATTTGTGTACATCATACATATTATCAGGTGTGTACATCTTACATATTATCAGGTGTGTACATCCTACATATCATCAGGTGTGTACATCCTACTTATCATCAGGTGTGTACATCCTAAATATCATCAGGTGTGTACATCCTACATATCATCAGGTGTGTACATCCTACATATCATCAGGTGTGTACATCCTACATACCATCATGTGTGTACATCGTACATACCATCATGTGTGTACATCCTACATACCATCATGTGTGTACATCCTACATACCATCATGTGTGTACATCATACATACCATCATGTGTGTACATCCTACATACCATCAGGTGTGTACATCCTACATACCATCATGTGTGTACATCCTACATACCATCATGTGTGTACATCCTACATACCATCATGTGTGTACATCCTACATACCATCATGTGTGTACATCCTACATATCATCATGTGTCTACATCCTACATACCATCATGTGTGTACATCCTACATACAATCATGTGTGTACATCCTACATACAATCATGTGTGTACATCCTACATACAATCATGTGTGTACATCCTACATACCATCATTTGTGTACATCATACATATTATCAGGTGTGTACATCATACATACCATCATGTGTGTTTATCCTTCATATCATCAGGTGTATAAAGATCATACATACCATCATGCGTATACTCCATGGTAGTATTCAGCGTCAGGATTGTCTTGTCCGTGGACATAGCAGAGATCTTAAAGGTCTCTGTATGCCACGCGCTGTATGAAGTAGACGTGACAAGGATCTCATCTCCCACGCTCCACTCCACAGCTTCAACAAGGGTTAACTTGTTACCTCCCTTTGTTGCCGTGTCTGCAAGGGACGTCCACGTCACACACGTGCCCTTGCCGTTGAGATCCAGACCCCCGTACACGGCTGCAGATGAGGAGAGATCAATGAACATTCATTCTAAACGTGGATGATTGACAGGCCTACTAATGCCGGCAGCACTTCGTGTCGGATGACTTCCTTACGATACATTCCTCTGCCTGCTACATGATACATTCCTCTGTCTACTACAAAATACATTCCTCAGTCTCTGCCTACTACACGATACATTCATGAGTCTCTGCCTTCTACACGATACATTCCTGAGTCTCTGCCTACTACACAATACATTCCCGAGTCTCTGCCTACTACACATTATATTCCATCTGCCTACTTCACAATACATTCCAGGGCCTCTTCCTACCAGATATACATTCCTGAGTCTCTGCCTACTACACATTATATTCCAGAGCCTCTACCTACCAGATATACATTCCTGAGTCTCTGCCTACTACACAATACATTCCTGAGTCTCTGCCTACTACACAGCACATTCCTGAGTCTCTGCCTACTACACAATACATTCATGAGTCTCTGCCTACTACACAATACATTCCATCTGCCTACTACACAATACATTCCATCTGCCTTCTACACAATACATTCATGAGTCTCTGCCTACCACACAATTCATTCCATCTGCCTACTACACAATACATTCCATCTGCCTGCTACACAATACATGCCTGAGTCTCTGCCTACTACACAATACATCCCTGAGTCTCTGCCTACTACACAATACATTCCATCTGCCTTCTACACAATACATTCCTGAGTCTCTGCCTTCTACACAATACATCCCTGAGTCTCTGCCTTCTACACGATACATTCCTGAGTCTCGGCCTACTACACAATACATTCCTGAGTCTCTGCCTACTACACAATACATCCCTGAGTCTCTGCCTACTACACAATACATTCCATCTGCCTTCTACACAATACATTCCTGAGTCTCTGCCTTCTACACAATACATCCCTGAGTCTCTGCCTTCTACACGATACATTCCTGAGTCTCTGCCTACTACACAATACATTCCTGAGTCTCTGCCTACTACACAATACATTCCTGAGTCTCTGCCTACTACACAATACATTCCTGAGTCTCTGCCTTCTGCACAATACATTCCTGAGTCTCTGCCTTCTGCACAATACATACCTGAGTCTCTGCCTTCTACACAATACATTCCTGAGTCTCTGCCTTCTACACAATACATTCCTGAGTCTCTGCCTTCTACACGATACATTCCTGAGTCTCTGCCTACTACAAAATACATTCCTGAGTCTCTGCCTACTACACAATACATTCCTGAGTCTCGGCCTACTACACAATACATTCCTGAGTCTCTGCCTACTACACGATACATTCCTGAGTCTCTGCCTACTACACAATATATTCCTGAGTCTCTGCCTACTACACAATATATTCCTAAGTCTCTGTCTACTACACAATACATTCCTGAGTCTCTGCCTACTACACAATACATTCCTGAGTCTCTGCCTACAAGACGATACATTCCTGAGTCTCGGCCTACTACACAATACATTCCTGAATCTCTGCCTACTACACAATACATTCCTGAGTCTCTGCCTACTACACGATACATTCCTGAACTGCAGACGACACAATATATTCCTGAGTCTCTACCTACGTTATAAGACTTTACCGAGTCTGTACCTTCTAACCGATACATGCCACCTCATTGCGACTGTTGAAATGTCTCACCTATAGCCTTTGCGCCGGCAGTGGGGCCATCATCCACAGGATAAGGCTTTGAAGCGTGGGAACCGGATAGGAAGATATTAGCCTGGCCCAAGAAGGGTTCATCCGGCCAGCCAATCACAAGCCGCCCGTACACGACAATCATCTTTGCTCTCAAGTTGAAGGTCTTCGTTGCAACGTTATCAAATTCAAGGGCGCCGATGATGACCACAGTACCAAGGGTGGGGATTGCCTCCTCATCCGCTACAATCCAGTAGTCTTGGAGAAAGAACAGATAAAGCTTTTTATGAATCAGTTGCAAAGCAGCATTTATCAGTGAGGTAAGGTATTGTATGTACACGAAGTAGAATATACAACTTTACAATTTTAAAACATGCATATTGTCACTCCAAAGTATGATGTTCTGAGGGAGTGCGAGTGAGTGAGTGAGTGAGTATGGTTTCACGCCGCTTTTAGCAATATTCCAGCAATATCACGGCGGGGGACATCAGAAATGGGCTTCACACATTGTACCCATGTCGGGAATCGACCCCGGGTCTTCGGCGTGACGAGCGAACGCTTTAACCACAAGCCAACCGACCGCCCCCGAGGGAGTGTGAGGTTTCTGTAACTTGATTTGATGCATACGAAAGAAATGCTGGTCATTTCCCGCTAACCTCTCTTTAAATCGATTCTAAATATCACTTGCTAAGAACACGTGATCATGAAGATCCGGGTTAGAATTAATCTTCAGCAACAACGCTTGTTGTGAAAGTGATTAACGGGATCGGGTGGTCAGACTTGCTGACTTAGTTAGTGCATGTCATCATATCCCAATTGCGTTCGATGCTCATGATGTCAATCCCTGAACTGTCTTGTCAACACTCGAATATATATATTTACAGACCGTCGTCATACAACTGGAATATTGCCGAGTGCGGCGTTAACAAAATTATACAAAACAAACACTTGCGAAGAATAGCAAGTGTAAACAATGTGCACAATTGATTGACAGCTAAAATATCTAAACGCTTGGAAGCCCACCTCAAGACGCATTGCCATGCTTATAGAAATCGTCAGAACATTAAATTTCCTGTGACTTATACAGCGAGCTGCATGCACGTGTGTGTGTTTGGCTGCTTGTTCTAGTCCAGGCAGGTACTAATGCCGATTTATAGTGCTAGCCCACTGAGATACCATGCATCAGTTTAACATGAATACCCGCTCAGTATACAGTATACTGATTCTGAGCCGACCAGACCTTGTTTTAGCCCCTTAATGCCGAGCGCTAGACAGGGTAACAACAAGTACCATCTTTTAACATCTTTTTGGTATGAAGCGTCCGGGGATCAAACCCCGGACCTTCCGCTCTCCAGGCGGACGCTCTACCACTAGATCACAGACTCAGACACAGCCGACTGGATGAAATATTCTTCTCCTCGTCATACCGATTTAAAACAAGTTAAAAACCTTTTAAAATATCTGTGTCCGAAAATGCTCGTATAATTAAAAGTTGTTCCTGTTTTTTCACACACAATTGGGAGTAAACTGTAGACTAACATCCAGTCTCTGAAATGAACATCTCGTACAGGAAAAAACAGTTGTTCAGTTATCTTAATAAAAATAAAATAAAAGGGAGCCCATTGACTCTCTTCATTTTCAGATATTTCCTGATACTGCAGTGATCTAGACTTGCCAAACATTATAGACTTGCATGGGCTGTATTTGATATATATTTGTAACAGGGTCTGTAAGACAGACTAGGTAAACAGGTAAAGTTCAAACGGTGTCTGTAGTGGAGGTATCTGAAACAGGAGTGAAAGCTTGCAAATGCCTACTTTCTGGAATGGTGACATCCTCATTCGCTTGTGGCTTCTGACTGTCCTGGAAGTCCCACGTCTTGGTGTCGGAATACAGAAGTGCGTTATCGGGCCGTTTGTTCAGTTCTTTAAAATCCGGCGGAGGAATACAGTTCTTGTGCAAGCACTTGATGGAATTGACCTTCAAGATTCTGTCCTCGCTGGACTCTGCAGCGCGCTTCTTCCGGGCTTCTGTCTTGTGCGATACTGAAATACAAAGTGCCAGCCTAAGAAATACGCTTTTCACAAGTCCTGAGCACCAGTAGATATGTTATTTCACTAGTCATCAGTGTCTGTAGCTAGACCTGCTGAAGCGAGACAAAATATTGTTACTAATATTTACATTTTAACCAAGGTAGCAAAGGTGATTTTCTCTTAAAATTTGAATGAGTGAGTGAGTTGGGTTTAACGCCGCTTTTAACAGTATTCCAGTTATATCACGGCGTGTCAGCTTAATGTGGGAAGAAAGCCTGAAAGTGGCGCAGGTCTAAGACGTTACCACTTCAGTAAAACCCATAAGCACGGGTATGGTGCTGACAAACATGGAAACATAATCGGGTTGAACCGTGATTCGAACCCACGATCATAAGTTTCTGGCGTGCCAAAGGGACGCAACTCTGCACAGCGAATCGCGGCGCCTTAGGCGACTGGACCACCCTTGCCTCCCTTACAATTTGAAGATCCTGACTAACGACACTTCTGTACTTAGTCATTGCATTGGTAGAAGTTTTGGATGCGTTAGAAAATACTTTTACACTTGTATATTTAGAAATTACGTAATATATCCACATGCCACTATCGTACTCATGTTATATGAAAGAATTTGTACTCTTGGCCACGAGGCCTTCAATACTTAGGAAAATCTCTCTCTCGAAAATAGGGTTGAATAGGTCTTCAGCAACCCATGCTTGCCGTAAAAGGTGACTATGCTTGTTGTAAAAGGCGACTAACGGAATCGGGTGGTCAGAAGCGCTTACTTGGTTTATGCATGTCATCGATCCCAATTGTGTGGATCGATGTTCATGATATTAATCACTGGATTGTCTGGTCCAGACTCGATTATTAACAGACCGCCGTCATATAGCTGGAATATTGCTGTGTGCGGCGTTAAACAACAAAACAACCAACCAACCAACGAAAACAGGTTGGTTGCCAATCATATGAAGATGCCCGATAAACATCATCATATATTTGCAGTTTTCCAAGGCAATTTTAATGCACCATTTTCTGTCATAATTCCAGGCGATTCCTTATGGATTTTTAATTTATTTCGACATCAGATGAACGATTATAAAGGCGGTTATAGTCATTCAGCTTACTGAAGTAGCAGAGTTGGTTTAGGCTGTCGTCGAAAGACCAAGCGCCGTTGACGGCGGTGTTGACGTTGATACCTCCAACGGTTTCGTTGATAGGGGAGCTGCCGATGTAGAAACGATCAGGGCGTTCTGCCTGTTGGCATATCGTCAGGTGGTTGTTGCTCTGTTAAAAACACATTGACAGCACACACATAACAACACTGAGATGAGAATCGTACGGTACGGAGACAACGCCACCGTCTTTATCATAATGCGTACGCCGACACCTCTACCCTAGTGTCGATCTACGCATAACTCAGAGGTGAGGTGAAATTGGGTTAACGTCGCGTCCAAGATTATTGCACTTATATAGCGACGTGCATGCACGTGTGTGGTGTGTGGCCTGTGGGTCTGATGCCGATTTATAGTGCTAGCTCACTGAGATACCATGCATCAGTTTAACATGAATACCCAACTCAGACACATTATACTGACTCCGAGCCGACCAGTCCTTGTTTTAGCCCCTTAATGCCGAGCGCCAGACAGGGTAACAACAAGTACCATCTTTTAACGTCTTTTGGTATGACGCGGCCGGGGATCGAACCCCGAACCTTCCGCTCTCCGGGCGGACGCTCTACCACTAGACCACAGAGGCGGTCGCATAACTCAGAGACCAGAACGACCCTTTTATAGTAACAGAGGAAGCGGGTGGCATACTATCCCGACCTATATATCTGTTATAATATCGCATAGCGTATCAGTCAATTCAGACAGTTGTTCAGTCAGTCAGTCTGTGCACATAGAAAAGGGGAGGTGAAATGGGGTTCAACGTCGCCCTCTCGATTTTTCACTTACATCGCGATATGAATGTGTGTGTGGCTGTGTACTAGCCCGGAATGGCGCCGGTGTTATAGTGTTAGCCAGTTGAATGTTACAATACCAAGGCTGATATACAAGCCAAGACCATGGGTGACTCGGCCACCAAGTCGAGTCAGTTCGCCGTGCGGACGTACGTCTCTTAGCTCTTACTCGATCCTAGTGTGAGTATGGTTTTACGCCGTTTTTAGCAATATTCCAGCAATATCACGGCGGGGGACACCAGAAATGGGCTTCACACATTGTACCCATGTCGGGAATCGAACCCGGGTCTTCGGCGTGACGAGCGAACGCTTTAACCACTAGGCTACCCGACGCCTCTGAAGATCCGGGTGAGAAATGCTCTTCATCAACCAAAGCTTAGCGACTATATTTGTCGAAAGAGGCGACTAAATGGATCGGTTGGTCAGGGTCGCTGATGCATGTCATCGTATCCTTATTGCGTGGATGCTCATGATGTCAATTATTGGATTGTCTGGTCCAAATTCGTTTATTTACAGACCACCGTCATGTAGCTGGACTATTGCTGAGTGCGGCGTTAAACAACAAACTGGTTGGAGTAAAATAGTACGGCAAGGGAGACAACCCATTCATTGGGTGGTTTGCCTCACACATGTTCACCTTTAGAAAGTGCGGGTGGACGGTAAAAGACAAAATAGAAAAATAACTATTTAAAGACTATTGTTATATAGCTTGAATATTGCTGAGTCAGGCGTTAAGCAAAACACAAACAAACACATATGAGTACAAATAAAGAGGCCCGTGAAGATCCGGGGTAGAATAGGTGTTCAGCAACCCAGGCTTGCTGTAAGGGGAGACTAACGGGATCGGGTGGTCAGGCTTACTGACTTGGTTGATGCATGTCATCGATCCCAATTGCGTAGATCGATGCTCACGATATGAATCACTGGATTGTCTGGTCCAGACTCGATTATTTACAGACCGCCGTCATATAGCTGGAAAATTGCTGAGTGCGGCGTAAAACAACAACAAACAAAAAACAAATAAAGAATGGTGTACGTATGTTACCAAAATGTGGGCACTAAATTTGATGCTGAAAAAACACGGCTTAACATAAATTTATCCTCAACGGAAAACGTGACATACTGTAAAACAAGGTTCCATTAGGACGTACCAGAAATCTGTACGCTGTCGCATCGTAGCTGAAGTTAGTGAGATGTTTTGCGTCGTCATACGTGAGTGTATACTTCTCCCCATCGACAAGAAGCACCATCCAGCCGGGCTTATGTGTCACCCTCTTGAGAGCGAAATCTGAAGTCACGCTGTCACCCGCAGCGTTTGTGAAACGCAGTTTCTTGGCCTCGAGACTGACGGGCTTAGGATTATTCGAGGCGAAGCGATGGAAATTAACGCCAGGGTTACATTTTTTAGCAGGAACCCCATAACTGCAACTAGCCTCGGCCGTACACTGAGATGATGGTAAAATGTCCATGTCGGGCAATACGGACGCTCCGGCAGTGCCCAAGAAACTACCATCTAAGTCAATCATGACGCCCTCATGCTGCCAAGCAAAGCGGAACTTCCGGGGAGCATTGGTTAGCGTGAGACCGGTGCTTTTGACCGTGAAGCCCCCACAGAGAACGCTGCATGTGCCCTGCATGGTAGAGAAGCCGAACACTACCAGATTGTCCCGGTCGTAATTCTCGATCTTAAGGTTCTTCAACATCAGGCCGTTTTTCCATGGTAGAGATATTCCTAGGGAGCTCTTCGTGACAAACGGGGTTAAATCTGCGTGACGACCCGCTATCAGTGAATCTTTGATCATTGGTCCGGTTTCGTCATACTTGTTGACGTTTACCAATCGTTTGATTTCAATCCCAACCTCGTTGTTAATGACCTTGAAGTTCTTGAATTGAATATTGCCGCCATTTACTAACTCTGCTCCCTTGTGGTTGTTCCATGAAACCAAACCATCGAAAACAGCCACTGGAAAACAATTACATCTTCTTAACTTGCAGTACAGTACCACAGCCACTAAAATATTTACACCTTCTTAACTTGAAGTACAGTACCACAGCCACTAAAATATTTACACCTTCTTAACTTGCAGTACTGCACAGTACCACAGCCACTAAAATATTTACACCTTCTTAACTTGCAGTACTGTACAGTACCACAGCCACTAAAATATTTACACCTTCTTAACTTGCAGTACTGTACCACAGCCACTAAAATATTTACACCGTCTTAACTTGCAGTACTGCACAGTACCACAGCCACTAAAATATTTACACCTTCTTAACTTGCAGTACAGTACCACAGCCACTAAAATATTTACACCTTCTTAACTTGAAGTACAGTACCACAGCCACTAAAATATTTACACCTTCTTAACTTGCAGTACTGCACAGTACCACAGCCACTAAAATATTTACACCTTCTTAACTTGCAGTACTGTACAGTACCACAGCCACTAAAATATTTACACCTTCTTAACTTGCAGTACTGCACAGTACCACAGCCACTAAAATATTTACACCTTCTTAACTTGCAGTACTGTACCACAGCCACTAAAATATTTACACCTTCTTAACTTGCAGTACTGTACCACAGCCACTAAAATATTTACACCTTCTTAACTTGCAGTACTGCACAGTACCACAGCCACTAAAATATTTACACCTTCTTAACTTGCAGTACTGTACAGTACCACAGCCACTAAAATATTTACACCTTCTTAACTTGAAGTACTGCACAGTACCACAGCCACTAAAATATTTACACCTTCTTAACTTGAAGTACAGTACCACAGCCACTAAAATATTTACACCTTCTTAACTTGAAGTACAGTACCACAGCCACTAAAATATTTACACCTTCTTAACTTGCAGTACTGCACAGTACCACAGCCACTAAAATATTTACACCTTCTTAACTTGAAGTACAGTACCACAGCCACTAAAATATTTACACCTTCTTAACTTGCAGTATAGTACCACAGCCACTAAAATATTTACACCTTCTTAACTTGCAGTACTGCACAGTACCACAGCCACTAAAATATTTACACCTTCTTAACTTGCAGTACTGTACAGTACCACAGCCACTAAAATATTTACACCTTCTTAACTTGCAGTACTGTACAGTACCACAGCCACTAAAATATTTACACCTTCTTAACTTTCAGTACTGCACAGTACCACAGCCACTAAAATATTTACACCTTCTTAACTTGAAGTACAGTACCACAGCCACTAAAATATTTACACCTTCTTAACTTGAAATACAGTACCACAGCCACTAAAATATTTTCACCTTCTTAACTTGAAGTACAGTACCACAGCCACTAAAATATTTACACCTTCTTAACTTGCAGTACTGCACAGTACCACAGCCACTAAAATATTTACACCTTCTTAACTTTCAGTACTGCACTGTACCACAGCCACTAAAATATTTACACCTTCTTAACTTGCAGTATAGTACCACAGCCACTAAAATATTTACACCTTCTTAACTTGCAGTATAGTACCACAGCCACTAAAATATTTACACCTTCTTAACTTTCAGTACTGCGCAGTACCACAGCCACTAAAATATTTACACCTTCTTAACTTGCAGTACTGCACAGTACCACAGCCACTAAAATACTCAGTAGGGCTTCGAACATAGCCACTCAAAAACGATACAGCATGTCCTACCCCGCTTTCATCGGCCTGTGCCTGGTGTCTGATAGCTAAATGGGAACCTGTGTACTTCAGTTATATCACTGCGTGTCAGCTTAATGTGGTGGAGAAACCCCGATGTGACGAAGGTACGTTGGTAAATTACAGGTATGACGCTTACAAAGGGGATCATAACCCAAACTACACAATTAAGGGTCCGACAATTTGATATTCTGGGATAGTATGGATTAAATTTTTTTTATCAGCTAAAGTTGCAAAACCAGATTTTATATTATTAAACCTATAAGAATATTTATGTAAGACAAACATCTTCCCAAAATTAAATTTTCTGGCCAGACAATTTCTTTTATTTAAAAGTCTGAAGTATAATTATTTATTCAAGAATTTTCTTGGATAAGTTTTTGTTCGATAAATTCCCATCCCGGGATCTCAAACCGTTACCCAGATTGAAATATCCGAAAACGCAATGACATACGTAAAATACCGTCCAGTGCGGAGTTTAATGTAGGATACTCACATTCTGTGGGGAAATAATCTTCAAAGATCCAGATTCCGAACCACCCCATGGAATGAGCGGAGTTGTTGTTGAAGCTGCCGAGAGGGACCTCCTTGCATCTCACAGCAGTTGTCTTGGAAGGACCGTCAGGATTGGTGTGCATCCGGTACCAGAACCCAAAATGAGTTCCTCCTGCTGCAGCATTGTGGTTGAAGGTGTTGTTTGGATTGGTCACCCAGAACGAGGCTGGCGTGATGTCATCGTTCAACAGGCTAGTGCTTGCACGCACGAACACAGCCAGATTGTATTGGAAAAAGTTGCCAGTCTCTATGCCGTCTTCCAAGAACAGAGCACCACCCTTGATGTCGTACACGACGTTGTGTTCGATGTGGGTGTTGTGGCTGCCGTGGACGTTCACGGCCCTGTTGTTGGACTTGTGTATGGAGCAGAACCTGACATACGACTGAGACATGTCCCCGTTCAGATGGAAGTGGATGGCGTATCTCCCAAGTCGAAAAGCTTGACCAGCGTTGGTGACTTCGATGTAGCTCAAACGGGCGATGGCAATGTTCGTATCTCTCACAGGCGCATGGATCATAATTTGGCTTCCATACTCGTCACTTCCCATCTCTTCACCGAATCGCCCTTGGAAGCAGGTCTGTGTGGCAAACTCACCTGAAATCGAAATTATTTTCGGATAAACGTCATGTGATTCCAGATTTGAGGGTGTTATTTGGAATTTGATAACCAGAAATGCCCTTTGGAACTAACGGCGGAGGTTTCAAATGTAACATGTTTCGCGCATCATGTTTATTCGCATTGTGAAATACAACTGTCGTCAGTCATTGTCTGTAGCACTTACAGGTGTAAGGAAGATATGACGTTAGCCTAACGGGATCAGTTTGTTGGTTTGTTGTTTAACGCCGCACTCAGCAATATTCCAGCTATATGACGGCGGTCTGTAACTAATCGAGTCTGGACCACACAATCCAACGATTAATATCATGAGCATCGATCCACGCAATTGGGACACGATAACATGCATCATCCGAATCAGCGGACCTGACCACCCGATCCCGTTAGTCGCTGTATCATGTGGTTTGATTGACAGATAACAACAAAAGTTTCGTTGAGTGTTTGTGTTCAGGTAAGAGCACTGGTGTTACATCAGTAAAAGTCGTGAAAATCAAGCAAGGCGTGACACATATCTCCAGGCTTGGATCTAGGTCTTCAGCAACCCATGCTTGCCGTAAACGGCGACTATGCCTGTCGTAAGAGGCGACATACGGGATCGGGTGGTCAGGCTCGCTGACTTGGTTGATGCATGTCATCGATCCCAATTGCGTGGATCGATGCTCATGATCAATCACTGCATTGGTCCAGACCTGATCATTTACAGCCGGCCGTCATATAGCTGGAATATTGCTGAGTGCGGCGTTAAACCACAAACCAACCAGCCAGGCTTGGATCCCTGTTCATGTCTTGGACCGTCAAAAATACATATACAAAACATCACGTAAACCACTGCGACAGTGTTCTCTCTGACTCACCAGTGTCAAATCCGTCGGGACAGGCTTCAATCTTCTCTTGCCATTGTTCATTGCTTGACCCTTTTACCACCACATTATGTGTCAACAAACCAACCTCGGCCCTTGTGTCAACAGACACGCCATTGAAGGCCAAGGTTACACCCAAATGGCCATACGTTAACGCCGTATTCAAGGTCAAGGTCTGCTTGTCGGCAGAAATGGCCGTGATTTCTCTGACTTCGGACTCCTTCTGGCTGTGTCTACCACCCGTGGTTGCTATGACGATCTTGTCCCCAACTGACCAGTCGAGTGGTTGCTCGACTGTTATGGTGGTGGCCCCCGCTGTGGCTGTTGAAGCAAGGCGAGTCCATGTCACCCCAACTGGCTTTCCTGAAAAAAACCCCACAACTTGTTTAAATTGTTTAGCTATTTATATTGCATATAAATGGGCCGGAAGGCATTTCATACTGAAAATATTAAATGACACTGTCAATGTACGGTACGTGACCATACAGAAACGTGGTTCTATGGGTTTAAAAGTCAAGACAGGCAGGCGGCAAGTGAGGAAGGAGGTTGGGTTCAAGGCCGTGTCAAATAGTGTTTCTTTCATGGCTTGTCAGCTGGGTTGGAGAAAGGAAGCAAGTAGAGGCAGTAATTATTTACTTTCATCCAAGGGAGGCAACTGCACCACGAATAACAGGGGCGAATGTTGGATCCGAACCGTCGACCAGAACATTCTCGGATCGCATTAGGGACGAAAATAACAGTGTTGGATGTTGGCGAGCCTAAAGCTTCGGAATTCGCTGTCCTGCCTCTTATGTTTGGTATTTTGTAAAGTTTGAAAATAAGGTTATCTCATACAGTTTTATAATTGGCGATAAGAATTTAGTTGTGAAGAGTTTAACAAACCATGTAAGTCCAATGTCCCATTCCTGACAGCGAGTACCTTTGCGCCGTAGATGGGAAGCTCTGGAGCCCGCAGGGTCCCGTGAAGGGTGATGACTGCTTTATGCTGGAATGGGGCGTCCTCCGTACCAACCTGGAACCGCAACATGGACATGTATTTACATTCGCGGTTACAGAGTGGGGTGCAAGGATGCACATTTCTCCTCCGTTTATTGAAGCATATACATGTATACTATGTTGTCGTATTTAAAAAAAAATGAACAGAATCATTTGGTGACAAAAATAAAAATTAATTGACAAATTATTGGCTATCAAACACAAATTCATATATACTATGTTGACGTATTTAAAAAATACATTGAACGGAATCATTTTGTGACAAAAATAAAAATTAATTGACAAATTATTGGCTATCAAACACAAATTCATATATACTATGTTGACGTATTTAAAATATACATTGAACTGAATCATTTGGTGACAAAAATAAAAATTAATTGACAAATTATTGGCTATCAAACACAAATTCATATATACTATGTTGACGTATTTAAAATATACATTGAACTGAATCATTTGGTGACAGAAATAAAAATTAATTGACAAATTATTGGCTATCAAACACAAATTCATATATACTATGTTGACGTATTTAAAATATACATTGAACGGAATCATTTGGTGACAAAAATAAAAATTAATTGACAAATTATTGGCTATCAAACACAAATTCATATATACTATGTTGACGTATTTAAAATATACATTGAACTGAATCATTTGGTGACAAAAATAAAAATTAATTGACAAATTATTGGCTATCAAACACAATTTTCCCCCCGAATTATTCCCATTCAATTTATTTTGTTTCAAGTGCACCACTGTCCATGCTGTTTCATATAAGGGGGCGTCATATTAAAATAATTATGCTTCGGCGTGTTGAAATAAATACATTGTCTGCCACAAAACGTACATTGTTGCAAGGTGATTTTCTTAAATAAATATTCAGGCGCATAGTACTAATTAAAACAAATATATGGTTCTAGATCTGCAGATGAAGCTGAAAAATATCTATCCACGATACAAAATCCCAGCCTGTCCCCATCCCTCCCCCAGTATCAAATACTCGGTCTGTTATAACTGCGACCAGTAGTCATGCAGGCTGCTTGGGCCCTGTTCTGCTCCAGGAGAAGCAAGAGGAGTTGAGGCTTAATCACTAGTATATACACTGAGGAGCAAAGGAAACGATACTTCTCAGTTGATTTCGTCATATGTTTTTATTTCTATACGTATAATTTGACTTTAAACTTTTAAAAATTGAAAAAAGGTTCGCACAATAGACAACTGCTGATAGGTATCTTAAGGCATCTTATCTTTGATAATCAATAAATTAGCTTTTTTCGGCATAAATTAACACCATTTCAAACATGGTTGAGGTCATATGGTTGCAAATTCATTTAGGATAGGATAAGTTTTATTCCATACTAAAAGGCCTCAGGCCCATAATTACAATTCTGTTTTCCGGAATGGTTACATATCCGTTTAACAGGTCATATTCTAATTAACATAGCATGATAAATGAACATTGATTTTTTAAGAGTATCTTTATCAGTTTTTGACACGATCGTTATAAATTGTTGTAGATCGGGATGTACATAACAAGTCAGATCAATATATTTTCTTCTATGGTGGTCGTATTTTGGACAACCTAACAGAAAATGAAACTCATCTTAAATCACACTTAAACCACATTGCTCACATATTCTCAATTCTCTGGCTATGTTTCTATGCCTGCCTCCTTCGATCCTAAGACTATGAGAGCTGCATCTAGATTGTGCTAAACTTATTCTAAACCTTTAAAAGTTGATGTAAATAAAATTGTATTCAGAAATCCATTTCTTACCCGAGTCTACAGAGAACCAATTTATTTTTTACACAAAATAGCCAGCCACAGACTACCTTTCAGATCATGATCAAATTTAACAACATTTCTTTCAAATCTTCAATTACATAAAAAAACATTTTCCAGTTTGTTTACATGCTTTAAACAAATCAGAGAATTGAGTGTTCACCACGTTGATGTAACAACACTGCATCTCACCTGAAGCTTTCCTCCATCATTGATGAGGATGCTTTCGGCATGCAGCTCCACGTCTTTCTCATCGAAGATCAACTCACCACCTGAATTAACAACGACGAGGACGATAACGCAGATGCCATTCTTGGATGTTTATAAGTAAGTGAGTGAGGGATGTTGTTTAACGCGGCAGTAAACACTCTTTCAAACACTATGCCCCTGTAGAATAATCGAGTGAAACCAGATAAACCGGTGACAGAAAGCGTGGGCAACGGTAAACGCCTTCGGGGTACAATGACACGGCATCTATCCGTTTCCCCGAAGTTTCCATGGTAACTATGTCATATGTAAAGAGTGAATGAGTGAGAGTGAGTTGGGCTTAAGCCGCCTTTATCAATATTCCAGCAATGTCACGACGGAGGACACCAGAAATGGACTACCACTGCCGTCCCAATAATAATGATGATGATGATGATGATGATGATGATTAATTGTGATGTGAGGATGATGATGATGATGATGATTAATGTTGATGATGATGATGTGAGCGTTATGATGATGATGATGAGAGGGTTATGATGATGATACATGATGCTGATGCTGATGATGATGCTAATAATAAATGTTGATGATGAGGTGATGATGTTATTATGTTGATGATGATGATATGAGGATGATGAGGATTATGATGATAATAAATGTCGATGATGATGATGCTGTGCTGTTGCTGCTGCAGCTGCTGCTGCTGCTGGTGATGTGATGTTGTTGATGATGATGATGTGAGGGTTGTGATGATGATGCTAAATGATGATGATGATGATGATGTGATGGTGATGATGGTGATAATAATAATAAATGTTGATGATGATGAAGTGATGATATTGTTATGTTGATGATGAGGATGTGAGCATGATGATAATAAATGTTGATGATGATGATGTTGTGCTGCTGCAGCTGCTGCTGATGATGTGATGTTGTTGATGATGATGATGATGATGATGATAAAAAATGTCGATGATGATGATGATGTTGTGCTGCTGCTGCTGATGATGATGTGATGTTGTTGTTGTTGATGATGATGATGATACTGATGATGATGATGTGAGGGTTGTGATGATGATGCTAAATAATGATGATGATGAAGTGATGATGATGATGATCATGATGATAATAAATGTCGATGACGATGATGTTATGCTGCTGCTTCTGATAATGATGATGATGGTAAATGTTTTTTTAGTTACTCATGCTACCATACCTTGGATGAGCAGCATCTTGAGAACGGGCGTGTTGGTGTCCAGGAGCAGTATCTGACCCTTGGGCACCACGACCAACTCCCCTGCTCCAGGGGGATCCTTCCCTCCCCACGTAGCTTTGGCCGACCACACGTCTATGTACTCGAAGGCAGCGTCAACCTGTCGAAGTGGGTCAGTGAGTCGAGATTAACAGTATTCCGTCTTAACAGCATTAAGAATATCACATGTCAGTTGATATGTGTTTGTTTGTTTATTTGATTGTTGCTATGAACAACGTATCCGTATGGATTTGTTACGCAAATAGCCAAGTCACCGAGCCTGATAAATTAGTTGCCTCTTGCGACCAGGAGAGGTTGCAGGGGTCTACTAGTTCTAACCAGGAAATCCCACGGGCTAGCTCTTTAGTGAGTGAGTGAGTTGGGTCTAACGCTGCTTTTAACAGTATTCCAGTTATATCGCAGCGTGTCAGATTAATGTGGGAGGAAAGACTGAAGTGATGCAGGTCTCAGACGTTTACCACTTCGGTGAAACCCACGAGCACGGGTATGGTGCTGACAAACCTAGAAACATAATCGGGGCGAACCGAGATTCGAACCCACAATCATAGGTTTCTGGGGTGCCCAAGGGACGGAACTCTGCACAGCGAATCGCAGCGCCTTAGACGACTGGGCCACCCGTGCCCCACCTGTATGATTGTAACATGCATGTAAGCCATCGTCACATTTATATCCTTGTAAGACACAATGTTACACATGCCACTGTCCAATTTCACTGTCCATTGTCTGTGGCGGTGGGGTAGCCTAGTGGTTAAAGCGTTCGCTCGTCACGCCGAAGACCCGGGTTCGATTCCCGACATTGGTACAATGTGTGAAGGCCATTTGTGGTGTCCCCCGCCGTGATATTGCTGGAATATTGCTAAAAGCGGCGTAAAACCATACTCACTCACTTACTGTCCATTGTCACATCGTCCGACTTGGTATTATAATATCATTTGATGAATCATGAAAACACGTTACCTGCTTTGCGATGCCATTTCCGCTGACCTCGACCCTGACCTTAGTCTTCTGCGACGTGCTTCTTTCCGTGACACAGACAACCTCGGTGGTACTCACGGTGCTGACTGGACAATCAGTGCCTCCAATACTGACCTTGACAGCGCTCGAGTCAGACCTAAAACAAGGTGAAGGTCAGGTCAGTGTCACCGAAGACATCTAAGTTAAAATCTTAAATATTCACTAGAAAATGAAAACGTAAATACAAAACAACTTTTCTTTTTTATTAATTGTTGATATGATAATATTCTCCCCTTACCCAAATCCAGTACCGGTAATTGTAACTGAAATCCCACCCCCTGTGCCGCTTCGCCTGGGGGACACGCCGGTGATTGTCGGGGTCAAGGAGGGGTCGTAGGTGAAGGATGAAGCTAGTGTTGACGTCAGACCGTTGACACTGGCCACCACGTCACATGCCGTCGCAGATGACACATCTGTGAGGAAACACTTGGGTATATCAAAATCAGTTTGAACACGTTGGGTAAATCAAAATCAGTTTGGACACGTTGGGTAAATCAACATCAGTTTGGACACGTTGGATAAATCAACATCAGTTTGGACACGTTGGATAAATCAACATCAGTTTGGACACATTAGATAATTCAACACCAATTTGGACACGTTGGGTAAATCAACATCAATTGGGACACGTTGGATAAATCGACATCAGTTTGGACATGTTGGGTAAATTATAAGTTTGGACACGTTGGGTAAATCAACATCAGTTTGGACACGTTGGGTAAATCAACATCAGTTTGGACACGTTGGGTAAATCAACATCAGTTTGGACACGTTGGATAAATCAACATCAATTGGGACACGTTGGATAAATCGACATCAGTTTGGACATGTTGGGTAAATCATAAGTTTGGACACGTTGGGTTAATCAACATCAGTTTGGACACGTTGGGTAAATCAAAATCAGTTTTGACACGTTGGGTAAATCAACATCAGTTTGGACACGTTGGGTAAATCAACATCAGTTTGGACACGTTGGGTAAATCAACATCAGTTTGGACACGTTAGATAAATCAACATCAGTTTGGACACGTTGGGTAAATCAACATCAGTTTGGACACGTTGGGTAAATCAACATCAGTTTGGGCACGTTGGGTATATTCAAATCGGCGTTAAACCCAAATTACTCACTCACTCACTCATTCTGTACGCACGGTACTGTAACAGAGCGAGGAACTGTCACATATAATCAACCCTATCACAAAAAAAAACATTTTTGGAAAAGTGTGTACGCTATTTATCGATCAATCAATCATTCTTAATCACTAGGTCTTCTTGTAACTAGCTGGGTGAAAACGTCTGACCTTTCTTGACAGGCGTCAATATGAGATACCGCCAGATATAGTTAGACACACGTCAGAAAATTATATGCAAGGATTGCCCGGCAACAACAGACCTCGTGGACGAGTTACTGCACTTATATAGCGACGTGCATGTACGTGTGTGTGTTTGTGTGGCTGCTTGTACTAGTCCGGTCTGATGCCGATTTATAGTGCTAGCTCACTGAGATACCATGCCGCAGTTGAACATGAATACCCCACTCAGACACAGTATACTGACTCCGAGCCGACCAGTTCTTGTTTTAGCCCCTTAATGCCGAGCGCCAGAGAGGGAAACAACAAGTACCATCTTTTAACGTCTTTTGGTATGACGCGGCCGGGGACCTTCCGCTCTCCGGGCGGACGCTCTACCACTAGACCACGGAGGCGGCCAGTTACACATTAGCACCTCTGGACCGTCCAATGAAAACTGAACACCAACTGACCACAGATCAACTGACCGACCGATATCAACTGGTAACCAAAAGCTAAGCGTGGGAATATCCTTTTCAGCGAGTGAGTAAGGTTTTACGTCGCTATCAGCTTTATTCCATCAATATCACGCCAGGACACGAAAAATAGTCTTCACACAGTCATTGTAGTCATTGTACGCATGTTCTCACGTTTTCGTTGTATTCAGGTAGTTATTGTACTCATTACTAATTGTACTCATGTACTAACTGTGCTCAAGTGCTCATACTCATTGTAGTCGTCCCGTGAAGATCCGGGTTAGAGTTGGTCTTCAGCAACCCAGGCTTGTCGTAAAAAGCGACTAACGGGATCGAGTGGTCAGGCTCGCTGACTTGGTTCATGCATGTCATCGTATCACAATTGTGTAGATCGATACGCATGATGTCAATCACTGGATTGTCTTGTCTAGGGGCCCGTACCGCGAAGCGATCGTAGCGCTACGACTGTCGTAAGTGTATGCCCGTACCGCGAAGCGATCGCAGCGCTACGACTGTTGTAAGTGTATGCCCGTACCGCGAAGCGATCGCAGCGCTACGACTGTCGTAAGTGTATGCCCGTACCGCCAAGCGATCGCAGCGCTACGACTGTGGTAAGTGTATGTCAAATTAGGGGAGTTACGATCGTCTTAGCGCTAAGATCGCTTTGTGGAACGGGGCCAAGACTCGACGTTTGGCGTTTAACAACACACAAACAAACAAACAAAACTCATTGTTGTCATGTTTTCATTGTATCCATGTAATCATTGTACTCATGTATTAGTTGTACTCATGTACTCATTATTCAGTCTTGGCGTGGACAAGCATCTCAGCAGATGAATTGAAGGGACTTACCATTAGCCGGTGTCCGGCAGACGAACTGTGTGGCGGACTGGTCCGGTGTGTCCAAGGCTTGACAGTTTTCTCCACAGACCTCGACAGTCGTGTTGACCGTGACGAAACCTTTGCCCGTGATAGTCACCTTCTGATCTCCGGCCACGCTGCCTGCCAGTGCAAACATATATACTCAGCAACAAAAGAAGCTGTCAATACGTTTCAATTTATCATACCGTTAAATGTAGAAGCAAAGTACAAAATTCAAAATTACTATCTTTTCCCTTGATGAATTTAAGTGTTGTTGTGTATATTTGGGTTGATGACCTCATGGATTTCTATTTATATTAGTAGTATCAAATAGTATATCAAACAGATCCAAATCAAATTCAATTTCTGCCAAAGTTTACAGTGAAAATTCGTTGATTATTCCGTAAAATACATATTTTGACCCCAACACGGCAGTGATCTGGCTTTCGTGTACACAATTTGTAAAGTCATTCAATTAAAATCAGCTTAGTAATACGTTTGCTGTTATTAATACATTGATTTGATTATTGTAACGGGGTAGACAGTCACGAAATGTTGTATAAAAAGAATGATGGACATTTATAAAGGAGCTTAATATTTTGTTACTTTTCATACGTTTTATACTGCCAAACCGTTTCCTAAGCAAACTTTCCCCATGTTAATTCTCATCGAAATCGCAAAGGTCTTAAACTTACAATTGCAATAATTACCATCCCATGCATTGTAGCTTACCTCTTGACGGTGAAATACTTGTGAGGGCTAATTCGTACGTAAACGTTGATTCCGTAGTCGCACCTTTCCCTGCTACAACCACTTTGATTGGATATGTTCCTGTTGCCTGGTTACCAAGTGTGCACGTGGCTGATGTTGCGGTGGCTGCACTGACTACGCATTTGATGTCATTGATAACAATAGCGTTCTCCGCAGCGTTGGTGCTGAATCCTGTTCCGGTTACCGTTATAACGTCGCCGGCGACTCCAGCATTTGGAGAAACAGAGGTGAAGGTCGGTGTCGCCGCGGCGTCGTACGTGAACGCTGCGGCCTTTGTCGGGTACGTCGTTCCTTTCGATGTGACAACGACATCTACAGCCCCTGCGGCATGGGACGACGTGTCACACTGAACTTGACTTGGAGTCACTGCAGTAACAACACAGTCTTCTCCGCCGACTTGCACCGTGGTTTCGCCGACAACGAATCCATTGCCGTTAATTGTGAGAACTGTTCCCCCGTTTACACTACCCGTACTAGGGGTAACCCCGCTTATGACAGCAGAACTCTCTACCGTCACCGTGGTTGCAGCTGTTCCCTTCCCAGCTACAACGACTGCGACGTTGTGGTTCCCTACGGCGACATCGCCGACGGCACAGCTGAACGTCGTGTCTGTGACTGAGCCGCTGATCGTACAGACAGATTCGTCCAGTTTAACAGCGAGGGCTGCAGCATCGGTTCCAAACATAGTACCAGTGACGGTGATTGTTGTAGAAGACCCACTCACAGACGTTGGAGTAACAGCAGTCACGGTTGGAGTTTCGGAGTCGGCGAAGGTGAAGGTCTTATCAACCCCACTCATCCATTCCGCGGGGACATTATTTTCGCCAGCTGCGACCGTAACGGATATTGTCTTCTCCCCCAACGTCGTCCCTGACGTAACACAGACAATCTCTGTGTAAATTACAGTTGTGACGTCACACGAATATCCCTCCATGTCAACAGAGATGTCCTTAGCTGTCCCTTGGAAACCTGTTCCGGTGATGGTGACCTTTGTACCTCCGACCTTTGACCCGGTGGAGGGTGATACCGCAGTCACGTAAGGAAGCAGGACGAATGTCAGTTCCTTTACTCCATTTCCTACCTTCGCATAACCCCTGTTTCCAACGCGGAATTTTAAACTGTCGCGTTTTCCAATCTCAGGAGACTTGGAGGGGTTAATCTTGAAAGATACGGAGGTACTTGACGCACCATCTTCGACAACCCCCACGGCGTCGCCTATCACTATCTCGTTCTGGCATTCCGTGTCGCTGAAACCCGATCCTTCGATAGTGATGACATCACCCGTTGTCCCTTGATCTTTGCTGATGTTCGTGACGGAAGGTGAGCTACAGGAATAAAATTTGAAGTTGAACTTAGCGGTGTCCTTTACTTCCGGTTCCGGGTCAGTGCAACCGGAAATGGCATCACTTGTTCCTGGGCAGCCTGAGGTGTCGGTCGGACTGGAACCAGCTGATAAACAAAGAAGTACTGGATGTAAAACATGACTTTAGGACATTACTGGTTTACACAAAATCAGGCGTCCCGTTCACAGCACATGGATGTTCTTGAATGGATCTTAAACAGTAACAGTGTAATTGGAATGGATTTTAAACAGTAATACTGTATTTGGGCCAGAAAGGTTTGTTTTACAGCTGCTGCATTGAATTTGGCTCTGTTGCTGCCTCTGACAAGGTTATCTCTTTGATACTCTCACACATAATCTCACCCAGTAGCCACAACCAGTGTTCGAACGCGCATTTTAAGAGCTGCTCAATCCCAAGACGAGACTTATTGCGCCATTTCGAGCACACAGAGGCTTTAAACAAATAGTTGGGTGAGGGAGTGAGTATGGTTTTACGCCATTTTTAGAAATATTCCAGCAATATCACGGCGGGGGACACCAGAAATGGGCTTCACACATTGTACCCATGTCGGGAATCGAACCCGGGTCTTTTGCGTGACGAGCGAACGCTCTACCCACTAGGCTCCCGGCCGCCCCTTTTTAGCGCCTGGACTAATGGGCGGACTTGCACTTTCTAAAGCGTACTAATTGTTAATACATGACATGCTTGAGGAGGAGGTAAGATGGTCTTACATGTATCGTACATTGCTTCATAGCCGGCGATAGTGAAGTTAAGTACTTCCGTGTGTGAGGTTCTCGCCTTCACCTTCACTGCTCCTCTTGCGAGGATTTGTTTCTGCTCGTCGACGTAGTCGCTGGTGTAGTAGAAGTGGCCGGTGTTTGGGAAGAACTGGGTGTAGCCACCTGGATAATAAATACTTAAAACATAAATTTGTTTATGAAGGTATGAAGGTAAAAGCAGGTGCGCACATCGATCTTTACGTTTTACAATGTAGCTCTTATAAACTCAAAAAAACATGTTAGGCATTTTTTTATAATAAATACGTCAACAATAGTAACTTTACAGACTGCTTACGTAATCATAAGAACAAAAGACAGCAATATGAAATTAGTGACATTGACAATTCTAATATCAGCCAATCAGGAAACAGCAGTTGATTATCTGAGAAACCGATTCCATATGGCATTTAGAAGTGATGAACATAAGGTCGAGGATTTATGGATGTCAACTTCTTTATTATTGGGAACACACGGTTTCGGATAGTTACTCCTTCATCATTCACCTCATTCACCTGATGAAGGAGTTAATATATACTCCGAAACGTTGTGTTCCTCACAATAAAGAAGTTGACATCCATAAAATCTCTACCTTAGATTCCATAAAGCTAAAATGTAAACATAGTGATAGGGCACAGAAAATCAGCAACCCATTCTTGTCGTTAGGATGGGTGGTCAGGCTCGCTGACTTGGTTGATACATATCATCGTATCCCAATTGCGTGGATCGATGCTCATGATGTCAATCACTATATTGTCTGGTCCAGACTCGATTACTTACAGACCGCTGTCATATAGCTGGAATATTGCTGAGTGCGGCTTTAAACAACAAAGAAAAGACCGGCCAGTGATTGACATACAATCAACCACGTCATCGACCCTGGCCACCCTATCTGAAGTAGACGACATGTCCGACAGGAAGTGGGTTTGGCGGGGGGGGGGGGGGGGGGGGAGTGAGTAATTCATGTGTTTATAGCAGTCCTATGTCAAGGCAGCATTTCGCATCGTTGGCCGCAAGGGCTGCTATCCGCGCCATCACGAACAATGACCTTCGGAGGGGCATTCCATTTGTCAGGCTCCCAGTTGTCAGATAGTGGAATAGTTTTTAAGTGCCATACACACCTTTACTCATAATGGTATGACCCAGACGCTGGTTTTACCAAGGCTTAGTTAAACTGTAAATAAGTTTGTTTTCACTGAAGTTTGTCATATGATGCTTCGAATACAACCCGGATTCGTCGAAGTTAAATTTATCACTTGAATGTCAACTGCGTCTTTTTGACAGTATGGTTATATCAGTTTTTTTTCTACCAGTGCGAAGAACATGTATGGGGATTTGAAAACATCTCAAATCTAGTAGGTGTCCATTTGCGTTTTATAAAATATTTTTCATCTTCAAGGAAATGCACTCCAAATGTCATGGAACATGGGGAACTTGGAAGACCCCATCTATCAAACATCGCTTAAATGAGAATAATAAGTTTTGGGGTAAAATTACTCTCCGAGAAATCTAAATTATCCTTTCTTGAAAACAAGATATTATATAATGACGACCTATTTTTAAAGTGTAAACATAAATGGATAACATATATATCAAACGAACTTTTGACGAACTTGGACTACTTGGAGACTGATGAGAAAGTTCTAATCAACAAGCTATCAGCCATATAGCCAGGAGACACCACCCACTGGGATAATTTCACGTATATTTTGTGAATTCTGGGTGAGGTAGCCACGGACGTTGGACACGTTACAGTGGTCCTCTTCACCCATGGTTACGCTCACAGCAAAAAATATATACTTAGGGCTATATGAACATTGATTATTTTGGCATAAGCAAACATGTGACTCAACACTGTTTAATTCTTGTATTTTCCTTGCTATATCACGGCTGTCTGTATATTAATTTTTATTGGACCCGTGAAGATCCGGGTTTGAATTGGTCTTCAGAAACCACGGTTGTCGTAAGAGGCGACTAAAGGGATCGGGTGGTCATGCTCGCTGACTTTGTTAATGCATGTCATCGTATTCCTATTCTGTGGATCGATGCTCATGATATTAATCACTGACTGGTTCAGACTCGATTATTTACAGCCGCCGTCATGTAGCTGGAATATTGCTGAATGCGGCGTTAAACAACAACCAATCTTGCAATACAAGATGAAGCCGTTACTTCCCGACCCTTATGAATCTGCTTAGTTTTAAATTGGCGGACCACTACACATAAACAGTGTTATGGATTTCAAACTCTGTCTCATCTAGCTACCGAGTGCCACACAGGGTAACATGCACTCGATTATTTAAAGACCGCCGTTATATTGGTGGAACAATAAACAAATAATCAAACATCGATCGTCTGGCAAACTATATGCTGTGGCCTGTACATGATCTGGTCTGCACCAGATAAACCAGTGACTGAAAACATCTGTAACGATCCACGTGGATGTCACGCAGTTACTGGCAGAACCGAACCAATGATCGCTTCATTTGCATTTAAACAAACACAGTTCTACCCAGAATTCTCTTGGGCTTATAAGCATTAGTGTGACTGGAGAGACGCACCATTGGCTGTACGAGTCAGTCCGGACGTGAACCCGTTGTTCACCTCCTCCGTCGTGCTAGCGTTCTTCACTTGAAGGATGCGGAAGAGAATTCCGGTCATGAACTCAGGGGTAGTCCATCTGAAGCGGACACTGTCTCCTTCCATTATCTGGCTTAAGTGTGGTACCCATGCGTAGCCCTCGCCAAACACTGGAAATAAAACACAGCACTTCCGTTACAATAGTGAGTGAGTGAGTTGTGTTTAACGCCGCTTTTAACACTGTATTCCAGTTATGTCACGGCGTGTCAGCTTAATGTGGGAGGAAAGCCCGAAGTGATGCAGGTCTTAGACGTTTACCACTTCGGTGAAACCCACGAGCACGGGTATGGTGCTGACAAACCTAGAAACATAATCGGGGCGAACCAGGATTCGAACCCACGATCATAGGTTTCTGGCGTGCCCAAGGGACGCAACTCTGCACAGCGAATTGCGGCGCCTTAAACGACTGGGCCACCCGTGCCCCCTCCGTTACAATAAAACTACGTTGCGACAATGATTATTTTGACCAAGCATTTGAATTCGTAGCCAGGAAAAGTTTTGCTGATATACATACATATCCGTCCCAAATATGAAATGTATCATTCGACAGTGCGATATAGTTTATGTTTTTGGTGTTGTCATGTAAAATATGACGTCACTGCATTTAAATATGGTGGTGTCCCGGTGTACAACGACACACATGCCGATGTTACGGAGAAGTCAATGCTAATGTTTTCAAACATCATGGAATGTTCGATTCCCGACATGGGTACAATGTGTGAAGCCCATATCTGGTGTCCACCGCCGTGCTATTGCTGGAATGTTGCTAAAAGCGGCGTAAAACAATACTCACTCACTCACACACATCTATCAGTATCTGTAGCAAGGGACACAACTCTGCAAAGCGAATCGTCGTGCGTTTGACCAATGGATCCATCTGAGCCTATTTTTCCAAACAAACTACGTACCGGGATCTGATCCAGTGTTGGCGACATCGTGAACGACACCGGTATCGGCGATGGTACATATCACCGTTGTTGCTGTAGCTGACTCTACGGCACATTTATGGGGACCGAACATGACCTTGGCAGCTGTGAGGTCACCGTCAACGAAACCTTGACCTGTAATTGTAACCTTTGTGCCGCCATACATTGACCCCATTGTTGGGTAGATGTTGGTTACTTTCAGTGTGTACGTCACAGCGGATATACTGTTTGTGCTGTAAAATATAAAATACATTAAATTTACTTATGGTGACATGTAACGGTGATGCTAAAAAATGAATTATTTTTTTCCTTTAAAGACAGACCATTTATTATTATTGTATTGTGTGTGGAGACACTATAACTCCTTGGAGACATTTTTTTTTATCTCTGAAGTCCTTGTTTTAGCCCCTTTATACCGAGCGCCAGACAGGGTAACAACAAGTACCGGATTTGAACGGCTTCTGGCATGACGCGGCCGGGGATCGAACCCCGGACCTTTCGCTCACCGGGCGGACGCTCTATCACTAGACCACGGAGGCGGTCCTGAGAAAACAGCTAATGACTGAGCAATAGTATTCAGAAGTACAACATAAACACATTTTTGTCAGGACATCCACCATGTGCAACGAACAATCTTCAGTTGTAAAACCTTATTAAGCATAGGCCAGTCCGGTAATACGCCGACTGACATTGTGAGGGAAAGACAACTCACGTGGTATCCGCATATCCCGAATTGCCGGTCTTCAACATGAGGACGCAAGACCCAGCAGGATTGGAGGGGGTGTCGAAGATGATCTCTGTATCGGAGTAGCTGGTGATGTTTGCGACCCTTCCACACAGAGTCAAGGGGTTGGCTGGATCGGCACTGGCACCAAACCCGCTTCCGGAAATAGTGATGGACTCGCCACCTGAAAACGGCGTCATTAAGTTCATTCAGATGATCATCCGGGGTAGAATAGGTCTTCAGCAACCCATGCCTGCCGTTAAAGGCGACTATGTTTGTCGTAAAATGCGACTAACGGGATCGGGTGGTCAGGCTCGCTGACTTGGTTGATGCACGGTCATCGATCCCAATGGCGTGGATCGATGCTCATGATATCAATCACTGGATTGTCTGGTCCAGACTCGATTATTTACAGACCGCCGTCATATAGCTGGAATATTGCTGAGTGCGGCGTTAAACAACAAACCAACCAACCATTCAGATTATCAGAAACAACATTCGTGTCATACAGGACAGGCCGAGTGGTTATATAAAGGGTGGGACAAACGAATACTCCAAGTTTTAAAAGATGGTACATTCGGCTCTGGGATGTCATGGAAACGCATCATCTCGACCTGGTTCACTGGTAACATTTTTTTCATTTCCGGGAAAAGTTATTTTTATCACGGCCAGAAATATAAAGCTCATACTTGGCAAAGTAACAAACATCTTGCAATATAAGACCCGTGAAGATCCGGGGAAGAATAGCTCTTCAGCAACCCATGCTTGCCGTAAAAGGTGATTATATTTGTCTTAAAAGGCGACTAGCGGGATCGGGTGGTCAGGCTCGCTGATTTGGTTGATGAATGTCATCGATCCCAATTGCGTGGATCGATGCTCATGATATTAATCCCTGGATTCGATTATTTACAGACCGCCGTCATGCAGCTGGAATATTGCTTAGTGCGGCGTTAAACAACAAACCAGCCAATCTTGCAATATAAGATTGAGCCGTTACTTCCCGACCCTTATGAATCTGCTTAGTTTTAAATTGGCGGATCACCACACATAAACAGTGTTATGGATTTCAAACTTTGTCTTATATCTAGGTACCGAGTGTCACACAGGGCACCATATTTTAACGTATTTTGTATGACCCGGACCGCTCTCCGGGCAGACGCTCAACCACTAGACCACGGAGGCGGTCAAAGTAACAGAAACTAACCGAGCTGTTGTTTCATGTGATATGTATTTCAACCTCTGTCTTATCTAAAAGATGCCAGATGAAACATACTTTACGACCATCACTAACAAAGAAGAAAGCTACATGATTAATAGCGACGGTGGCAGCCATGTGTGGAAGTACCTCTGACGTTGCTGCTGCTTTGGGAGATGGAGCTGATGACGGCTGTAGCAGCGGCGTCAAAGTTGAACTCCACGGGAGAGGTCAAGGTTGCACCAGTCTGGTCAACGGTAACTGGGACGTTTGTTTTTGACGATGAGGTCTAAACAATTAAAAAGAGTTTATAAAATTGATTCTTTGTTCCTAAAGCCCCCTATCTCGCTATATATAAGTGTACGTCAAATCTTATCTTATCGGAACTTTGCTTGTCTCGAACAACCGATAAACCGATATTTTTTCGATCTCTGAACATCGAATTAAAGAGGATATACATGTATATTTGGCATCGACAGCTTGTGAAATGCTTTTATTTAGATTATGTACCAGTGTCTCACAATAAATACGATGAAAATATACAGTGTGAAACCTCGCTAATCAGGACTCAATTAATCCGAAAACGTCACATTCCGGAATAATACTGCCGCAAAAGAAACACCATTTACGAAGGAATATTTCCTTTCGTGAAAGCAAAGTGTGCCCATCGTGTTTTCCCGTTTATTCCTCAATAAACAAAGTAACATCTTTAACACACAAAAAATGTAGATGACACAAAATTAATGAAATCGCGATTGCTCAGCACAATAATGTAACACAAGCCCCGCCCAGCCTATTATCAGCCAATAAGGCAACAGTATCCGGCAGAGGGCGTGGTCTTACTTTTTTTCGGTTCATAGAAACGGACACAAAAATGCCTTGGAGTCATTTACACTACATTTATGCATAAAGAGATACCGCTAATCCGGACATTAGGTAATCCGCACTATGTTACTTGGAACAGATACATCCGGATTAACGGGGTTTTATTGTACACTCATAATAAAACTGGTAATCATGATAACAATTCTACATTTTCAACACTCACCATCATTTAGGAATTTAATCAAAGTGAATGCCCAGTTAATTTTTCATTATTCACTCGTGTTTCATTCTCAGCTCCCTGGGGGAAATACGACAGTAATGTTACTAACCGCTGCCGGAGTGACGCAGACAATCTTGCCAGGTTCAATGACAGGAGACGTACACAAGACATTGTCAACCTTTACAACAGCATCAGCGGTGAACCCGTGTCCACTGACTGTCAGTGATGTTCCACCTATAAAAACACAGTTAACGTTATAATGCTATTTAAGACTCTTCCTATAAAAAAAAATAACATTCAATATTATACACCGAAATGCAAAATTGGGAGCTTTCTTTGACTCGTGGACAAATGGAATTCGTCGTGACTCCATACATTGAACATTGTTGTATTTGTTATAAATATAATTTTATATTTGTTTTCAATAATTATTTTTTTATTATGCAATTGGTTATGCAGAGCTGCGTCCCTTATGTGCCAGAATCCTAAGATCGTGGATTTGAATCTCGGTTCCAGGTTAGTTTTAAAGTAAATGTCTAAGACTTGAATAACTTCAGTCTTTACTTTAGACTAACATATATTTTGATACTCTATTAAAATTGAAAAGGCGCCATAGTTAGAATGAAGATTCTTTTTTAAAAATCTAGACTTGCTTCAATCAGACTGAACTATTTCAGTAAGGGGAAAAAAGGTATGATTAGAGACTGTGAGACAGACTAGATTTCCTCCTTCACAAGTTGACACGTCGTGATAAAATAATAACTCAAGTACTTTCCAAAACGGCGCTAAATCCAACTCACTCACTCACTCACTCATGTCACTGACCTGCGAGACTACCAGTTGTTGGCGAGATGCCAGTGGCAGAAGATCGATATTCAAATTGCTGAGTGCTATTTGCCTCCCCTTTGCCGGCGACGTTGACCTTGACAACATAGCTTCCGGTTGGCCCATTGCCAACTGAGCAAGTGATCTGAGTGGCTGTTGCTCCGGTAACAGTGCAAGCCACGCCTCCTATCATTACCGTGTTGTCTTCATCCGTCGTAGAGAAGCCAGTCCCAGTGATAGTCAGGACCGTATTTAAAGCAAGCGTGCCTAAAGAAGACAGACAATAACAACATAAGACAAAGTGTTATATAGCAGGCCACGGCTACAAAATTACCCTTTGAGTTCCGGTCAGAATACATTTGGTTGTTGGACAAAATTGTTTGTTCTGTTTGGCGCTGATCTTTTTTCTAACGAACAGCCCAAAGAGGGATAAGAATGTATTAACCCCTGATACCTTGCTGGTGGGTTTCACCCCGCAGTGATTAACCTGCAATACTTCGGCTTTTCCTGCACAAGCTCAAGCTGACACGGGGGAACGGGTGGCCCAGTCGTCTAAGGCGCCGCGATTCGCCGTGCAGAGTTGCGTCCCTTGGGCACGCCAGAAACCTATGATTGTGGGTTCGAATCCCTGTTCGCCCCGATTATGTTTCTAGGTTTGTCAGCACCATACCCGTGCTCGTGGGTTTCACCGAAGTGGTAAACGTCTAAGACCTGCATCACTTCGGGCTTTCCTCCCACATTAAGCTGAAACGCCGCGATATAACTGGAATACTGTTGAAAGTGGCGTTAAATCCAACTCACTCACTCACTCAAGCTGACACACCGTAATATTACTGAAATACTGTTCAAAACAGCGTCTAACCACTAACTTAAAATTTGTCCTTCACGGGTAGGTCTTAATTCTTGAATTTAACATGTATCTAAAACAAGGACCAGGTCGTGACCATGTCCGATCCGGTTGGCTGTGTAGCATTAAAGTGATCCCTTGTCCATACTATAGACCAGTGGTTTGACCGATTGCGTCATTTACCGTCGGCCATGGTATAGCTGATTTTTAAAGCCGACTTCAGCGTTAAACAATATCTCTCTTGTACAACCACGACACGACATGAATAAACATTACGTTTCTGGGATTGCAGGTTTGTTTCGTATTGTTATCCTGAGGATGAAGAAGGTATAATAATAATAAAAAATATATAATAATAATAATAATAATAATAATAATAATAATAATAATAATAATGAGGTCAACCGTTGGGTGGAGTGTTAACGTCTTACCTTGTGCAGGGTTGATGGCGGTGACTTCCGGTGTGGCGGCGTCGGTCCAGTCGAAGGTGCAGTCGCCATCACACAAACTAGGTACGTTATTCACCGTGACTGCAACCTGCCATGGAACATAGAGAGTTGGAGACTAGGGCTGGGACCAGTCCAAATTTACTACCCGGGTACCCCCTATTATCCGACCCTACCCGGGTACCCAATGTAGGTCTCAAGAGATAGGTAAAAAATAATCAGTCGGGAATTGTTTTACGGGAGCCCTGGCAACAAGTGTAAAACGTATAGTATAAAACGATCTGACTGTGCTGGTTGGTTTGTTTGTTGTTTAACGCCGCACTCAGCAATATTCCAGCTATATGACGGCGGTCTGTAAATAATCGAGTCTGGACCAGACAATCCAGTGATTAATATCATGACGTCGATCCACACAATTGGGATCGATGACATGTATCAACCAAGTCAGCGAGCCTGACCACCCGATCCCGTTAGTCGCCTCTTACGACATGCATAGTCACCTTTTACGGCAAGCATGGGTTGCTGAAGACCTATTCTACCCTGGAATCTTCGCGGGTCCCGGGCACGCTGACTGTGCATACACTGAAGTTGACTGAAGCTTTGTCTTTACTCAAACATTTAAAAGCCAGAAGGAATGTGCACATAGTCAGAAAGAAATGCGAACATTAGCGACTTGTACTAGTGCAACCATGGAATGTCATTGTTATTGTCATTTTACCATGTGTCACATGACTAAACACAGGGTACGGGTAGACGTTTTCAAATGTGTTCATATTACACAGAATTAGTTTTTTACATGAAGTAAAGCTATCATGAAGTATAAAATGAGTCAAAAAGGTTGTCTCTCGGGAAGCGTTTTCGTAATATTTGAAAGATCTTTGACCAAGCTGATTTTCTGAGGATATGTCTATGGAGGAAAGTTGTCGGCCATGGATTTGCTCTTTGATATATTTTCTCTGAAAGTTCGCGAAACCACTCAATATGGCAAAACGTAAATGTATAATGTCAAAAGAGGGAAAAAATGCAAACCTAAGTCGGAATAAAAACGTCTTGTTAGTCAGTTGAACACATCTCATAATTGCCATTATATTAAAAAGTTATAAAAAATTACACCAACATGGCCCCGTTCCAAACCTCATGTTGAAACGTGTACTAGTCCGGGCTAAGGCAGGTTCTATAGATAGCCCACTGAGATACCATGCCACAGTTTAACATGGACACCCAACACAGACACAGTACACTGACTCCGAGCCGACCAGTCCTTGTTTTGGCCCCTTAATGCCAGACCCGTGAAGACGCCGGGGTAGAATAGGTCTTCAGCAACCCATACTTGCCGTAAAAGGTGACTATGCGTGTAGTAAAAGGCGACTAACGGGATCGGGTGGTCAGGCTCGCTGACTTGGTTGATACATGTCATCGATCCCAATTGCATGGGTCGATGCTCATGATATTAATCACTGGATTGTCTGGTCCAGAAGAATTTAGTCATCTTTTAACGTCTTTTGGTGTGACGGAGACGGGGATCGAACCACCGACCTCCCGCTCTCCGGACAGACGCTCTGTCCGCTGGACCACGGAGATGATCCAAAGCAACAAAGGTACGTACCTGAGGTTTGTCACTAATTATGCGAAGCATGTCGCCCTGGATTGGGTCATACCACAGGCTGCCGTTTCGAGTTGTTTTGACAACGCCGTTGACGATATTTCCGGACAAAGCACTCGTTGTCAGCTGGATACAAAATAACGATATTGCAATAAAAAAGCTGGATCTTTGTTATCTCAAGGTTAAAAACTCACTTTAAGAAATGATCTTTCATATTTTTTACTTTGTTCAATAATAGATTTTATAAAAAAAATTGGTTCAGTGGTCGAAATATAGTTACAAAGTAATAACTTTTAAAATGGTTGCTAAAAATACATTCGGTCGTGTAAAATAAGTACAATACATGACCAATACATATCCATGAGTATAGTGTATGATTGTGACCATGAGCATGTGTTTGTGAATCACTACCAAATAGTGATGATATAAGATGTTCGCGAGAGTGTAAGCGTATCCTGTCCAACAAACAAAGGCAAATCAATTGTTCAACTGAAAACAGCAAAATTTCCGGAAAACAGACATCACCCATGTCAACCAGAAAATAATTTACACACAAACGCCCTTTAAAACCATTTGCGTATGGGCCTCAATGAAAAGCATATTCTTCGAGACGCCATTATTATTTTCTTTTAGGGCTCGGGGCGGTCGGGTAGCCTTGTGGTTAAAGCGTTCGCTCGTCACGTCGAAGACCTTGGTTCGATTCCCGACATGGGTACAATGTGTGAAGCCCATTTCTGGTGTTCCCCGCCGTGATATTGCTGGAATATTGCTAAAAGCGGCGTAAAACCATACTCACTCACTCACTTTTAGGGCTCAGTCACACATTCAGGATTTGTACTGCTGTCCTTGATAGGACCATTCCCGATTAAAATTTGTCAAAAGTTTGATCAAGATCCTGTGATTCGTGGCGGTAAATTCACAAACAATCACAAACAATAAGCGTCCCGATTCTCCCGTTCTCAATCCAAATCTGATCCGATTTGTATCTTCCGCTTGGTAAAATACGACCGAATCTGTCCCGACAGCATTCCGATTCTCCCGAATGCGATCCGACAGAGACCTGACAGTGAACCGACAAAGACGGTTCGAGTTAGGCAAGGTTTGGACGCAATCTGGACTCAATCGACAAGAAACGGCAGTGAACAATTCATGCCCGTTCATCACGACAGCATCCCGATCCACAAGACACCGTCCAGACAACACAGGACATTGTTACGATTATGATCCGATACAGCAGAATCTGTCACGACATAGTCACGATTGTAATCCGACTAGACAAAATCGGCTGGGTTTTCCGAATATTACATGACGCACCATACTGTCGGGAGTGCTTGGCCGACCTCTCTGGGCCTTTCCTGATCCGTAGGACTCTGTTACGAGCGTATACAACTGCGTTCAGTCAATGATGGGACATTCCAGATCATTGAGGATAGTTATCCGACTTTTTCATTTGTTTTAATTTTTCTGCACATTCGAGAAGCTGGGGAACGGCGGTTTCGGTAACCAAGGACAATGTCCAGTGTAGATCATTCGTCACCACTCGCCCCTTTCCGTAACCTGCAATTCGGCTTGTCCCGGAATAACACGACTTGGTCACGAATGCGGTGTAGATGTGGCCCAAGGCTTCATACTTTACCTTAACATAATAACGATGCAGGAAAGCATCAGTACGATAACATGGGGGTATCATCAGAGAAACACTCTGACACTACGGGGACGGTGGCTAAAGTGCAACAATGGGTCCGGGAACAATGTGTGAAGCCCATTTCTGGAGCTCCCGCCGTATGGCTTGAATATTTCTAAAAGCGGCGTAAAACAACACTCCCTCACCCAGGGATTAGGTGTTCATCAGGATTGCAACCCTCAATCTAGTCTGTCTTACAGACCCTGATACAAATATATATCAAATACAGCCCATGCAAATCTATAATGTTTGGCAAGTCTAGAAAATGAAGAGAGGCACTTGGCTCCCTTTTATTATATTTTATTAAGATAACTGAACAACTGTTTTTTCTGTACGATATGTTCATTTCAGAGACTAGATTTTAGTCGACCCTCAATTATTCCAACTGTCGCATAAAGCTGAAACATGTGATGTGGAGACAATTATTACACAACTGCCCAACAGGACAGGATGAGTTGCACACCCTGCAGTCGACGTTAACGTTATAACATGTACATATATTCGTACCGTCACTTCCTCCTGGTCGCCTGGCTGACCGAGCCACGTGACGATGTATTTGAAGTTGGCGCAGTCTCCCACCCGCTCTACGCGCATATCTCCCGTCGTGCCTAGCGCTTCGAGCTGTGCCTCCACTTCCTGAATCGTCGCGCTCGGCTTTATAGCTGGAAGACAGGATGGCATGACATGAACACATCCTCATTAATGTCAAACTGAGCGAGGTCGGAATAACGCCGCTTTGAACGTGTTTCTAGTTCATATGGCGTGCCAGCTTGGAGTGTGGGTAGTACTCTGTGTGTGTGTGTGTGTGTGTGTGTGTGTGTGTGTGGCATTTGCGGATCATTGTTTAGTTGAGGGGATTGTTATAGTTTGGACCCCTCCCTTTTAAAAATGCTGGATCCGCCCTGGGGGAAGGGGGGTTGGGGTTGGAGGGAGAGGGCGTGTAGCAGTGTCAGTCCACACGGAAGTGCAGTCGTAGGACACATGCGTGGAATGTTGGCAGACAATCCATTGATTCAAATAGTGAGCAACGACAACGTGCCACGCCAACGGGCACGATGACTCGCAATCAACCAAGTGCATTGTGTGTGTGTGTGTGTGTGTGTGTGTGTGTGTGTGTGTGTGTGTGTGTGTGTGTGTGTGTGTGTGTGTGTGTGTGTGTGTGGCTGTGTGTACTACTCCGGACTTATGACGAGTTTATAGTGCAAGCTATTCGTGTGTACACTGTTAATCATAATATAACACTTACGTTGGGTTGTCTCCCCTTTGAAGGTGATGCGGAAGTCACCCCCTATGGGCGGCGAGGCTTTGGAGGAGCGGGTTATGTCGACGTCAAGGTTTTTGTTGTTGTTGCTGGTCCTGTAGAGTGCGGCCATACTGGAGCTGCTGGTACTGCCGGATTCTCTCTGATAAAAGGGAGTCAGCGAGTGAGTGAGTGAATGACGTTTCAACCCGCAGTAAGTATATATATACAGTCTATGCACTAACTCAGCATTCACCTGATGAAGGAGCTAGAAGTAGCTCTGAAACGTCATGACGAAGAATAAAAGAAGTTGCTATCCACATAAAATGTCATGTATTTTTTAGTCTGGGGCGCAGGGGATCTCATCTCCCCAAGAATTTGGCACGAAGTACACAGCAATTACATGTAATAACGCTCAGCTAGTGAAGCTTATACTTGACCATGTAACCCGTCGCCATGGCTCGGTCCTTGGCGAATTCTGCGCTAAAATTTTCAACAATCTGCGGAAATATTACCAAAATTCTGCTGTACAATTACAAAGTTCTGCGGTAAAAACATAAGGTTCCATTTCCTCCTCAATTTATACAAACTTATTTTTTGGAAACTCGAATACAAATCCGAAACAAAATAATTCCACAAACTGTCATTATGAATTGTTATTATTGTATAGACATAAAATTATGCAAATAAATATCTATGGTGTCACTGATATTTATTTATAGCTAGATGTAAACATAGTTTATGTAGTCAACATACCACAAGAACGTGTAAAGGTTAGAATTAAATTTCGTTTTGTTGCATGATTCATATTTTGTATGTTTGAATCCCTTGTCAAATGTTTGGGCATCATACGAGTTCGAAATTCGATAGAAAAGCTTAGGCATAATCAAAAATAGTGTTTCTATTGACAAAAAGGCAAATTCCGCGATCTTTCTGCAATTCTGCGGCGAGTTACATTTTCTGCAAATCTTTCTCCGCGATCCCTTAATGGCAGAATCTTTATGGGACTGTTAATGGCTAGAAACAACGCTAAGATTTTTCTCCGGTTGTGAAAATCATCAACTTCGGTCGAGAAATCAACTAGATGTGGTTTGTGATGAAGCTGTGTACCGGCTCTGTACCGGCTGTACCCATGTCGGGAATCGAACCCGGTCTTCAGCGTGACGAGCGAACGCTTTAACCACTAGGCTACCCGACCGCCCCCTTAGTGGAACCGGGCCCTGATACTCGTTACACATGTTCTCCCATACTTTAAAATAATCTTACGAAAGTCGTAACACTAAGATCGCTTTGTTGAGCCGAGCCCTGATGATATTTGTGGAACATTTAAAATACTATCCAGGGTCCCGTACATAACCCACTGATAAGAAATAGTGGTTACGCTCCTCTCAGCGCTGAGATCGCTTGTGAAACGGGACCAAGTGATAAGGGTTGAGACCGGGTACGAAAACTGAACTCGAGTACCCGGCAGACAATACCCGAACCGGACTCGAGTACCCGTAGTTCAATGTTGTCCCACTTGTTTGTAATGCTTTTGCGAATAAAAGGTCATCAAACATCTATTGATCTATTCTAAGGGTATTATATGTTTTTTATTAAATGCCTGCATGGCTTACCTAAAACATTTGAACGTTTGTCCGCTTTGTCGTCTATTTTGAAGTGACTTACGAGTTACGAAAGGCGATTAGAGTTATCTCCCCTGAACGGGTACTCGAGTCCTGAAAATTGGACTCGAGTCCTAAGCTACCCGACCCGTTATCGGGTACTCGAGTACCCGTCGCAACCCTACAAGTGATCAATGCTGAGGTGTCTCCACAAGTCTCTCTTAACTTACTGATGCAAATTCGACACCGAAGAGCGGGAACTTATCGCCACAGTTGTGGGGGTCGATGGCGATGGTGTAGGTCTTGTCAGCTTCTTTGGTGACTTCGAGTCCACGAACAAACGCTCCGTTTGGTTTCCCCTGTTTCATACGGCGTACATTGATGCCAGCTGCACAGAGAAAGAGGCAAATGGGTGAGTGGGTTCAAGGGCGTTTTGAACAGTAGTCTATAGTGCTATCAAAGCCCGCCAGCTGAAAACCTAACACGCACACACGCACAGACAAACACACACATGCACAGACAGACACAGGCACATACCGAGACACACACACATACACGCACAAGCAAACGAGTCCCGTTAAGAGATCCGGGGTAGAATAGGTCTTCAGCAACCCATGCTTGCCGTAAAAGGTGACTATGCTTGTCGTAAAAAGCGACTAACGGGATCGGGTGGTCAGGCTTGCTGACTTGGTTGATGCATGTCATCGATCCCAATTGCGTGGATCGATGCTCATGATATTAATCACTGGATTGTCTGGTCCAAGACTCGATTATTTACAGACCGCCGTCATATAGCTGGAATATTGCTGAGTGCGGCGTTAGACAAACAAACAAACAAACCTGAAAACCCAAAACGAAAAAATTGATGTCCATGACCTTGCTAATTTGGATCTTTCCTCCAGTGAGTGAGTGAGTGAGTATGGTTTTACGCCGCTTTTAGCAATATTCCAGCAATATCACGGCGGGGGACACCAGAAATGGGCTTCACACATTGTACCCATGTCGGGATTCGAACACGGGTCTTCGGCGTGACGAGCGAACGCTTTAACCACTAGGCTACCCGACCGCCCCTCCAGCCAGTGATGTATGTGTCACGCCAGCAATATTACATCAGTATCACGGCGGGGATACCCGAAAGGGGCCCCCATCAATACATTTGTTTTACACTACAGTCAGCTATATTCCAGTGTTATGACGGCGACCTGTAATAATCGAGTATGGGCCAGACAAACCAGTGGTTAATATTATGAGCAATGCCCTACGCCCTCAGGGTAGGATGACACGCACTCAGACAAGCCATTGAACCGAGTCACTCTTTATAATATACCTGGAAGCACAACGCACAAGAATTAATTTTAATTAATATCCCGAATTACTATATCTCTTTGGGAAATTTTAACATACGATATGGATCTCATTTTGCAAAATATAAGGTGAGGTGAAATTGGGTTTAACGTCGCGTCCAAGATTATTGCACTTATATAGCGACGTGTTGAAAAATATAAGTGAGTGAGTTGGGTTTAACGCCGCTTTTAACAGTATTCCAGTTATATCGCGGCGTGTCAGCTTAATGCGCGAAGAAAGCCCGAAGTGATGCAGGTCTCAGACGTTTACCACTTCTGTGAAACCCACGAGCAAGGGTATGGTGCTGACAAACCTAGAAACATAATCGGGGCGAACCGGGATTCGAACCCACAATGATAAGGGACGGAACTGTGCACTCAGCGAATCGCGGCGCCTTAGACGACTGAGCCACCCGTGCCCCCTTGAAAAATATTAAAGATACTACCATCGATGCCTCCTGTAAAATGGGTTCGTTCTTTTGTTTGTTAAACGCCGCACTCAGAAATTTCCCAGCTATATGGCGGCGATACAATCGAGTCTGGACCAGTCAATCCAGTGATTGACATCATGAGCATCGATCCAAGCAATTGGGATGACATGCATCAACCATGTCAGCGAGCCTGACCACACGAACCCTTCACGACAAGCACAGTTCGCCTTTTACGGCAAGCATGGGTTTTTGAAGACCTATTCGAACCCGGATTTACACGGGTATATTTCATATAGAAAACGGAAGAAAATATAGAAATATGCAGTAAGCGGTACTTGGCACTGTTTAGTGTACCTAAGTTTTGGAAAAAACGAATACCGTACCAAGATCCTTGGTGGTGTCTTCCCTGACGATGGTCACAGAGTCCACGTAGATGTCATCGATGGAGTTGGGGCGGTAGATTTTGATGGCGTGCAGCCGGTAGCCGACATGTCCTGCCCTGTGTTCAGTTGCAATCTTGTACAGGTCAATACACGTGTAGGCCCACCTAGATGCAAGGAGACATACACGTGAAGTGAGATTCAATCTTGTACAGGTCAATACACGTATAGGCCCACCTAGATGCAACGAGACATACACGTGAAGTGAGATTCAATCTTGTACAGGTCAATACACGTATAGGCCCACCTAGATGCAACGAGGCATACACGTGAAGTGAGATTCAATCTTGTACAGGTCAATACACGTATACGCCCACCTAGATGCAACGAGACATACACGTGAAGTGAGATTCAATCTTGTACAGGTCAATACACGTGTAGGCCCACCTAGATGCAAGGAGACATACACGTGAAGTGAGATACAATCTTGTACAGGTCAATACACGTATAGGCCCACCTAGATGCAACGAGACATACACGTGAAGTGAGATTCAATCTTGTACAGGTCAATACACGTGTAGGCCCACCTAGATGCAAGGAGACATACACGTGATGTGAGATTCAATCTTGTACAGGTCAATACACGTATAGGCCCACCTAGATGCAACGAGACATACACGTGAAGTGAGATTCAATCTTGTACAGGTCAATACACGTATAGGCCCACCTAGATGCAACGAGACATACACGTGAAGTGAGATTCAATCTTGTACAGGTCAATACACGTATAGGCCCACCTAGATGCAAGGAGACATACACGTGAAGTGAGATTCAATCTTGTACAGGTCAATACACGTATAGGCCCACCTAGATGCAACGAGACATACACGTGAAGTGAGATTCAATCTTGTACAGGTCAATACACGTATAGGCCCACCTAGATGCAATGAGACATACACGTGAAGTGAGATTCAATCTTGTACAGGTCAATACACGTATAGGCCCACCTGGATACAATGAGACATACACGTGAAGTGAGATTCAATCTTGTACAGGTCAATACACGTGTAGGCCCACCTAGATGCAATGAGACATACACGTGAAGTGAGATTCAATCTTGTACAGGTCAATACACGTGTAGGCCCACCTAGATGCAAGGAGACATACACGTGTAGTGAGATTCAATCTTGTAAAGGTCAATACACGTGTAGGCCCACCTAGATGCAAGGAGACATACACGTGAAGTGAGATTCAATCTTGTACAGGTCAATACACGTATAGGCCCACCTAGATGCAAGGAGACATACACGTGAAGTGAGATTCAATCTTGTACAGGTCAATACACGTATAGGCCCACCTAGATGCAACGAGACATACACGTGAAGTGAGATTCAATCTTGTACAGGTCAATACACGTATAGGCCCACCTAGATGCAATGAGACATACACGTGAAGTGAGATTCAATCTTGTACAGGTCAATACACGTGTAGGCCCACCTAGATGCAAGGAGACATACACGTGTAGTGAGATTCAATCTTGTACAGGTCAATACACGTGTAGGCCCACCTAGATGCAAGGAGACATACACGTGAAGTGAGATTCAATCTTGTACAGGTCAATACACGTATAGGCCCACCTAGATGCAAGGAGACATACACGTGAAGTGAGATTCAATCTTGTACAGGTCAATACACGTATAGGCCCACCTAGATGCAAGGAGACATACACGTGAAGTGAGATTCAATCTTGTACAGGTCAATACACGTGTAGGCCCACCTAGATGCAAGGAGACATACACGTGAAGTGAGATTCAATCTTGTACAGGTCAATACACGTATAGGCCCACCTAGATGCAACGAGACATACACGTGAAGCGAGATTCAATCTTGTACAGGTCAATACACGTATAGGCCCACCTAGATGCAACGAGACATACACGTGATGTGAGTATCTGAGTGAGTGAGTGAATTTAACGCCGCTTATATCATGGCGTGTCAGGCAAGCATAAAGGGGCGCATTCTGTGACACCCCCAAGGAAGGACATTGTGGTGACAAACATGGGACTATAATCGGGCTGAATCTAGGATTCGAAACAACGCTCATCGGATCCTGCTTCGACTAAGAGATGCAAATCTGCGTAGCAAATTTCGGAGCCTTGGAGTAAGTGAGTGAGTATGATTTTACGCCGCTTTTAACATTATTATGCCTGAAAGTCAGATTGACCAATAAGAAAGCCGAACTACTGATCCCATATGATCCCGTGTACTGTTAGAATACATCTAAGATGGTTGTTACCGCCCGTCAAGAAATCACCCGTTCAATAAACATACAACTGTAGTACACATTGTGTAATACCAAAACGCGTGGTTGTGTTCTGTCGGGCACGTTTCACCAAAAAGTATTGAAAGCTCTCAACATCCCTTGGCTTACTCAACGACATTGCGTGTGGAGGTGATAGATCACTGAGAAGAGCTTATGCACACTCGATGACCCCAGCAACCTTGTTGCTAGGCTGACGTCACATGGCATTGTTTCACCGATGAATCTTGCAGCAAAATTCCCACACTCCGGCGAAGTGGTGACTCAGCACAACACCACTGCCACAGGCTAATTTGCATATCACGTGACCGGACTTTTCTCTTGTTTGTAAACAAACGCGCTTTTTCAGAAATCAGTATAGAACGGACTAATGCAAGTTTTGGGGGGCGCTTTACATATTGTTTTGCATAATTATATAGATATGCTAATACAACTGCGACAGTGAGTTGCATGACAATACAATTTATATTTTTATACATCGAAGTGACCGTATCGCTAGCTCTTCGAAGGGCTTCGGCGACAGCACGTGGAGCCGTACAACCAATGTAAACAAACGATAACTACGCAAAAGCAAGTAGATTTTCACGTTTTAGGATACTTTCTAAATGAACCGTAACCATTCTTTGACATTTGTTTATCACAATGTGAAAGCTTGTCAAAAATTAAACGCATACGCAATATCTTGAATGGACTGTGAAAGATGTGACGAATCGTCACATGGCGCTGGCCTGTGGCAGAGGTACTATGCTGGCTGGCTCCCGGCCGCAAGGAACTCTGGGTAGGAGAGTGCAAAATTCCACAAATTACGTCATCGGGTATTGTGACGTGATTATAAACTTTGCGGTGCACGGCCTCGTTCCACAAGGCGATCGTACTGTAGCGCAACGACAGTCGTAAGTCTGTGTGAAAGTATGTGAGTTGCGATAACCTTAGCGTTACGATAACTTGTGTAACGGACGCCTGAATTCTAAAGGCGGACCGTTGTATGGTATTAAATTTATACGTTTCAACTTTTGACGTGTTTGAAGTATTATTTTGCTAAGCTCAATTGGATTATGCCGTGGATCGTGTAGGTGTCAGCCTATTCACACAGGACAGTATAATTCTAATTTTTTTTATAAATGGCAAGTAATAAATAAATTACTAAACTCGCTCCCATGCAAAACCAATCTTAGGAACCTCGTGAATAGTTGTGGTATCTGACGAGCGAAACTCGTTTAATAAAATTGTTATTACACGGGAGCTCGTTTAGTATTCTATATTAACGTCAACATTTTATCCAATGATGACTAGACATCTGGACCTACTTGTCAGGGTCGTCGACTGTGGGGACGTTGAAGGTCTTCCACGCGACTGGTTTGTCTCCATCCGACTCCTCGTACTGATACTTCATGTTCAGGTACTTGACGACACCACGGTACGCCAGACAGAGCTGTGAAGAAAACAGGGGCGTGATGTGGTAAAGTACGGAAGCCTTTTGGGGCCATTTGTTTTTTTGTTTTTTTCTTTTTTTTCTTTGAAAATTCAAGTTACTTAGTTAAATTTCAAGATACCAAGTTGAAATTGCAAGATACGATGTTGAAATTTCAAGATACATGCTAAGTTGAAATTTCAAAATAAGGATCTCGAAATTTCAGGATAATAAAATGAAATGTCAACTTATGTATCTTAGAATTTCACAATATCAAAACAATTGTCCCAAAATCTGGTGAGACACCCCCGAAGCTGTCGCCACGCAACTTCTATTTACACCCACGCTCCAGTGAACACAGACACAAGGATGACAGATTAATAGTTTCATAACGTCTTGACAATCTGTCGTGATCATGACACTGACATGTGGTAGTTGACCATGCAGTGTGTAACACCCCGTTTAATGCACCAGGGCCCACTTGCACAAAGCGATCTTAGCGCTAAGATGATCGTAACGCCCATACTTTAACATAGACTCACAACAGTCTTAGCGCTAAGATCGCTTTGTGCAAGTGGGCCCAGAACTGTCAATGCACACGACATCGCTCTTCCTTAGGCTATGGTAACGTCAATGTGGGGAAAACTAGGCCGTCTTTACTACTGTGTGTTTCTCATCCCTCAAGGGTCTATCAACCAGTGAAGATCCGGGTCAGAACTGGTAAGAGGCGACAATGCTTGTCCTTATTAGCGTCAACTAACGGGATCAAGTGGTTAGGCTCGCTGCCTTGGTTCATGCATGTCGTCGTACTCCAACTGCGTATCGATGGTGTCAATCACTGGATTGTCCAGATTCGATTATTTACAGACCGCCGTCATTTTGCTGGACTGTTGCTGAGTGTGGCGGTAAAACAACAAACGAGATGTGGAGGAAAAGAGTAAGGTAAGGGAGACAACCTATTCATTGTGAGGCTATTCAGGCTATTTCGGGGTGTCTCACACCCGTGTTCACCTTCAGAGGCATTCGTCACCACTCGCCCCTTTCCGTAACCTGCAAGAAGACTCGTCCCCCTATCGATGAATGTTAGGTGCGAAAATACGACAAACCAATCAGAATGCGCGTATGATTCTTTGTCAAATAATCCCTCAGAAATAATTTTTGATTTTACATATGTCTTGCATCTAAAAATATACCAAAGACACAGTTAAATGTGTTCAATCATACTGTATAATTCCGCACGTCCCGGCGTGCTTTAAATTGCATCTGAAATATATATCATATATGGGGAAATATATGTGAACCATTAGGCAACGAGTTGACAATTGTTTTAGGTATGCCCGTTTGCGCTAAAACGGAACCCAGTCGCAAAAATGGCCATGAGAGGGGCACGAGTCGCTATTCGGCTTGTCCCGGAATAATACGAGTTGGGCACGAATGCTTCAGAGGGTGCGGGTGGACGGAAGAATTGAAGATAAAACAAATAAAAAATTAAAAGGTTGCCTTTGGCTGAGTGAGTGAGATTGATGGGTCTGGGTCTGCTGAATTATACATGCAGTCTTAGACTTTGACACTTTGGTGAAATCCAAAGTTATGGTGCTGACATAGGATCCTTGCACGCCTAAGGGGAGCAACTCTGCAAATTACGACTTCGGCGACTGGGCCTCCCGTGCGCCTGACGTTGGTTAAAAATCCTCTGATGATGCAGGACGGCTGTATATTTTTGGACCGCTTCAATTAATTACTATAACAATGACTGTTCCGTATGATTTTGAATTATTTATAAAGCATTTTATGTGTCTGATAGGCCTGTATGGCGGGATCCTTCTTTTAATATACACCTGTATTTTAACAAATGTGTCAAATGAAATTAAATTGTAATGTGAGACACCAATAAATAGTTTTTCTTTCTTCTCCCAACACGTTGTTATTTGCGACTGGTGCGACGAAGGTCAAAAGTTCGGATCTGTTTATCGATAGTCAGAGCTCGAAAAACGAAATATGAATATATATCTTGGAATATACTGACGATAAAATGCAGAAAGATGAAAAACAACCACAGAGATGGCTTTATCAAAAGATTTATCCTGGATACAGATACCTACTACTGATGGTGCTGAAGTCTTTGTAGTAAATAGCTGAATTCTCTGATTCCTGACACGATTATCTCCCCTTGTACATATTCACTCGTTTGAGCCAATGACGCAATGGCAGGACCGAGGGACGTTCAAAACAATAGAAATACTATACCATGCGAAACGGGAACAATGTTTTAATTTGTTTACGTTGTCAAACAAGAACGTTTTTCAGAGCACGAGGTTCGTTTTAACGGATGATTAGCCAAGCTTGGCTTTCTTCGCGACCATTTAAATTTGTGATAAAGTCAATTTCCCTTTAATATGTTGGACAGACAGTGGCTTATAATTCGCAGCTGAGGGTGAAATATTTGAGAGAGAAAAATATTATTCGATGATAGACAAAGAACGGTGTTCCTTCTGGAACATTTGATGCTTCAGCTGAGGTGGTTCACATATACATCTGTTGGTGTACTGACCAACACAGAGCGGCTGGTAAGGCTAACCTTCACCCCACCCCGGCGCAGTAATAGTTTGTGGCGAGCAATAGTGTTCCTTCTGAACCGTCTGATGATTCAACTGGTTGCTTCACAAACACATCTGTTGGTGTACTGACCAACACAGAGCGGCTGGTAAGGCTAACCTTCACCCCACCCCGGCGCAGTAATAGTTTGTGGCGAGCAATAGTGTTCCTTCTGAACCGTCTGATGATTCAACTGGTTGCTTCACAAACACATCTGTTGGTGTACTGACCGATACAGAGCGGCTGGTAAGGCTAACCTATACCCCACCCCGGCGCAGTAATAGTTTGTGGCGAGCAATAGTGTTCCTTCTGAACCGTCTGATGATTCAACTGGTTGCTTCACAAACACATCTGTTGGTGTACTGACCGATACAGAGCGGCTGGTAAGGCTAACCTATACCCCACCCCGGCGCAGTAATAGTTTGTGGCGAGCAATAGTGTTCCTTCTGAACCGTCTGATGATTCAGCTGGTTGCTTCACAAACACATCTGTTGGTGTACTGACCGATACAGAGCGGCTTGTAAGGCTAACCTATACCCCACCCCGGCGCAGTAATAGTTTGTGGCGAGCAATAGTGTTCCTTCTGAAACCTCTGGTGATTCAACTGGTTGCTTCACAAACACATCTGTTGGTGTACTGACCGATACAGAGCGGCTGGTAAGGCTAACCTATACCCCACCCCGGCGCAGTAATAGTTTGTGGCGAGCAATAGTGTTCCTTCTGAACCGTCTGATGATTCAACTGGTTGCTTCACAAACACATCTGTTGGTGTACTGACCGATACAGAGCGGCTGGTAAGGCTAACCTATACCCCACCCCGGCGCAGTAATAGTTTGTGGCGAGCAATAGTGTTCCTTCTGAACCGTCTGATGATTCAGCTGGTTGCTTCACAAACACATCTGTTGGTGTACTGACCGATACAGAGCGGCTTGTAAGGCTAACCTATACCCCACCCCGGCGCAGTAATAGTTTGTGGCGAGCAATAGTGTTCCTTCTGAAACCTCTGGTGATTCAACTGGTTGCTTCACAAACACATCTGTTGGTGTACTGACCGATACAGAGCGGCTGGTAAGGCTAACCTATACCCCACCCCGGCGCAGTAATAGTTTGTGGCGAGCAATAGTGTTCCTTCTGAACCGTCTGATGATTCAACTGGTTGCTTCACAAACACATCTGTTGGTGTACTGACCGATACAGAGCGGCTGGTAAGGCTAACCTATACCCCACCCCGGCGCAGTAATAGTTTGTGGCGAGCAATAGTGTTCCTTCTGAACCGTCTGATGATTCAACTGGTTGCTTCACAAACACATCTGTTGGTGTACTGACCGATACAGAGCGGCTGGTAAGGCTAACCTATACCCCACCCCGGCGCAGTAATAGTTTGTGGCGAGCAATAGTGTTCCTTCTGAACCGTCTGATGATTCAGCTGGTTGCTTCACAAACACATCTGTTGGTGTACTGACCGATACAGAGCGGCTGGTAAGGCTAACCTATACCCCACCCCGGCGCAGTAATAGTTTGTGGCGAGCAATAGTGTTCCTTCTGAAACCTCTGGTGATTCAACTGGTTGCTTCACAAACACATCTGTTGGTGTACTGACCGATACAGAGCGGCTGGTAAGGCTAACCTATACCCCACCCCGGCGCAGTAATAGTTTGTGGCGATCAATAGTGTTCCTTCTGAACCGTCTGATGATTCAACTGGTTGCTTCACAAACACATCTGTTGGTGTACTGACCGATACAGAGCGGCTGGTAAGGCTAACCTATACCCCACCCCGGCGCAGTAATAGTTTGTGGCGAGCAATAGTGTTCCTTCTGAACCGTCTGATGATTCAACTGGTTGCTTCACAAACACATCTGTTGGTGTACTGACCGATACAGAGCGGCTGGTAAGGCTAACCTATACCCCACCCCGGCGCAGTAATAGTTTGTGGCGAGCAATAGTGTTCCTTCTGAACCGTCTGATGATTCAGCTGGTTGCTTCACAAACACATCTGTTGGTGTACTGACCGATACAGAGCGGCTGGTAAGGCTAACCTATACCCCACCCCGGCGCAGTAATAGTTTGTGGCGAGCAGTAGTGTTCCTTCTGAAACCTCTGGTGATTCAACTGGTTGCTTCACAAACACATCTGTTGGTGTACTGACCGATACAGAGCGGCTGGTAAGGCTAACCTATACCCCACCCCGGCGCAGTAATAGTTTGTGGCGAGCAGTAGTGTTCCTTCTGAAACCTCTGGTGATTCAACTGGTTGCTTCACAAACACATCTGTTGGTGTACTGACCGATACAGAGCGGCTGGTAAGGCTAACCTATACCCCACCCCGGCGCAGTAATAGTTTGTGGCGAGCAGTAGTGTTCCTTCTGAAACCTCTGATGATTCAGATTGTTGCTTCACAAACACATCTGTTGGTGTACTGGCCAATACAGAGCGGCTGGTAAGGCTAACCTATACCCCACCCCGGCGCAGTAATAGTTTGTGGCGAGCAGTAGTGTTCCTTCTGAAACCTCTGATGATTCAGATTGTTGCTTCACAAACACATCTGTTGATGTACCGGCCGATACAAAGCCGTATGTAAGACAGACGCATACCCCACATTTACCGGAGCTTGTCCAGGATTTAAAAATGATGGCTGCAAACTACCCAAGTCAAGAACTCAACACAGCGACTGATACAGGCTGCCACGTAAGGTGTCTGATAAAATAGGGATTCATCTATCCAAATTATTTTTGTTTATTCCATTTTCAATCATATTTTCCATTTCAATATCATACATAGAGTGTGCATGGATTTGTTGTGATATTATTGACATGTTTGTAGCATCTATCCAAACTATCGATAGTTCAGTATAATATTAATGTCAACGCTTATTGATTACAATACTCACCACCTTGTATTGTGAGAGGGACATTCCATTTGAATCGCCATCCTTCAGATACAAATATTGAGGATTCTTAGAAGAGAACCGGCCACAGAACGGTTCCTCGTCCGACACCGCCACGCCATACAAACTGTGCACGGCAACCTCATAGTCGAGTGATAAATATTTATGGGGCGGGTTGTTGTAGATTTCTGGGCAACGGACGCTGAACAACAACATCAGTGACGCTTGCACCTGGAACATGGAATAGGTGCCATCTCAGTTCTAATTGTAAGGGATCAAATACACAGCGACACCCACACAGCTGCAAACAAACACATAATGTTAAAATGAGTGTGATTTCAGTATGGTTGGTTGATAACTTTGTTAAAATTGGACTGGATCACCTTGGCCCACTTGAACAAAGCGCTCTTAGGGCTAGTATGGTCGTAGCTTCCATAATGTATTGTTTGTTTGTTTGTTTGTTTGTTTAACGCCGCGCTCAGCAGAATTCAAGCTTTTTGACGGCGGTCTGTAAATAATCGAGTCTGGAACAGACAATCCAGTGATTGACATCATGAGCATCTATCTACAGAATTGGGAAACGATGACATGTATCAACCAAGTCAGCGTGTCTTGCCACCCGATCCCGCTAGTCGCCTCTTGCGCCAAGTATAGTCGGCAAGCGTAGGTTGCTGAAGACCTATTCTACCCCGGCTCTTCACAGTTCCCCATACTTTAACATAGGCTTAAGATAATCTTAGCGCTAACATAACATTACATAACATAACATAACATAACATAACATAACATAACATAACATAACATAACATAACATAAAGTAACGTAACGTAACGTAACGTAACGTAACGTAACGTAACGTAACGTAACGTAACGTAACATAACATAACATAACATAACATAACATAAAGTAACGTAACGTAACGTAACGTAACGTAACGTAACATAACATAACATAACATAACATAACGTAACGTAACGTAACGTAACGTAACGTAACGTAACGTAACGTAACATAAAATAACATAACGTAACGTAACGTAACGTAACGTAACGTAACATAACATAACATAACATAACATAACATAACATAACATAACATAAAATAACATAACATAACATAACATAACATAACATAGCATAACATAACATCCGCTAAAACATATGTAAGAGAATACCACACAAGAAACAAGTAATATCGGTATATTCATTTGAAACTGCGGTTATCTAACCACTATTATCTCCTCTAACCTAAATGTGGATGCAGGTACACTTACGTCATCAGCACTGGCGGTGACCTTAATGCTTGGGGAGGGGAGATCATCCATCTTGAGACTGAAGTGTTTCAAGGGTGATCTCCCCTTTGTCTTTTCTGCAATGGTAATCGTGCAGTCTTTCGGGCCTCCAGCGTCGAACATGTAGGTGAGGTCGGGAAAGTCGCCTGAAGCAGAAGATTTGTCTTTCCATGTACTAGTAAACATATTTTATTGCAAAAACACACCAATAGACAATGCAAAATTTTTAAAGCGTAAATGGTCTAACAATGAAGCCCGGTCACCACTGTCAAGTATTAAACTGTAATGCATGGGCGGATACAGCTTTTTTAAAAAAAAGGGGGGGGGGGGGGGGGGGGGGTGCACAATTAAGATCTATTTATTGTCTTTTTTTCGAAATAAAAAGGGGAGGTGACCCCCCCCCCCCCCCCCCCCCTTTGTATCCGCCCATGTCATGCATCCTCAGTCAATCAGAACATAGAAGGTTGAGATGATGTGTGGTGAAAGGGGTGTGGTGAATGATTATTCTACCATGAATTTGGTCAATCAGAATCTACTAAATCACAATAAACCCCCTCTGATTGAAACAGCTGGTTTGACGGCTAATATTAACAGAATAGTACTATTTTCATTCATTGTCGGTAGGCATATTTAAATTTAAATAAGTATATCTACAATTACAGGTTACAAAATGCACAGATACGGTTATTACAATATAAAAAGATGTGTGGCAATACACTTCGTGCAGAAAACACGATAGAAATCTACAAAGGGAATGTATTTACAGTTTGGAGACAACACACACTCCGGCGCAGTGGTGACACAGTGGTGACTCAGTGGTGACTCAGTGGTGACACGATCGCCATAGGCTAATTTGCATATCACGTGACCGGACTTTTCTCTTGTTTGTAAACAAACGCGCTTTTCAGAAATCAGTATAGAACGGACTAATGCAAGTAGTTTGGGGCGCTTTACATATTGTTTTGCATAATTATATAGATATGCTACAACAACTGCGACAGTGAGTTGCATGGCAATATATCTTTATACATCAAAGTGACCGTATCGCTAGCTCTCCGTTGGGCTGCGATGACAGCACGTGGAGCCGTACAACCAATGTAAACAGAGGATAACTTCGCAAAAACAAGTAGATGTTCACGTATTAGGATACTTTCTTAATGAACCGTAACCATTCTTTGACATTTGGTTCTGAAAATGTGTAGACTTGTGAAACATGAAACGGATGAAAAGCATATTCAATATCTTGAATGGACTGTGAAAGATGTGACGATTCGTCACATGGCGCTGGTCTGTGGCAGAGGTACTATGCTGGCTGGCTGTGACGTCATATCGTTTGCGTCACAATGAGCGATATGACGTCATAATGGTGAATTGCGATGTAGAGCGAGAGGTGTCCTCCCATTAGTTAGACGTCCCAATAGTTAGACAGCTTATAACAACACTTTAAACGGTTGAGTGCACACTAACCCTTATGCTTGTTACCTCAGACTTTAAAATGGAATAGTCTAGATAAGATCTGACAAACAAAGCAAAGCAGCTTTAAATAGATACTTTAATATTATACTTAACATTTAATGACACTTTACATTTGATAAATTATATACAGTTTGGTGAAATGATGGCATCGCTGGGATGCTGGCTTCATCTACTTGAGTGACTTGCTCCTCTAGAACAGAACAGAACTTTATTACGCTCAGCCCGAGATCCTCGGCATAGGAGGTACAAACTGACAGCAAAATACACATTATAATTGCGGATTGTGGTTAGCCGGAAGATTTTACAATTTGCATTACATATTTACAGAATTTACTAAGGTTTTTTAATACAGATATCTCTTTACAAGTGAAAAGTCTTTGAAATTTAATCATATTAGGTCTTTTAGAATATGTAGGTGGGATATACAAAATTCTTTCTTTAGTAAAATATGGACATTTAAAAATATAGTGAAATTCATCTCCAATATCATCAATAAAACGCAGTTTACATTTTCTTTCACAAATAGGTATCCCATTCCATCTTCCTTTTTCAATTGGTAAGTGGTGGCATGAAGTACGAAATAAAAGTAGAGGGATAGCTTTATTTAGGGGTAGGGACGTCAGATAATTTTCTAATTCAAATTGTGGTTTCAAGAGAGAATAGACTACACTTTCCTCGTGCAATGCCTGCATCTGTGTGGTTTCTTCTCGCGCTCTTTTACGAAGATTGCTGACAAAGTTCACTCTGGTTTCATCTTCAGGCGGATGGTTATGTTCCGACTGATTGCAAAGAAAGTCACCGACAGTCGTACATTTCCCATTGCACGTCTTGACGACACATCTCGAATGTGAGCAGGTTTGCCTCTCGCGGTTTCTGTTGTAAATATATCCATCTAATATCAACTGCTCACTTCCACGCCGAGAGATGATGTACTCTACTTTCCTTAAACCATCCATATCGATACTGATAATGATACGTACCCCAAGATCATTTTTATTTGTTTGATGAGTACGTAATCTAAACTCAACTCCTTCAACTGATCATACAGTAAGACAATTAAGCTACTCCATAGTTTACACAGTTAATCTCATGCCTATTGAACCTGTGCTGAGAGTAAGGTAATTTAGGTTAATTAAACGAAATTATAACATTTATACTCCCTAAACTGTGAGTCCCCTATCCCTACTCAGTACTTTAATCTAATTAGGACTGATCCATTACACCTGTAGGTATATTCCCTCTTTGCCTAAATAGAAATGTCTAACAATTGGGACGTCTAACTAATGGGACGTCTAACTAATGGGATATAACCGAGCGAGAGCCTTGCAAAACTTGCTTTGTTTTCTTTAGGGATGCCCACCTCATGTTAGCTTACCAAGTTGCCGTGCTTATATGCTTTCAATGCCTGTCATATGTTCGAGTGAAGTATTACGGTGTAAACAAACTGCTTGAGTATATACAGCGCCATATTTTGTTGGTGATTCCGTAATTCAGATCGACAACCCACTCAAAACACTGAACTCAACCCATGCCGCTTCACACAGTATATTTGCGAACACCAAAGAGTTCGCGTTTTATTTAGTCATGGTAGAATGGAGATAAACATACTGTGTTTTCAATGTAGAGCTAGGTTACCTGTAGATATAACCGCGATAAATTTATCATTCGAAACCTCACGCTGCGCGTTCGGTTCCAAATTCAATTTAGCGGGGTTAAATCTCCAGGTAACCTAGCTCTACATTGAAAACATAGTATGTTTATCTCCTAATTGCATTTACATTGCGACATGCTTGCATTTCATCTGAAATGTTATATCCAGTAAGGGTGTTCCAGTTGACGACGTTTAACCTCTGGATGCCGAGGTTTTTTTCTGAAGCACATTTTCCTAAGATCGGAAAAGTGAAGGTTGTGCGAGAATTGCGCTCACGCGGCACTGGATCTACCTCTGGCTATAAAATTACGCAGAGGTGGAGAATATTAAATTTCCTATTTGATGGTGTAAAGTTAACTGCAAATATTAAACCGGTTTAAAAAAAATACACTTCTAAGTGTTGTCCGAGAATTTATTCTGCGTTGAAAAACAGTAACTTTCTCCGCTATTTATCGTACACCGATAAAAGTACTGTGCGAGGATTTTTTTATTTAGAATCTTTACGGAATCTGTGGGCGAACAAAATACTGCCTAATATCTGAACGACATAACTATATATCAAATGGAGTTATATGTGTATATATACCGACATCAATCAATACCAAAAAGAGCTTGCCGTAAATGACGAAAACTGATTTTTCTCTATGACGTCAAAAGGCGACAGAGAGGTTACACACGTACAAAGAAAAGGGGGCATAACTCCGCTATGCTTAGCACTAGTTTATTGTAACTCAGGTCACTTGGTGAGAATTAGCTGTGGGTGAGTGTAACATATTTTCCTGGTGTTTTGTTCACGAGGAACCAAACTATTCCAACACAAATATCGATAAAGAAACGTTTAGTTATACGTTTAGTTATAATAAACACCCCATAACATGTGATGAAATCGTGCTTCATTAAAAAGAGGTAATAGAGAAATGGATGGCCCTATCTAACCTATAACTTAGTCCTTAGATTCCAACATTCTCCTGATTGTGTAAGTGTAATGTGACTAATTTGCACCATTATTAATGGAACACTAGCCTTATCATCGAAGGCAATGAAATACCAAAAAAATAAACATATAGAGAATCTCACCCGAGTGTCTTTTGATATCAAATATATCAACATGAGTTGATAAAAGTGAAAACATTTCGAGGCTTGCCGAGGATTTTGCCATTTTTGTCAACGAGTGTTGATATATTTGATATCAAAAGACACGAGGATGAGATTTTATTTATCATCCAACATCATTCTTCCAACTGTTTCAATTTGTAGACAGTATTTAGCAGTGTCTTAAGTGTAAAAAGTTCTGCTAACAGCTTCAGTAGCAGTGCCGTTAGTGATAACATTTGACTGTGACGTCATGGTTACCGATGATGTCACAATGGTCTGCAAAGCATTGTGATGCAATTTCATTGCAGCGATATCTACACTATAGATATCGGTTGATCTCACCCAAGCGATATCTCTTGCGGGAGCCAGTTTTGGGTGATAAATGTTTCAGACATACCTCTCTCGCTGTCGAAGGTGATGGTGAACTTAACTCCGGCTCCCTCGGTCGCTCTCTGCACTGACACACCGTCAGGGGCCAGGCTAGGCAGGCTCGCCAGGGCGTTGTCCACCTGCCCATCACTGGCCGTCAAACGGAGAGGCTCTGGATGAAAAGGTCGGCATTCGTGTTACAAGGGAGTGAAGGGTTTGGCTTCTGATTCAAACATCCTCCTATCCTATCTAATTTCCATTGAGTCGAATTATACTGGCTCAAAAGGTTCATTATTTTACTATCCCAAGAGGGGGCACGAGTGGCCCAGTCGTCTAAGGCGCCGCGATTCGCTGTGTAGAGTTGCGTCCCTTGGGCACGCCAGAAATCTGTGATTATGGGTTCGAATCCCGGTTCGCCCCGTTTATGTTTCTAGGTTTGTCAGCACCATGCTCGTTCTCGTGGGTTTCACTGAAGAGGTAAACGTCTGAGACCTGCATCTCTTCAGGCTTTCCTCCCACATTAAGCTGACACGCCGTGATATAACTCGAAAATTGTTAAAAGCGGCGTTAAACCAAACTCACTCACTCACTAACTGCTATATACTGACCGCTGTAGACTCCAAACAGACCGAGTCTGAAGTAGGTGTCCTCGTTGCCGACGATGGTTACAGTCTGCACCTCCTTCACCAAAGTCTGCGACGTGGGTACGGTGAGGACCACACTCTGTAAGTGTTAGAGATGTTCGATGTAGTGTAAATCGCGTACATAGCTCACACTTCGAGATCATAGTGAAGATACACGCAACATCTTTGTGAAGATTTTGTTGGTGAATGGTTTGATTCGTGTGTGTGTGTTTGTACTAGTCTGGACTAAAGCCGATTTCCTTGTTTAGCCCCTATATGTCCAGCTCAAGGCAGGGTAACATCAAGCACCAACTTTTAACGTATTTTGGTATGACGCGGTCGGGGATCGAACCCCCACCCTTCCGCTCTCCGTGCGGACGCTCCACCACTAGACGGCCAGGTTTATCAGCAGACCCGTGCTTGCGCGTCTCACTCCAGTTGGACACGCTTGAGACCTCCCTTTAAATCCGATCTAATTATTCTTTATAAATTTTCCCTTACCATCAATGAATAGTGATCCTGTAACCTCAATATACCGGATCTCGAAAAACCCATGTATATGGACGATCCGGAGAAGCCGACGTTAATCCGTACGTACGATACGTTGATACGGTAATTGTTAGTCCGGTTAATTTCAGTTGGAACAATTAAGTCCGGTTTAACGGGATGTCACTGTATATCACTGCTTCACGCTTGCAACCAACGTCAACTTAGTGTGAAAAAACCCCTGTTGGGATTCTGGGTTACAGTTGGTCCCTAGCAGCCTATGATTGTGGCCCCCACGTGGCTTTGAGACATTAAACCGCCTCCGTGGTCTAGTGGCAGAGCGTCCGCCCGGAGAGCGGAAGGTCCGTCCGGGGTTCGATCCCCGGCCGCGTCATACCAAAAGACGTTAAAAGATGGTACTTGTTGTTACCCTGACTGGCGCTCGGCATTAAGGGGCTAAAACAAAGACTGGTCGGCTCAGAGTCAGCATACTGTGTCTGAGTGGGGTATTCATGTTAAACTGCGGCATGGTTTCTCAGTTGGCTAGCACTATAAATCGGCATCAGTCCGGACTAGTACAAGCAGCCACACACACACGTGCATGCACGTCGCTATATAAGTGCAATAATCTTTGACGCGACGTTAAACCCAATTCCACCTCACCTCACCTTTGAGGCATTACGCTCACACAATACTGTTCAAAGCTAACCTAAACTATGGAATCCTAGAAGCGACATTGTCGCGTTGTCACCCTTATAAAAACAAGCAATATTAAAATTATTATCTAATATATAAATCATTGGCCTATCTGAGTATTGTGAAATGATCAAAACACGAATAATTGGCCTATCTAAGTATAATGCAATTGAAAAACAAAAAAAAATGGCCTTCCTGGGTATCTTTGAATTAGAAAAGCAAATAATTGGCCTTCCTTGGTACCTTTGAATTAGAAAAGGCAAATAATTTGTCTACCTGGGTATCTTTGAATTACGGAAACAAATAATTGGTCTACCTGGGTATCTTTGAATCAGAAAAGTTAATAATTGGTCTACCTTGGTATCTTTGAATTAGAAAAGCAAAAAAAAGGTCTACCTCGGTATCTTTGAATTACGGAAGCAAATATTTGGTCTACCTGGGTATCTTTGAATTACGGAAGCAAATAATTGGTCTCCATTGGTATCTTTGAATTAGAAAAGCAAATAATTGGTCCACCTGGGTATCTGTGAATTACGGAAACAAATAATTGGTCTACCTGGGTGTCTTTGAATAAGAAAAGCAAATAATTGGTCTACCTTGGTATCTTTGAATTAGAAAAGCAAATAATTGGTCTACCTCGGTATCTTTGAATTAGAAAAGCAAATAATTGGTCTACCTGGGTATCTTTGAATTAGAAAAGCAAATAATTGGTCTACCTTGGTATCTTTGAATAAGAAAAGCAAATAATTGGTCTACCTGGGTATCTTTGAATAAGAAAAGCAAATAATTGGTCTACCTGGGTATCTTTGACTTAGAAAAACAAACAATTGTCTACCTTGGTATCTGTGATTTACAAAAGCAAATAATTGGTCTACCTGGGTATCTTTGAATAACGGAAACAAATAATTGGTCTACCTGGGTATCTTTGAATAAGAAAAGCAAATAATTGGTCTGCCTTGGTATCTTTGAATTAGAAAAGCAAATAATTGGTCTACCTCGGTATCTTTGAATTAGAAAAGCAAATAATTGGTCTACCTGGGTATCTTTGAATTGGAAAAGCAAATAATTGGTCTACCTGGGTATCTTTGAATTAGAAAAGCAAATAATTGGTCTACCTGGGTATCTGTGATTTACAAAGGCAATATTTGGTCTACCTGAGTATCTTTGAATTAGAAAAGCAAATAATTGGTCTACCTGGGTATCTTTGAATTAGAAAAGCAAATAATTGGTCTACCTAGGTATCTTTGAATTACAAAAGCAAACAAATGGTCTACCTGAGTATCTTTGATTACGGTGGAGGAGAACTGTAGCTCCTGGGTGTCCTGCCAAGCCGCCGCTGTCTGAGATGAGGTGTAGGGCGTGACGAATGCGCGTGCAGCTATTTGAAAGTACGCTTGTCCACTCCCCTCGTTCATTAACACTTCAAGGTAGTACCTGAAGAGAAGAATGGTTTCATAAAGAAAACACAACTTACTTTTAGACATAAAAACCCTCACTCCATCACTCCACAAGCCCACCCATCCACCAACTCAAAGTTTATGAAATGAAACATCAGTATTTTAATGTACCTTGCATCTTTCGTGAGACTAACGAGGTCCGACTCTTGGTTTTCCGAGTCATCTGTATACTTTCTGTCAACGTTGGATTTTGCCATTAACACCTAAAATGAAAAACATATACTCATGAGATCAACTTCGTGGGAACTTAGATAGATGTACACCATGCATTTAAGTAAAAAGTGCTTCTACAGTTGTCTATATTTTATGTGATCTCCGCTTTTGTCTCAACCTATAATTTTAATGATCCTCAGGACCTGTAAATAAAAAAAATATATAAAGTACAGTAAACTACGTTTATAACGAACACACTTATAACGAACTGACGGATATAACGAACTTTTTCGTTGTCCCGCCCATTTGCTGTATATATGCTGTACATATGCTTATAACGAACAACGTATATGACAAATAAAGTTTGTTTTAACCGTAGTGTACTGTTACATAAATGCCACTTAAGCTGGACAGGAACAAAAGCTAAAATTGATGTGGAATTCAGCATTACTTTGTTGGCAGGATCGGTATCAGTGCTGAGATAAAGCTCGGCGTTATCATCAGCCATGACGTAGAAGCGGTACTCCGATGTGCGAGGAGCTACGAAGAACCCTCTAGCCCTGGTGTTGAACCTGTCCATTCCAGCCTCGTCCTTGTAGTAGCCGCTGTCGATCGTCCGCGTGTAGTAGTCACCGTCGGACGTTGTCAACGTGCTGACTTTGTCAAGGCCAGTCATGCTTGCGTTCCACAGCTCAAACTTCAACCCTCGGCCACCTAAGGCAGGAACGGGAGTTTCAACATAACGTATATCCCACGCCTAATAGAGCAGTAAGCACATTCACTGTGCAGAGTTGCCTCCCTTAGGTGTGCCCGAACCCTATAATCGTGGTTTTCGTCTGAGTGTAAGCCGTCTAACATCTGCATCACTTCGGGGTTTTCTCCCAGACAGGTTTTCACGCGACGTGATATAAATGAAATACTGTTCAAAGCGGCGTTAAGCAAAGCTAACTTGGTCACTCCGAGAATGAAGCTGCTGTAAGTATCGATCATCGGCGATCAAGTCGAGGCCGATATTCGGAGTTCAAATTCCAAAATTTCCCACTTCATGTTCATAACATAACTAATAATATTATCATAATAGCAAGTCAGAGACAGTTGATTGTTTATATTTTACTTCAAATAAAGGGCACGGGTGGCCCAGTCGTCTACAGCGCCGTGATTCGCTGTGCAGAGTTGCGTCCCTTGGGCACGCCAGAAACCTATGATTGTGGGCTCGAATCCCGGTTCGCCCCGATTATGTTTCTAGGTTTGTCAGCACCATGCCCGTGCTCGTTGGTTTCACCGAAGTGGTAAACGTCTGAGACCTGCATTACTTTCCTCCCCCATTAAGCTGGCACGCCGTGATGTAACTGGAATACTGTCAAAAGCGGCGTTAAACCCATCTCACTCACTCCCTCACTCACTTCTAATAGGGCCCGTGAAGATTCCGGGGTAGAATAGGTCTTCAGCAACCCATACTTACCGTAAAAGGCGACTATGCTTGTCGTAAAAAGCGACTAACGGGATCGGGTGGTCAGGCTCGCTGACTTGGTTGATGCATGTCATCGATCCCAATTGCGTGGATCGATGCTCATGATATTAATCACTGGATTGTCTGGTCCAGACTCGATTGTTTACAGACCGCAGTCATATAGCTGGAATATTGCTGTGTGCGGCGTAAAACAACAAACCAACCAACCAACCACTTCTAATAGGGCAAGTAACGAAGACCAATACATGACTGGAATGAATGCCATCATATATATATTTAAGAATATAAGGACTTTTAAAAAAAAAAATACCTCATTAACATTGACTCAAACTCCCCTCAATGATCGGGGCAAACATCTTTTGTGAATAGCAGCATCAGTGACCTAGCCATACTACCTACATCATCCCGTGAAGATCCGGGGTAGAATAGGTCTTCAGCAACCCATGCTTGTCGTAAGAGGCGACTATAGGGATAAGGTGGTCAGGCTCGCCGACTTGGTTGATGCATGTCATCGTATCCCAATTGCGGAGATTGATGCTCATGATGTCAATCACTGGATTGTCTTGTGCAGGCTCGATTATTTACAGACCCCCGTCATATAGCTGGAATATTGCTGAGTGCGGCGTTAAACAAACAAATAAACCAACCAACCAACCAAAGCGACATCCCACGAATGATGAATGAGTGTTCTGACGAATTTATACATGATATTTTCAGTACATTAGGCGTTTTACACTTTTTTTGTGCAACTTGTGTTGGTGGCGGGAGCTGCCGGTGAGCGGGACATGCTTTCTTCTTTCGCGAACACCTGGTGTCATCACTGATTTTCAGTGATCCATTCTTATAATATTCACCGCTATTTTGTCTATTAAACCCAATGGAATGTTTCGTCGCATAATCGAGACAGGTTATTCTCTGGCGTTGACTTTATACAATAATTATTTATTATTTCTTGGTTCGAGTATCAACCGACCCAATAATCCTGAGGATATCGGTTCTGTGGTGGAGCGTCCGCCCGGAGAGCGAAAGGTTAACCCAAAGACGTTAAAAGATGGTACATGTTGTTACCCTGCCTGGCGGTCGGCATAAAGGGACTAAAACAATCACTGGTCAGCTCGGAGTCAGTACGCTGTGTCTAGGTGGGGTATTCATGTTAAATGCCGGCGTTGTATCTCCGGGGGCTAGCACTATCAACATCGGCATCAATCCGGACTAGTACAAGCAAACCACACACACACGTTCATACACGTCGCTATGTAAGTGCAATAATCTTGGACGCGACGTTAAACCCCAGTTCACCTCAAAGGGCAGGACAGGACCCCTTAAGACGTTGCAGGTCGCTGATGATCGGACAGTTACAATGGTATCGTACTATGATGGTTATATTGCTGTTATGCTTTCATACACTCGCTTCCCCATCCCTTGTCTCCATCCTCCTCTCCCCCACCCCCTCCCCTCCACCTCCCTTCCTCCGTCAGTCACTCACCTTCGTAATACTCCGCAGCAGCAGGGGCAGGTTGTGTCTCGCAGACTATCTGCGTGTCCGTCACCTCCTCTCCCCCACCCACTCCCCTCCACCTCCCTCCGTCAGTCACTCACCTTCGTAGTACTCCGCAGCAGAAGGGGCAGGTTGTGTCTCGCAGACTATCTGCGTGTCCGTCACCTCCTCTCCCCCACCCACTCCCCTCCACCTCCCTCCGTCAGTCACTCACCTTCGTAGTACTCCGCAGCAGAAGGGGCAGGTTGTGTCTCGCAGACTATCTGCGTGTCCGTCACCTCCTCTCCCCCACCCACTCCCCTCCACCTCCCTCCGTCAGTCACTCACCTTCGTAGTACTCCGCAGCAGAAGGGGCAGGTTGTGTCTCGCAGACTATCTGCGTGTCCGTCACCTCCTCTCCCCCACCCCCTCCCCTCCACCTCCCTCCGTCAGTCACTCACCTTCGTAGTACTCCGCAGCAGAAGGGGCAGGTTGTGTCTCGCAGACTATCTGCGTGTCCGTCACCTCCTCTCCCCTACCCCCTCCCCTCCACCTCCCTCCGTCAGTCACTCACCTTCGTAGTACTCCGCAGCAGAAGGGGCAGGTTGTGTCTCGCAGACTATCTGCGTGTCCGTCACCTCCTCTCCCCCACCCACTCCCCTCCACCTCCCTCCGTCAGTCACTCACCTTCGTAGTACTCCGCAGCAGAAGGGGAAGGTTGTGTCTCACAGACTATCTGCGTGTCCGTCACCTCCTCTCCCCCTCCCCTCCACCTCCCTCCCTCCGTCAGTCACTCACCTTCGTAGTACTCCGCAGCAGAAGGGGCAGGCTGTGTCTCACAGACTATCTGCGTGTCCGTCACCGGCTCCGTCACCCGACACTCGGTACCTGGAAACAGCAGAGGGACCTTTTGTACTCTGCATACATACGGACATTCGCCTAATACCAGCGTTTCGCGTATCCAGAAAACTGTTAAGTCGGAGGATTTATCGGGCAAAGGTATTGTCTGGATCAACAGGGTTCACTTTATAAGAGTGGATGAGTGAGTATGGTTTTACACCGCTTTTAGCAATATTCCAGCAATATCACGTCGGGGGACACCACAAATGGGCTTTACACATTGTACCCATGTCGGGAATCGAACCCGGATCTTCGGCGTGACGAGCGAACGCTTTAACCACTAGGCTACCCGACCGCCCCCACTTTATAAAAGAACCAAATAGTATTCCAAAAGTTTACATGTTACCTATACATCATATATACAAAGAGTGAGAGGATATGGTTTTACGTCGCTTTGAAGCAATATTCCAGCAACCCACCTCCAACCATGACATTGACCTTGGCGTCAGTCTCGTCAAAGTGCATCCCCGTGATGGTCAGCCTGGTGCCTCCTCTCTTGCTGCCGGTGCTGGGGCTGATCCCCGTGACAGCTGGAACAGAGGCGGACGTTGTTGGTTCTCGATTTCAATATGGATATAGGCTTACTTACTTATCAGTCCGTGCCAATAATCATTTGAGTGAGTGAGTATGGTTTTACGCCGCTTTTAGCAATATTCCAGCAATATCACTGCGGGGGACACCAGAAATGGGCTTCACACATTGTACCCATGTCGGGAATCGAACCCGGGTCTTCGGCGTGACGAGCGAACGCTTTAACCACTAGGCTATCCGACCGCCCCAATAATTATTTAAAATGCTACTGAATTTTATGATTATACTTGGTAAATGATAGTTTTATAATGATCAATTGGTTTATTACTGAACACCCGTTATACCTCAGTCACAAATTGAGAAAAGCCTCGATAACTCGAAGCATCGAAGCCGTAAAACATCGAAATATCCGTTGTTTCGAGACAAGGAATGTACAGATTTACACACTAGTATCCAGTGATAGACAGAAGTAATCCGTTAAAAATGTTGAACGACATCTTGTGAAACGGTATTTTGACTGACAGGGGTTTGTCGGTACAGAGTGATATTTGGGATATGATCTGTCTGAACATCTGCATATCTGTTATACATCATACATGATACTAACGAGAATATGTCTGGTACATGATACATATGTCTGGTACATGATACATACGTGCATATGTCTGGTACATGATACATACGTGCATATGTTTGGTACATGATACTTACGAGAATATGTCTGGTACATGATACATACGTGAATATGTCTGGTACATGATACATACGTGAATATGTCTGGTACATGATACATACGTCTGGGTACATGCTACATTCGAGAATATGTCTGGTACATGATACATACGTGCATATGTCTGGCACATGATACATACGTGCATATGTCTGGTACATGATACAACGTGCATATGTCTGGCACATGATACATACGTGAATATGTCTGGTACATGATGCATTCGTGAATATGTCTGGTACATGATACATACGTGAATATGTCTGGTACATGATACATACGTGAATATGTCTGGCACATGATACATACGTGCATATGTCTGGTACATGATACATACGTGAATATGTCTGGTACATGATACATACGTGCATATGTCTGGTACATGATACATACGTGAATATGTCTGGTACATGATACATACGTCTGGGTACATGATACATACGTACATATGTCTGGTACATGATACATACGTGCATATGTCTGGTACATGATACATACGTGCATATGTCTGGTACATGATACGTACGTGAATATGTCTGGTACATAAGACATACGTGCATATGTCTGGTACATGATACATACCTCTGGGTACATGATACATACGTGAATATGTCTGGTACATGATACATACGTGAATATTGCTGGTACATGATACATACGTGCATATGTCTGGTACATGATACATACCTCTGGGTACATGATACATACGTGAATATTGCTGGTACATGATACATACCTCTGGGTACATGATACATACGTACATATGTCTGGTACATGATACATACGTGAATATGGCTGGTACATGATACATACCTCTTGGTACATGATACATACGTACATATGTCTGGTACATGATACATACGTGAATATGTCTGGTACATGATACATACCTCCGGGTACATGATACATACGTACATATGTCTGGTACATGATACATACGTGAATATGTCTGGTACATGATACATACGTGAATATGTCTGGTACATGATACATGCGTCTGGGTACATGATACATACGTACATATGTCTGGTACATGATACATACGTGCATATGTCTGGTACATGATACATACGTGCATATGTCTGGTACATGATACATACGTGAATATGTCTGGTACATGATACATACGTGAATATGTCTGGTACATGATACATACCTCTGGGTACATGATACATACGTGCATATGTCTGGTACATGATACATACGTGCATATGTCTGGTACATGATACATACGTGCATATGTCTGGTACATGATACATACCTCCGGGTACATGATACATACGTACATATGTCTGGTACATGATACATACGTGAATATGTCTGGTGCATCATACATACGTGCATATGTCTGGTACATGATACATACGTGAATATGTCTGGTACATGATACATACGTCTGGGTACATGATACATACGTACATATGTCTGGTAAATGATACATACGTGAATATGTCTGGTACATGATACATACGTTCATATGTCTGGTACATGATACATACGTGAATATGTCTGGTACATGATACATACCTCCGGGTACATGATACATACGTACATATGTCTGGTACATGATACATACGTGCATATGTCTGGTACATGATACATACGTGCATATGTCTGGTACATGATACATACGTGCATATGTCTGGTACATGATACATACGTGCATATGTCTGGTACATGATACATACGTGCATATGTCTGGTACATGATACATACGTGAATATGGCTGGTACATGATACATACCTCTGGGTACATGATACATACGTACATATGTCTGGTACATGATACATACGTGCATATGTCTGGTACATGATACATACGTGAATATGGCTGGTACATGATACATACCTCCGGGTACATGATACATACGTACATATGTCTGGTACATGATACATACGTGCATATGTCTGGTACATGATACATACGTGCATATGTCTGGTACATGATACATACGTGAATATGTCTGGTACATGATACATACGTGCATATGTCTGGTACACGATACATACGTGCATATGTCTGGTACATGATACATACGTGCATATGTCTGGTACATGTAGATCTTCCCTGTACTGCTGACTCGGAGAGTATCCAGATCGGGCATTGACCTGAAGAAATGTGTGCAGCGGTAAGGTTAACTTGGACCGACTTACACGGGGCACACGTGTCATGACAATGTATGGTCAAATCGGGTTGTATTTCGTTTCCATCTATTCTACGCATGCGATGAAATCGATTTTGGCATACCCATAGGGCAGCCGGGGTTACAACAAATATTTTTGGAATTGTGGTAGTATCGAAATTACCCAAATCCCTTGTAACAGGTCAACTTATTAGTTCTAATACCCCAAGGATCTAAACAATATATTTGTAGCTTTGGGAAACGTTCTGCGCACATGTATGCGCGTGGACTTCCATATTAAAAAAAATAAATTATTTACTCTTTGTATGACTGTACCAAACAGTTTTATTTCGTGTAATAAGAGCATCATTTAACTGAAAGAACTTCAATTTTAAAATGAAATGAAAAATATAGTGTTTAAACGATGACGCTAACGCGACAGCAATTTGCCCGAACTTCAGGCCCGTCAACTCATTTTTCGGTTATTTCATTTTAAAGTGAAACTGTACGTAGGCGGTACTTACCTTCCAAACCATTCATCGACGATGAAACTGGCATTCACGAAGCCTGAAACATGTGAGATATCGTTAGTACAAACATGAAACATGAAATTGAATAATTTGAGGTTTTTGATGCACAAATGAACACAAATGTACAGAAAATAATGACCCTCCCCTACAAAATTCAGGCTAGTCCGCTAGCCCGAGCCAAGTGAATTTTGATGAGGACCAGTCATAATCCAATGATGGTAGTCCTAGTAGACTACTGGCTTTTGAGAGCTAGGGTTCTAACCCAGTTCGCAACAAGTTGCTGCAATTAGGAACTGAATAAAACTGTCAGAAAACAGTATAGAAAACGTGTTTGTCTTGCTCAAGCAGGACCAGCTACACACTCTGAGGACGAGTGGAGAAAGGTTTACACGCGTCCTGTGGTCAAGTCTGAAAAACGAACGTCTCAGGTTGAAAGAGTGGTACAAAAGGATATTTGCATCGGCAACGGCTACACTATACAATAAGAGGATTGTATCATGGCGTGTAGGTTTCTTGTGGGAGGGAAGCCCTTATGATACAGGTCTCAAACGTTTGCCACTTTGTCGAAACCTACGAGCACGGATATGGTGATGACAAACCTGAAAACATAATCGGGGCGAAACGGGATTCGAACCCACAGTTTTCTGTCGTGCCGGGGCAAAAAGCCACCCCATAGACGACTGGGCCACCCGTGTCAACGCTTCAAGAGGGAGGCAATCCTGAATTTAAGAACATACGTGTTTACCAATTCGATGAAATCCATGAGCACGGGTAGGCTGCTGACATACCAAGGATCCTAGTTAGGCTGCCGAATTTGGGATTTGAACCCACGATCATAAGATTTGCACATCGAATTTCGTCGACTCTGATTACCAATTCTCCCGTATCCTGATAGGATTTTAAAAAATATATACCAAAATATTATCTTTACAGTGCTTCACAGAGCGACATGAGGATATATTAATTGATGCTGTATAGGGCGAAGCAGTCCATATTATCCATATTATATATTATATGCCTTACTTAAAAGTTCATATCAAACGAATCTGTTAGCTTTCAATTTAGAATACTACACTAACGTCTATTTTTCGTAGCTATGGCCTGACAAATATCGACCAAGTCGAGTCACATTGTCTATGTTAAACCATGCGCGGGTTGATGTGTAGGACAAATTAGTAGCTAAAAGGACCCGACGAACTTGGTAGAAACGTGTCAATGTGACAGCGAAATGAAGCATGACGAAAACTAGTCCATGTTAGAGTTGTTTGACTGTTGATGAGATGTTTTAATTTCTTATGTGACTGAATACACCATTAAACATGAGTTGTGAAACAAGGTTTCAGTGCGTTCTTTATGTCGCCATAGTGAGTGCGGGACAAACGGTCGTTAAAACTAGGTATTATTAATGCAAGCCGGGCCGCTGGAGAGAGTACGCAATAACTGCTTTGCACCTGGACCAGAGAGAGTATAAATCATACAGGAAACAAAGATTGATTAAAACACCAAGAAAAACGTTTCAATGCACGCCACGACACTGGAGACAGGTTCGGTTTACGAGAACATTTTTTTATCAGCAGCTCTGATGTTCTGGTGATAGAACATGTGTGGGACAGATCATCTTCCCGAGGCAAGGGACTTAACTGACTATAAAAGTCCAGTTTCCACCCTTGCCGAACTAGGCTGGAATTCCTGGGCTCGATCGTAGCGCCACCAGTGGCTATTACGAGTTATGTCCTTTCTATGCCTCTCCTATTGACCAATCAGATTCAACCTCTCGTATCACTTGCATTTGTTTCAAACAAAATGGTGGCGCCCAGTCAAGACGATCTGATCGATAATCAAGATCTATATTGTGATAAAACGAGTCTTACATCGCGAAGTGCATCAAATCACGTGAGCACCTTCATTAAAAACATGAAAAGATTTAGAAAATATCTGTTGACAACGAGTTAGCGGTGCACATGCTTTGCAAATCCTGCAGTCGACCGAAATCTGCACGACACTCGACGAACCGGATTTCGATTTCGGTGCACGATTTTGATTGGACTATGCATAGACTCGTTAGTCCAGCCAAACTGTAACTCCATAATACCAGCCTAGTTCGGCAAGGGTGGAAACTGGACTTTTATAGTCAGTTAACTCACTTGCCTCGGAAAGATTGGGACAGATCTACTATACGCTTAAATAGTAAACCACGGTTATTCTCAAAGGGACCACTAATTTTAGTTCGTTATAACCGTAGTTCGTTATAAACACATATACAGAATATACACAGCAAATGTCCGGGACCAAAAATATTACGTTATATCTGTCAGTTCGTTATAAGCGTGTTCGTTATAAACGTAGTTTACTGTATTTCTTTATTATAAAGAACCAATACTTTGCCAGCCTGCATATTATCTTGAACGGAACAACTTCATTTCACTACAATAGGTACAAGATAACTAATTATTACAACACGAACCAGCAATCTCAATGTAATTAAATACTCAACTCTATTCAGTCATCTCCGGTCGGATGTAATCACTACTCCCCGGTTGTAACGACGTTCGGGTACAACGACTATTGGGTTGTAACTACGTTCGGATATAACGACTACTCGGTTGTAACAAGGTTCGGGTATAACGACAACTGGGTTATGACGAGGTTCGGGTATAACGACTACTCGGTTGTAACAAGGTCCGGTGTATAACGACAACTGGGTTATGACGAGGTTCGGGTATAACGACTACTCGGTTGTAACGAGGTTCGGGTATAACGACTACTCGGTTGTAACGACGTTCGGATATAACGACTACTCGGTTGTAACGACGTTCGGGTATAACGACTACTCGGTTGTAACGAGATTCGGGTATAACGACTGCTGGGTTATAACGACTACTGGGTTATGACGAGGTTCGGGTATAACGGCTACTCGGTTGTAACGAGGTTCGGTATAACGACAACTGGGTTTTAACGACTACTGGGTTATAACGAGGTTCGGGTATAACGACTATTCGGTTGTAACGAGGTTCGGGTATAATGACTACTCGGTTGTAACGAGGTTCGGGTATAACGACTACCCGGTTGTAACAACGTCTATTCGTGTAAATCACGACGTTCGGGTAAAACGAATTGGTTTTGGAGGTCCTTTGGTGTCAATGCTATCCAGTGTTGAATGCACGAGGTTAAGAAGTAACTGTACCTGGACGTATCCATGTTTCACTTCAGTAATTGGCCATGGCTTTTTCAAGGATTTTTATGAATGATACATACAGTTTCTCGCAATCATGTCCTTTCTTTGTTAAGTGACACACTATTACCTCAGCATTCTACACCAATCTTTCTCTCCTTCCTCCCCGCTTTCCTCCTCTCTCCTCACACACCTCTTTTTCACTCTCCTCTCTCATTCTCACTCTATCTCTCCACTCTCACCCCGTCTCTCTATCTCTACTATCTCTCCCCTCTCTTTCTCGCGCGCTCTTCCCCCTCATCTCGCTCCTTCCTCCCCGCTCTTCCCCTCTCTCACCCCTCTCTCTTTCACTCTCCTCTCTCATTCTCTCTATCTCTCCTCACTCACCCCCACTCTCTATCTCTCCTTTCTCTCCCTCTCTCTCGCGCCCTCTTCCCCCTCATCTCGCTCCTTCCGCCCCGCTCTTCCCCTCTCTCACCTCTCTCTCTTTCACTCTCCTCTCTCATTCTCTCTATCTCTCCTCACTTCCCCCACTCCCTATCTCTCACTCTCTCTCGCGCTCTTCCCCATTCTCTCTCTCATACCTCCCCTCTATCTATTTCTCTCTCCTCTCTCATTCTCTCTCTATCTCTCCACTCTCACTCTCCATCATCTCTCTCCTTCCTCCTCTCTCACCTCTCTCCCTCTCCCCTCTTCTCTCTCCTCATCCTCATTCTTCCCCTCCCCCACTCTCTCTCTCCCCCCTCTCTCTCCGTCTCTTGTAATGGATCCATTGTGTCGTGTACTCCGGATCCATGTCTCCATTGACTCACCCACATAGGTAGTTTCTGTCTTGCACTTCAGCGCCCCCCACCAGCTTGTCCCGTCCTTGTCAAGATCAATCCCAAATCTAAAACAAAGGCAAAGGTTGGCGAAATTGAAAAGGACATTTCAGTTTGTGACTTATGCGTGACTGTGTCTTATTCAATACACAATGTATCTGTTCTTTATTTTCTCCACTCCAGTCGCTACCTCTGAACGCAAGCATGGATGAGAAACACACAACATGCACCGATAATGATGTTAGATTGGGTGTATGCCAATCATCTCGCCTGTACACCTGATCGGGTATAAACCGAGGAGCAAAAGAAACGATACGTGTCAGTTTATTTTATCATATGTTTCATTTTCAATTGAACATTATATCCTAACAATGAACTGAAAGAATTTAACAACAGTTCTTTCAGTTTACAATTACACAAATAAATACTAGGAATACTTTCTTTTGCCCCTCAGTTTAAAATGTTTGGAAACACACATGTTTTACGTTCCATTTCATATGGATGCGACCATGGTCGATCTATTGTGGGTAAACAGTGTATGCTTCTTCAAGAACATCCAACTCTTGACTCATTACATACAGAATTGCACATTTACTTGTGGTTACTTTACAGACAGCTGCCGGGGGGGTGGGTGGGGATATGTCATCTTTCTGATGACTCTTGTTACATTAAGGGTTGTAACAGAGCATGTACTGCTGTGTTGGTCATCTACCCCCTACGACTCCACCTCGCTTAAACCGCTGATCGTCTATAACGCTCATAAATTATTTAGATCCCAAAGGTAGCGTTGTAGCGAGTCCGAGGGATCACTGTTCGGAGATCGTGCGAGAGAGGAAAATGTATTTTAAGGTTCGAAATTATCTTGCGCATTTTATTGAAAATGATTGGAGATGAATTGATACAATTGAAGTGTATGTACTCATCCGGCTGGACGAGCGTTTCTTCAATTAATTCCCGCCCAGCACATGCTTCCACTCGTCAATACGAGCGGAGAAGGGGATATTTCGAGCCCAGAATGCCACATCCTGTTACTTGGTCCATATCATACAAAAAACAGGAAACACCTTTTGCTCCACCTTGCCTGTTGTGCGAATCTTGCACGAGTAATGACACGTGTTTCATACCGATTCAATATCTGGTTATGATAACTTTACTGACCAATGTCCACTTCATTATTAAAGACGACTTGACCTTGACATGGTTCGTCACATATACCTGTTTATCCTACAAGGACGGACATAGAACGGTATGCTCTTTTCAATTCACTATTTCACATTGTAATGAAAAAGCAACAACATTTTAGTCGATTCTTACAAGACATCTTCATCCAGGTTTTTCACTTCACAGTTATCACTGCCCATGTAGACCCTGGAACATAAGTAAACTTGTATCAGTAAGTCATCATCAATATTGCTATTTATAAATAACTATTCATAATATTTCCGTTTTATAAATTGTTTAACAATGACAACCATTTACGAATCCAAAAAGAACAGATGTTCATTAGGCTTTTGAAACCTAAACTTAATTCAAAAGTATATTTTTCAAAACTGTAGCTCAATGTGTATTTGTGCACTCTCACCATAATGTATTTATGCCCCCCACTATTCACTCTCCTACCCAGAGTTCCATGCGGCCGGCAGCCAGCCAGCATAGTGCCTCTGCCACAGGCCAGCGCCATGTGACGATTCGTCACATCTTTCACGGTCTATTCAAGATATTGCATATGCTTTTCATCCGTTTCATGTTTGACAAGTCTACACATGTCATAAACAAATGTTAAAGAATGGTGACGGTTCATTTAGAAAGTATGCTTATGCGTGAAAATCTACTTGTTTTTGCGTAGTTATCCTTTGTTTACATTGGTTGTACGGCTCCACGCGCTGTCATCGAACAGTTAGCGATACGGTCACGTTGATGCATAAATATATATTGTCATGCAACTCACAGTCGCAGTTGGAGTAGCATATCTATATAATTATGCAAAACAATATGTAAAGCCCCCCCCCCCCCCCCCCCAATACTTGCATTAGTCCGTTCTATACTGATTTCTGAAAAATCGCGTTTGTTTGTTGATATGCAAATTAGCCTGTGGCAGCTGTGTTATGTTGAGTCACCACTGCGCCGGAGTGTGTCCACTATTAACACTAACTGTGGCGTCATATGCTTTATGACGTCAAAAACATAACGTTGGCTGTCGCCTTGGACTATGCTTTACTTCTCCCTCTATTGTCACTGTTACATCATAGGCATTATGACGCCACAAATACTACTGCTATTCGTCGCATAGGACTACAATGTAGGTTAAAGTTTTCATTACACCTGAAGAGCCGTTGAACGGCGAAAGATCTTGTGTGGATAAAGGAGTTTTGACAAGCACGTATATCTGGCCTCTGTTTTTTGTATATTTAATACTTATACACCTGATGAAATATATAAACGAATGTTCACTCGGTGAACATGTATATATATGATAAAATAATAAAGTCCTCGCGAGTCCAACATCTTCTAATATCAGTTTCAGACATAGTTCTTTCACTGTGTCATGTCATGGCAGCTCTTCAGTGTGACTGACAATGACACATGCATTACGTCATACTTATGATGACGTCATAATTACACCCTGACGTCATAATGTACTTACACACTCCAGCGACGACACCACGCAATTTGACAAGGGAGACATTTGAATTAAAATTCACAGTATTTCTAAAGCAGCAGTGTAACATTTATGTGTGAAATGTATCAATGCATTCTGGAGTTCAATTTGGGTTTATCAATTGGATAAACATTTGTTCTTTTTCCAGTCTCTGCTGCTTATCACTGGAAAACAATTTATAAAACGGAAAAATAATAATATTCCCGTTTCCGCAATCATCAATGTGTTTGCTGACACCTAAGCATCGAACATTGAAGTATCTTATTTGCTGTTTGTGTACAGTGATTCAGTATTTTAATTCCATGCCGGTTTCACCGTTGTTGGTTTCGCCGCATCCGAACATCTCACAACATACACCACATCTTTGCTGCGGCAGTTCATGTCGGCTTTCACACTGAAACTCTTGCCATTTGCAAAAAGGAAAGTAGTACCGTCACTTATGATGTTACACGCGCCGCATCTTGGGGTGCCACATCTACTAACACATGATACACTCTCTGTACAAGAATACTTGGATGGCCAAAGAATTTGCTTGAGATTTTTTGGTTGCCCGGTACTTTTTATAATTCTAAATTTATTCAGTCCTTGTTCCATTTTATCACTTTGCTGTAGAATGTGGAGGTTGTCCCTTATGACAGACATGATATTACTGTTATTAGGATTGAAGGTATATTTATATTGTTTTGAGATTCTTTATAAGAATCCTACCATCACATTTCATAAAAATGCAAAATATGAAATGGATAATTATTTAGCAAATTTAAAAAACAAAAACAAGCCAGAGGGTTTAATTCTAAAGTCGGGTAGCCTAGTGGCTAAAGCGTTCGCTTGTCACACCGAAGACCCGGGTTCGATTCCCGTCATGGGCATTATGTGTGAAGCCCATTTCTGGTGTTCCCCGCCGTGATATTGCTGGAATATTGCTAAAAGCGGTGTAAAACCATACTCACTCACTCTTAAATTGTCGCTTGTGACTACAATTTTACTTAGTTCCTTGGTATGCGACGGAGACGCGAGTGAGTGAGTGACTGAATGTTGGTGATATTTTTATCACTTTGGGATTAGTTAACGAGCGAGGACAGGATGTCAAACTATCACATGCTATTCTTAAGACTATAGATGAGATTATGGTACTCTTAAAGAAGCGACTACCCGGAATCATACAGGATGACAATGAAATCTGTATGACAATCATATAAAATGGGCTTCCCCTTGAGAGAATGCTTGGGGGAGATCATGTGATGCCTCCTCGGAAATATAGCATCTATGACATTGCGCTTTGCAAGCCATTGTGACGTCATGATTATTGTGACATCACAATCAAATGACATCACTAATCACTGTCACTGAAGCTGGTTAGCTGCCCTTTGTACACTAAAGACACTGGTTATTACACTTATACAAACTGAAAAGATGGAAGAACAATATTGGATGATAAATAGAATTTCTCCCTCGCCTTTTTTTGGTCAAATATATCAAAAATCGTCGAGAAACGATAAAAGTCCAAAACTTGTATAAACCCGTTCGGACATATTTGATATCAATAGGTGGCATTCTCTTTGAACTGACGTGTTTTTAACTTACCTGACAAACCGGGCAGTTTGACCGTTAGTACTGGTCACTTCATTGGAACCAAAGAGGGAAGTGATGATGCGCCCACGGTACTTGACCAGCGTGCCTGCAACATGGCATCAATGGATTGACAAGAGAGATCGTTTTCAAGTTTAATTTGACTCATGCCTTGGGATGGAATATGCTCAAACAACAGAGACAGATGGAGAGTTTCTTACGATCGTCGAGATGACCAGAGATACACGTTTTTATTGTACATGTATAATTATTCAATATATCCGAAATATTCAATAAATGGGAATAGGCCTAAACGACCTTCACTTACCTGGAACCCCGGATGTAGGCTCGATGTAATCTATGGTTGGTGTATAATGTGCCTCAGGCTGTAATAATAATAATAATAATAATAATAATAATAATAATCATCATCATCATAATCATAATAACGACGACGACAACAACAATACTACTACTACTACTACTACTACTACTACTACTACTACTACTACTGCTAATATATTCTCTTTAAGAATATTATCACATTACCATCTATAACTATAATCATAACAGCAATGATGATAATATTATATGCACAATGAATAAAGAATACTGTCGACCATACAATCCCTGACTGAGATTCAAATGTCGACAAGTGGAATAAGGACTCACCTTGAAGATGCACTTGTTGCGACTCGCTTTACAGTGCTCTTCGTCTGGGATTCGAACCCCATCAACATAGACCCGGACCGAGTAATCTGCTGTGGGCATTTTACTGAAAATATACCATTGGAAATGTGTAAATAATACTTTAAAAAAAAAACTACCTTCAATTGTTTCTATGCATCACGCACTGAGGTGTATGCGACATTAAATTAATTTAGATGTTTGTGCTGTTTGTGCCTGTGTACAATGTGTCTGTGTGTCTGCGCGCGTGTGCCTGTCTCGGACTTACATGTAGGCAACATAGAAACAATTTAGATGTATGTGATGTTTGTGCGTCTGTGTGTGTACAATGTGTGTCCGTCTGTCCGCGCGCGTGTGCCCGTCTCGGACTTACATGTAGGCAACATAGAAACAATTTAGATGTATGTGATGTTTGTGCGTGTTTGTGGACAATGTGTGTATGTATGTACGCGCGCGTGTGCCTGTCACGCTCTTACATTTACGCAATCTGCGAAAAAAAATTAGTTGTCCGTGATGTGTGTGTGGACAATGTGTGGACAATGTGTGTCCGTGTGTCTGCGCGCGTGTGCCTATCTCGCACCTCATATACAATAAAGGACGAAATCATATGTTTCTGATGCTTGTGTATGTGTGGGTGCACGCGTGCCTGTCTTTGTGTATCTCTGTGATTATGGTTATGAATGTGCGCGTGTCGGTCTCGCTCTCTGTCCCTCTGTACCTTCTTGTGTAAGTGCCTATGTTCGTTTGCTTGTTTGCTTGTTTGTTTGATTTTTAACGCCGCATTCGGCGATTATTCAGCTATATGGCGGCGGTCTGTAAATAATCAAGTCTGGACAAGACAATCCAGTGATTGACATCTTGGGCATCGATCCACGCAATTGGGACACGATGCCATGCATCAACCAAGCCAGCGAGCCTGAACCCCGATCCCTTTAGTAGCCTCTTACGACAAGCATATATAGTCGCCTTTTACGGCAAGCATGGGTTGCTTAAGACCTATTCTACCCCGGATCTTCACGGGACTCGTTTGCTTGTGCGTGTATGTGTGTCTCGGTATGTGTCTGTGTCTGTCTGTGCATGTGTGTGTTTGTCTGTGCGTGTGTGCGTCTGTCTGTGTGCGTGTGTGCGGAGAGTTGTTTACCACACAATCAGGTGCCATGAATGCTGGTGGTGACTTCGAGTTCAAATTCATCCGCTCATAATCTCTGGATATGCTTTTGTATTAATGGTACAATATTCGAAACGGCGTTAAACCTATCTCACTCACTCACTCACTCACTCGGTCACTCACTCGGTCACTCATTCGGTCACTCACTCGGTCACTCACTCGGTCACTCACTCGGTCACTCACTCGGTCACTCACTCACTCACTCACTCACTCACTCGGTCACTCACGCACTCACTCGGTCACTCACTCACTCGGTCATTCACTCACTCACTCACTCACTCTATCACTCGGTCATTCACTCACTCACTCACTCACTCACTCACTCGGTCACTCACTCACTCACTCACTCACTCACTCACTCACTCACAGTCTCAGCGGCGTCTATACGTACGGGGTATAGCATGTGATCTGCTTCTCATGGCAACCGTCGAGATGGATGCTGCATTCGAAGTTACGGGTGGAGGAGACAAGATACACTTTGTTTCCAAGATGGCCATTCCCAGCGCCAAAGCTGAACAGGTTCCGAGCGAAATCTGAAACGGGAGGAGAATTTCGATCATATCTTGGTTTTTGTTTTTCAAAACGTGCTATTTTGAAAACAGGAATAATATATATTAACCTAAGATTACTCTCGTTCCAATAAAAGTTCCTTTGACTTTTTTTGTATTCGTTTCTATGTCAACTTTCCAGAACGTTTCTTTGTGATGGCTTCCCGTACTTTTCTAGACCGCGACTAGGACGCGAATGTTTCGCGTCTTGTTCGCGAACGTACTGACGTTTATAGTGTACAGCAAGCGTCCTCTCGCGTAACCTTCACGTCCCAGGCACGAACAAAGGGTAGTTTGATTTGAGCAGTATCGCATATGTAACAGGGTCCGAATAACTCAGTCCCTCTTGACACTGACGAAAGTTAGATATTTATTCATCTCATAGTTAAAGTTTGTTTGTTTGTTTAACCGTTCTAAGCAATATTCAAGCTCTATGATGGCGGTCTGTAAATAATCGACCAGACCTGGACCAGACAATCTAGTGTTTGATATCATGAGCATCTACCCACGCAATTGTGATACGGTGACATGCATCAACCAAGTTAGCGAGCCTGACCACCTGAACCCTGTTAGTCGGCTTTTACGACAAGCATGGGTTGCTGAAGACCTATTCTACCCCGGATCTTCACGGGTCTCACAGTTAGAGGTTAAATTTGTAACGAATGTATATATGGACTATACTTACTATTGCCCGTTATAGTGATGCGTGTCCCGCCATTCAGACTGCCCTTTAGTGGTTCAATCTCAGACACAAATGACTCTGAAATAACAACAAATGAATATATTAACAGGAAAAAGAGAAACAAATTTTATTATTTAAAACAATATTGCTAACTTGGATTCAGTGGAGCACGGGTATGCATGTAGTCGCTAAAGAGCAGCTGTACGAATTCTCTGTTTCTGAGATATGCCAAAGTTCCACTTATCGTCGGTTCGAATCCCTGTTTCAGTTTAATTTCAGCAGCAAACGCAACTTGTGTCATCAGAGTGGTAGTCTTTTACTTCCACATGAAGCTGACATTCTCTGACATAATGTTCCGAGACGCATTAATTCCAAGTCATTCTTGTATTTCAGATCTTTAACGATACACTGATATGATACCGTGTCTCTATGAATGCTCAGTAATCTGGTGCCTACTAGTGGCTTGAGGACCCTTCTACATTATTATTTACAGATAAAAATAAAATGCATCGAAGAGGGTTTGGGTGATCCTGGCACAGTCAGGCTGGTTAGGCTCATCATCAGCTCAGGGCCCTTGCCCCCTCTACACGCAGCCCAGACAGCGAATGAGACTTCTCCCAGGAAGCGCTGCCTAGACAAACCCACCCAGAACATTTCGGAGAATGGGAAGACTCCCAAACACTGCAGCCTTCTGCATTACTCAGTCAACAGATTGGGAGGCACCAAACCTAAGGCACCGAGAACATTGGGGAGTCGGACAACTAGGTAATTGAGATGCAAGCGTGACATTTCGGAAGCGAGGTCTGCATATTTGCCATGTTTTTCCTGGATCTTGTCAATCAAAAGTGACAGAAAATCCAACGATATAAATAATTTTGTTGGATTTATCGAAAAGGACAAGATCAGGTTTGTTGGCCTTGATAGGTCCGAGGCTGTACACGGGCCTATTCCAAAGAATGTTGTATTTATCATTGTCCTTGGCGACGTGCATCCTGTTTGTCCACGAGTTCCTAAACGCATTAAGTACACGAACGCTGACACTTACCCAAACACTCAAAGATATCTCAAAAGGTTCGGAGTATGTACATACTAAAACAGAAAATGCAGCAAAGAGGGTTTGGGTGATCCTGGCACAGACAAGCTGGTTAGGCTCATCATCAGCTCAGGGCCCTTGCCCCCTCTACACGCAGCCCAGACAGCGAATGGGACTTCCCAGAACTTTTCAGAGAATGTGAAGACTCCCCAACGCTGCAGCCTCCTGCATTATCTAGATTGTCAGAAGGTCTGTATACCTGGTAGCAAAGGTACTCTCCCAATGTCAGTCAACAGATTGGGAGGTACCAAACGTAAGGCACCGAGAACAATAGGGACTCGGACAACTTGGTTCTTGGGATGCAAGCGTGACATTTCGAAAGCGAGGTCCGCATGTTTGCCATGTTTTTCCTCAATCTCATTAGTGTCAAAAGGGAAAGAAAATTCAATAATATAAATGATTTCATTGGATTTATCAAGAAGGACAAGATCAGGTTTGTTGGCCTGGATACGTCTAAGGCTGTAAACGGGCCTATTCCAAAGAATTTTGTATTTATCATTTTCCATGACGCCCTCTACATATTCTGGGTCGTACCATGGATGGACCTCTGCGTCAAAACCACAAGCATTGCGAAGACGGTTATTAAAGGATCGAACCACACCATTATGTCGCTTGTTATTATTACAACGTACTTTCGAAGAGACATTGTATCAATTTCTTCTAAAATCACGTTTACATTCAGTTCATAGATTAATTGGCGACAATTTCCGAGATATGGTTATTACATCTAATAGGCAATGTTCGTCCGAAACGCTCGTTGCGTTGTGACAAAGCGGAACGTTAGAGAGACGAAAACAAACAAGTTTATCAGTTTATCAAAGCTGCTGAAACATTTAAGAGCGCACCTAATTAGAATAATGTTATTGTGCTAGAACGTTCGATGAAAGTTTTTGTCTTCGCGTCACCAAGTTCGTCCGCAGGGATGTGCATCATCAGATGCCAAAGTATTGCTGACTGGCTTCTTTCAACTGGGAATGTTAACTGATCTGTTAATGAATAATGAGGTAATTGCCTATACGAAACAAATTGCTTCTCCAGATCGCCTGTAGGATGTCATCAGCTATATCTTTCGTGACTGCAATGTATTGTGAAACCCTATGTACTTTGATGATCGTTTTGACGGTGGATGGCTCAGTTGGTGATGGCTTTGGGGTGTTTAATAATAATAATAATAATAATAATTAAAGCTGCTAGCAGCAATGGCGGGCTCCAAGTAACACTGCGCACAAACGTCCATGTTCGAATCCTCAAAGGTTTCCTTGCAGGGTATTGCCGCTACGAAATTGTCATGTGCAGTGGCATCCAAGTCTGTTCTAAACCCATTTCCGACCTTGAACATGTTCGAATCCTCAAATGGTTTGCTTGTACCAACTCCGTTCAAAAATTGTCACCTAACATCGCTGCTACGAATTGGCGTGTTCCAGGGGTGTCCCAGGGGTGTCCCAAATATTGATCAAATATTACCACGAAGCGGTGTTACTTTTAGCATGCAACCAAGAACAAAAGATGAGGTATACATGTCAGACTAACTTCATGTCAATTTTCAATAGTTTCTGTGGAGAACCTTACAAGATATGATCTTTCAAGTAAAATTTCGGTGAAAAAAATCATCAAAATCAAAATCCAATAGGGCGATGACTAAGAAAGATATCCAAAAACGGCTAACAGAGTTTAATGTATAATGTATGGAGACAATTCTCAGAAAGTTTGGATGCAATTCAGACTGTGGATTCAGAGGAGATAGGATTTGAAGACAGGTACCCAAAAAACCCTGTGAAAACCTTGAATCCAATATGGCTGCCAAACCACGTGACCAATGACCAAAGTCAAAGAACATCAAATGTCAAGCACCCAAAGCAGCAGACACATCTAAAGTTTGAAAGTAATTGGACAAGCGGTTGCGAAGCAATAGGGCAAAATATAGCTTTTAAAATTGCTTATTTTTCAGTTATCTGCCCATGGTCTTTGGGCCTATGGCCTTGGAATTTGTGTGGTATCTGGTACGTAAGTATCTGGATACACATACAAAATTTGAATGGAATCGAGGCAGTGGTTATTATGCTAGCTCTGGTACAAAAATCGGCGGAATAATAATAATATTAAATCGAACGATAGCACTGGGACTCTTCAGCTTTTCGGCTTGGTGACTCTGAACCAGACTGTAACTTCTTTGTCAGTTGGGCTCCAGTCAAATGGATGAGCGTTCTGAGTTCGTCAGGGCCCCGGGTTTATGTCGTATTGCTGAGATAAAGTGCTAAACCTGTTTCCGGCCTCGTCCATGTTCGAATCCTCAAATGGTTTGCCTGTACCACCGCCATCAAATGTAATGAACCGCTTGTCAGACATCACCACGTGTGTCCCAGTGTGTTCTTAACCCATGTTTGACTTCAACCATGTTCGAATCCTCAAATGGTTTGCCTGTACCAACGCCCTCTAATGTAATGAACCGCTTGTGAGACATCCCCACATGTGTCCCAGCGTGTTCTTAACCCATGTTTGACTTCGACCATGTTCGAATCCTCAAATGGTTTGCCTGTACCAACGCCGTCAAATGTAATGAACCGCTTGTCAGACATCACCACATGTGTCCCAGTGTGTTCTTAACCCATGTTTGACTTCGACCATGTTCGAATCCTCAAATGGTTTGCCTGTACCAACGCCGTTAAATGTAATGAACCGCTTCTGAGACATCTCCACATATGTCCCAGTGTGTTTTTAACCCATTTCCGACCTCGAATCCTCATGTTCGAATCCTCAAATGGTTTGCCTGTACCAACTCCGTCAAAAGATAGTCACTGTTTGCAGGACATCACCGCTACGAAATTGGCGTGTGCCAGAGTCAACCAGAATGTTCTAAACCCATTTACCACCCAGACAATGTTCGAATCTTGATAATCGCCTCTAAAGACAAGCATGGGTTGCTGAAGACCAATTCTAACCCTCATCTTCATGGGCAGCATACATACTGCAAAAGACACTTGACGGTCAAAGGGAAATAACCCTAGGTTTTCTGAGCGATGTATTCGGTATTTTGTCCATATTACCACCAAGCGGTGTTACTTTTAGCATGCAGCCAAGAACAAAAGATGAGATACATGTGCCCGACTAACTTCATGTAAACTTTCAATAGTTTCTGTGGAGAACCTTACAAGATGTGATCTTTATATAAAGGAAAAATTCGGTGAAAGAAATCATCAAAATCAAAATCAAACAGAGCCGTCACTAAGACAGATATCCAAAAACGGCTAACAGAGTTTGGTGTGTTATGTGTGGAGACAATTCTCAGAAAGTTTGAAAGCATTTCATGCAGTGGATTCAGAGGAGATAGTATTTGAAGACAGGTACCCAAAAAACCCTGTGAAAACCTTGAATCCAATATGGCAGCAACTAAAAACGATATCCAAAATCGGCTAACAGAGTTTGATGTGATATGTATGGAGACAGTACTCAGAAAGTTTGGATGCATTTCATGCATTGGATTCAGAGGAGATAGGATTTGAAGACAGGTACCCCCAAAACCCTGTAAAAACTTTGAATCCAATATGGCTGCCAAACCACGTGACCAATGACCTAGATCAAAGAACAGAAAATGTTAAGCACCCGAAGCAGCAGACATGTGTAAAGTTTGAAAGTAATCGGACAAGCGGTTGCGGAGCAATAAGGCGAAATATATCTTCAAAAAATACTTGTTTTTCAGTTATCTGCCCTTGGCCATTGGGCCTACGGCCTTGGAATTTTTGTGGTATCTGGTACCTAACAACTTGCACACACACACAAAATTTGAACAAAATCGAGCCAGTGGTTAAACTGCTATCTCTGGAACAAAAAACGGCGGAATAATAAATAATAATAATAAATAATAAATCGAACGATTACAATAGGGCTCTACAGCCTTTCGGCTTGGAGCCCTAATAATAATAATAATAATAACAACAACAACAATAATCACGCTTGCATCCCAAGAACCAAGAACCCATTGTTCTCG